ATGCGTGTTGCCTCGTTCTCATGCTCTTTTTTAGTCAGCATGGCTTCTGTCAGTCAGGTCTTTAGTCTAGTATGAGGTTATCATGTCTCTTCTAACTCATCTACCTTCCAGTAACGTGAGGGGTTTAAGTCCTTCAGTGTTTATCGTACTTCTCAGTTCTAGCGCTACACTGGTGACACATCAAAACCATGCTGGTTCTGCATATTCCAGAATTGTCTGACATACGTGGTATATAAAGTTCTGAATGACTCCGTATTTAGTGTTATAAAACCAGTTCAGATGTAACAGACGGAACACAACGGGTTAATGAACCTGAACACCACTCGCCTCAGGGCTGAGAAGTGTCCGGGGCTTATAAGCTAGAGCTCCACCTCCCCCCAGCACACAGTCTCTCACCTCGCCTCACTCACCAAATATTCATGGAGCTCCAATACTTGCTTTAAAAGTCTAACGAATTTGTTGGATTCTTTTCTATTTTGTGGAAGAAAAAAGTGCAATTATTGGAAGTGAAAATTTCCTATTAAGACGGACAGAAAAATACGAGAAATCTGCAAATTGTAAATTTGACAACTACGACAGTGCCTAACTGGCGAAATACGACTGGTATTCACCTAGATGTGCTAGCAGGGTTGAGCATTAGCTCTCTAGCCCCGTCTTTTCAACCCTTATCCGTTAATATAATAATTATTTTTCCACACGTTTCTGGTCGTAGCTGTTTATTGATGTCGCCTCGACAGAGTCTTCTCGTACTTATGTTGACTATTTCACTGGCTGCCAACTCTTGCAGTGAAGACGTCCTATGTCTCTCCAGCCACCACCGTGTCATCTGGTCCCACCGTGTCCATGTGTCATGTGTGTCACCAGCCACCACCGTGTCCCCGGGTGATGTGTGTGTCACCAGCCACCACCGTGTCATCTGGTCCCACCGTGTCCCCGGGTCATGTGTGTCACCAGCCACCACCGTGTCCCCGTGTCATGTGTGTCACCAGCCACCACCGTGTCCCCGGGTGATGTGTGTGTCACCAGCCACCACCGTGTCATCTGGTCCCACCGTGTCCCCGTGTCATGTGTGTCACCAGCCACCACCGTGTCCCCGGGTCATGTGTGTCACCAGCCACCACCGTGTCCCCGGGTCATGTGTGTGTCACCAGCCACCACCGTGTCCCCGGGTGATGTGTGTGTCACCAGCCACCACCGTGTCATCTGGTCCCACCGTGTCCCCGGGTCATGTGTGTCACCAGCCACCACCGTGTCCCCGTGTCATGTGTGTCACCAGCCACCACCGTGTCCCCGGGTGATGTGTGTGTCACCAGCCACCACCGTGTCATCTGGTCCCACCGTGTCCCCGTGTCATGTGTGTCACCAGCCACCACCGTGTCCCCGGGTCATGTGTGTCACCAGCCACCACCGTGTCCCCGGGTCATGTGTGTGTCACCAGCCACCACCGTGTCCCCGGGTCATGTGTGTGTCAACAGCCACCACCGTGTCCCCGGGTCATGTGTGTGTCACCAGCCACCACCGTGTCCCCGTGTCATGTGTGTGTCACCAGCCACCACCGTGTCCCCGGGTCATGTGTGTGTCACCAGCCACCACCGTGTCCCCGGGTCATGTGTGTGTCACCAGCCACCACCGTGTCCCCGGGTCATGTGTGTGTCACCAGCCACCACCGTGTCCCCGGGTCATGTGTGTGTCACCAGCCACCACCGTGTCCCCGGGTCATGTGTGTCACCAGTCACCACCGTGTCCCCGGGTCATGAGTGTCTGGTCCTGTAGCTTTCATTCTACCCATTTCCTGTGGGTGACCTCAGCAAGCCGTCGCTGGTGAGGTCCGGTAACTCAAGATTCCCTGCGAGTTCTCACACATTAATGATTACTCGCCGAAAGTTTTTTTTTTCTTCTCACACTTCTTTATCTTCTTCTGTGATCCACCTCCTGTCTTCTTTAGTCTGATTACCAACCCATTTACTGTCAATTTCCGTCTGGTGTGGCTCTGCACAAACTTGGGCTGCTCCTGTGCCTTGGATGCCATATCATTTACATAATTCTCCTCCTCTGTCTTTCACACTCCTTTGTTCTTTCCTGTTCCTACATATTCATCTCTTTCTCTCGTGTATTTGTTGTGGTTCTCTCTCTCTCTCTCCTGCAGTTGTTGTGGTTCTCTCTCTCTCTCTCTCTTGCAGTTGTTGTGGTTCTCTCTCTCCTGCAGTTGTTGTGGTTCTCTCTCTCTCTCTCTCTTGCAGTTGTTGTGGTTCTCTCTCCTGTAGTTATTGTGGCTCTCTCCTGCAGTTGTTGTGGTTCTCTCTCCTGCAGTTGTTGTGGTTCTCTCTCCTGCAGTTGTTGTGGTTCTCTCTCCTGCAGTTGTTGTGGTTCTCTCTCCTGCAGTTGTTGTGGTTCTCTCTCCTGCAGTTGTTGTGGTTCTCTCTCCTGCAGTTGTTGTGGTTCTCTCTCTCCTGCAGTTATTGTGGTTCTCTCTCCTGTTGTTGCTGTGGTTCTCTCTCCTGCAGTTATTGCGGTTCTCTCTCTCCTGCAGTTATTGTGGTTCTCTCGCCTGCAGTTATTGTGGTTCTCTCTCCTGCAGTTATTGTGGTTCTCTCTCCTGCAGTTGTGGTTCTCTCTCCTGCAGTTGTTGTGGTTCTCTCTCTCCTGCAGTTATTGTGGTTCTCTCTCTCCTGCAGTTATTGTGGTTCTCTCGCCTGCAGTTATTGTGGTTCTCTCTCCTGCAGTTATTGTGGTTCTCTCTCCTGCAGTTGTGGTTCTCTCTCCTGCAGTTGTTGTGGTTCTCTCTCTCCTGCAGTTATTGTGGTTCTCTCTCTCCTGCAGTTGTTGTAGTTCTCTCTCTCCTGCAGTTGTAGTGGTTCCCTTATCTCTTGCCGTTTTTGTGGAACTAGTGAAAACACAAGTGGTGAAACACGGATTGACTGGGTGCCAATTCTTAACTGTAGCCACTCTTCACCCAGCAGTGAATGGGTACCTGGTTGTTAAAAGATTTGGCGGGTCGTATCCCGGGGGAAAAATTGGGATTAAGGACCTGCCCGAAACGCTATGCGTGCTAGTGACTTTACAGGAATGTAAGAGCTTTTTATAAATATATACAAAACTTACGTAATGCTAGGAAGCTTTGGGTAATTAGAGAACCCGTACGATGCCCAGAATACAATGTCGGGTTATGGTACAAGGGCAAAAAAAATGTTACCGGGCTATGTAATTCACAGGTGAAGCCGCCATATTGAATGGAGTCTAACGGTAGTCAGGTGACTTGGCGGGAACGGTCCTCACCTGACCTTGGTGTCTTTTTATTCGGCTGAAATTACCGGATTCACTCACCCTCGTGACGTTACAGGAACTCTGGGACGAAACCAATCAGGGGACAAGTCAATGTAGATGCTACCGTTTGATTGATGTATTCATATAATAGTTCATTGAGGTTACCAAGCAGCTAGAGCTTGAGCCATGAGTGGCAAGGATCAGTCCGAGTGCCATAACTCCGACAGTCGGGTATGTTCTATGTCTGTCCCGGACCGAGATAGAGCCATGGTCTTAGTGCTGCCTGCATCAAATACCATCACCTGAATTATCACTACTGTTAGTGCTGTGAATCCTGAATTGTTCGAGTTAACAAGATATACAAGAGGACATTATTGATAAGAACTGTGTGGTAGCCGTGGTCATTACAGACACGTGACCCCCATTGTGTGCAGGGGATGTGGGTCCAACGTAACAATTGTCTCTTGATATTCCTAGAGTCAGACTAAACCTGTGCTAACACTATTGAAGTAAAAGGACACAAAGGACCCAGTATATGGAACTCGCTCCCTTATGAATTAAAAAAATGTCCCGCCGATACTTTATTCAAAAGTAAAACCAAAAAGTACCTAATTTCAACCTCACAGTTCCCACCTTGTACTACCCCACTCATCTAATTTAGTTAATTTAGTACTTAAGACATTCAACCTCATCAATATAATCATGTCTATCAATTTGTAATATAGTCATTATGTTGAGTTTACATTCTATTCCTTTTATTTATTTATATAAAGAGGTACATTGGGTTTGTGAGAGTACATAACATTGGTGTTCTTACATTCTTACAAAGCCACTAACACGCACAGCGTTTCGGGCAAGTCCTTTATTACCTTTATTGTTTAGTTTAAGGACTTGCCTGAAATACATTTTGCGTTAAAGTGGCTTTGCAAGAATGTTACACTCAAACCCCAATGCACATACTTTCTCAAACCAATGTACCTTCTTGTATATAAACAAAATGAATAAAATTTCCTCCTGTCTGCGGTAAGAGAATTGTGGACAATTGAGATTGCAGTGTTGAAACCACCTGAGGTCACACACAAAAAATGTAAACGAGACATTGTGTTTGGAGCGAAATTTAAGCAAGGCCATTTCATTTTGTATAAACACACTCACATTTATAGCTGCCCATGAGGTAGCCTAGTTTGATCTGCCTGCAAGTACTTGGAACAGGTTGAGGTAGAATCCCAGAAACAAGAAGTTGTTACAAGAATGTAACAACTCTTGTATATATAAAAAAAAAAAACTAGATATATTCCGAATTCAAGCCTGGCATGTCCAGCATTAAGTGATGACTCGTTAGTGCCTGTGAGTATAACGCACCTGTCGATTACACATGTAGCTATGTCATGTTCAGAAGATATTTATGTTTTGTGCATGTAAATCAATGTCCCGAGCATCCACATTGGAACTTCTTTAATACCTTTGTAACTGTGTGATTAGAAAGCTGTATAATGAAGACATAAACCAGTGTTAAGGAGAGGGTTAAGTATTATTCTGTGGGATGGTTACAATTTGCAACTCATTGATTAGTTTGTGCATGACACATTTTAAATAGAAAAACCTAACCATGTACTGTATGTAGAATCAAGCACTAATGAATAGTTACATTAATACACATGGTCATATCTGTGTGGTGATGTTGCAACAAAGATGGTCTGGACAAAGTTAAGTTTGGATAATCAATACCAGTTGGGCTCGGAAGAACATGTTTATTTACATGTGATTTTTCAAATGTTTCAGGTATTTCATTATCCAACATCAGTGAACACTGTAAAACATTAAAAAATTAGAAAAAATAAAATAAAGATATTGTTTTCAATAGTTCTGAATATAAATAAAACACCATTTAATAATAAGTAAACAAAAATGCTATTTTTCACACATTATGCAATAAAAACACCAAAATACTGTACAGTACTTTCATGACAACAAAAAAATGCAACAGACCCTAACTATTCAGAGATTTTTTATTCTTGGACAGCAAAATAGTGTAAAAACATTCTCTCTCATGAAGTGACTCCATGAACCATCTGTGTCAGAATTTGGTAGCCAGCTACTTGGTGTCGTCTTGCAAACATATTCCCCCAAGATTAGCAAGGGCCTGTGCATGTACATTATATACAATTAAAGAGAAAAATGCACGACGATAATTTAAAAAAATTGGAACCGATATAAACAGTATTATACTTGAGCCAGCACAAAATATCGTCTAGTAACATACAATTTTTGTTTAACCTATCAATAGTATTCAACATGTTTAGAGCTCCATTTATAATTAGCAAATTGTGCATACTGGTAACTGTAATTCTGATTTTGTTCTAAAAACTGATTTATGCAGTCTGTGCTCACTTTCTTTATAAGTTGGTGTTCATTACTAAATTAAAACACTGGTTGTAGCAAACATCTGTAAACACAGTCAATATGACTAGATAATACACTAAAAAATATACATACCTTCCACTACTTATTACAAAATATTTATATTTTCTGAACAGAAACCAGTAACTTCTAACCACCATTACAGCCTTTGATAGCTAGCTGTTAAACCATAAATTTATTAATTTTATTTACATTTACATTACTGAAAACTTAAATTATGTATACCAGATTTTAAATGCAAAAAACAAATGCTACTTATTTCATCTTAAAGAAAATTGCTCTTACATAAAGCTAGAGTAATGAGACTTTCTCTTACCTCTGCTGTAACGAGGATTGTTCCCTTACCGCTGCTGTAACGAGGATTGTTCCCTTACCGCTGCTGTAACGAGGATTGTTCCCTTACCGCTGCTGTAACGAGGATTGTTCCCTTACCGCTGCTGTAACGAGGATTGTTCCCTTACCGCTGCTGTAACGAGGATTGTTCCCTTACCGCTGCTGTAACGAGGATTGTTCCCTTACCGCTGCTGTAACGAGGATTGTTCCCTTACCGCTGCTGTAACGAGGATTGTTCCCTTACCGCTGCTGTAACGAGGATTGTTCCCTTACCGCTGCTGTAACGAGGATTGTTCCCTTACCGCTGCTGTAACGAGGATTGTTCCCTTACCTCTGCTATAACGAGGATTGTTCCCTTACCTCTGCTGTAACGAGGATTGCTCTCTCACAGCTAGAGTAACGAGACTTGCTCTCTCACAGCTAGAGTAACGAGACTTGCTCTCTCACAGCTAGAGTAACGAGACTTGCTCTCTCACAGCTAGAGTAACGAGACTTGCTCTCTCACAGCTAGAGTAACGAGACTTGCTCTCTCACAGCTAGAGTAACGAGACTTGCTCTCTCACAGCTAGAGTAACGAGACTTGCTATCTTATGACTAGTGTAACTGGTTCTGTTAAATATTAAGGAAACTTGACATTTTTAAGTGAGAGGTCAACTATTACAGTACTACAATACTGGTAATTGGGAAATTATCATGGCAGTCTATGTTACAATCTCACAATTACTGTATATGGGTTTTAGAAAGAATATCTTTCCTTACAAATTTAAAGAATATAAATGGTCTGTTAGAAAGAAGTTCACATATTTGATACAAAACTTGCAAGAAGCTTAACTTACTTAAAATATAAATAAATACTGGCACAATTCAATGAAGAGGTATAAAATATGCAAGTCTATAAATAATAATATGAAAGGACCTAATTTAAATATTAACACAACAGTAAGACCAACGTACTTTGGTAAACTACACATTGTGCAGACTATGAACCTCCCATGTTTTGTCTTGCTAAGTCATGAGCTGCCAGCTGCTGCTGGTCTCTCTCTGGCATGTTGTCTTCCCTTGATATAAGGGTTGGCATCACTCAAGTCTCACTATGGTTTTCCCTTTGTTAGTCTTCCTGTCAACCCTGAGAACTAAACAAATAATGCCCCATCTCAAAACGCTAATACTCATCATAAAAGATGCACCATCCCTGTCTTATACTGGCCATAATTAGAATTGAGGAATAAACCTTTCAAATCAACATTCTCCAAACAATAACATTCTCTAATTATACGAAAGATATAATTATTCAACCAAACTTTGAGAATGCAAATATCCAAGAATATTTCAATAAATAATGGCAATATTAAAAACTACAAATACCTGTATATCACTATTAAAAGCATGATTAATGTTAATGAACAAATTAAAATAAGTTAGCAAAACATGTTCAGTATGATTCCTTGAGGAACCCTGCTCATGGTCAAGGGAATGCAACAGTATATTTCTTCATATTGCACAAATACAGTATTGTACTTCATTCCAAAATCTGTAATGGATGAGACTTGTGTAAATAAATATTAGATTACATATAAAATTAACCTACAAAATCTTTCATGCATATTCACATAAGTTGAATATTTAGTAAAAACAGTTCATAAAATCTTAACAGAATAATTTTGTATACAAAAAATCTTTGCCATAGGTTTACACAATTTTTTTTTATGCATGCCATATGTCTCTCAATTATAATTGGCACAAAACTGAGTTTTGTTTGCAAGTTTACAACACATTTCGCTAAAACCGGTAATAATGGGTTAAGAATAGCATCACTATTCACAACACACGACGTTGTGTAAATTCGGCTACAAAATATACACACACTGCCTACAATTTTAACCCATTGATTGCTTCTCATCAATATTCAGAGTGGCAGTCTTATACTAGTATTATAGGTAGTTACACCAGCATCAGTCCTCATAAGCATTAATTACAGTACACTCTCAACTCAACATGGGTGGAATTTAACTCTTACTGGCCTAGACTGTGACATACATTGATTGGAGGATTACAGTAGGTGTGCTAACAGTGCAAACATCAGTAACAGATGACAAAGGAATTAAGTTTTATTGCAAATTTTTTAATCCAGGCAGAATTTGTATATCTGTACATAAAACACAGTAATCTAACCTAAAAGAAATGTCTTAATATATAAAACTCATTTAAAACAAATTTTAGTGCTAGTGGCATTTTCACACCCAAGAAAATAGGTCACAATTAAAGGATATGCAATACAGTACTGATAAATCTAATAGGTCTAATAACTCAAACACCCAAACTTCATGCTCAGAGAGTGACATTAGAAATTAAACATAAAAATATGTTTATCCTAGGTAGAACATGAAGCACTTTATTTATTTCCAAATTTATAAACACTTTTGCAAAGAAACTGAAAATTAGTCTTCATGGTAATTTTCAAAATTTAGCATACAGTAGAATTCACATCATGTGAATGAAATGGCTAAAGGAATAATGCAACAGCTTCAATGCAAGATAAAAGTGGGGGCTTTCAGTGTTGTTAGACCAACTCTCAGTTGAATACAACCCTATGCTGTGATGCAAGTCATCAATACCAACAATGCCAAGTTATTTTATTGATTTTTCTTCAAAGGTATAAATATTTAGTTATTGAACTCATAATATGGGTCCCGGTAATACAGTTGGGTTCTGTCCCAATGCACAATCGAGAATTCCAGGTTTGAATCCTGGGCGGGAGGGAATGGGTTGAGCACATTTCCTCTCACCTAATGCACCTGTTCACCTAGCAGTAGGTACTCGGGAGTTGATCAGCTTGTTGTGGGGTTGAATCCATGACTGGGTCAGTAATTAGACCTGGGGGGGGGGGGGAGGGCAGAACCTTGATAAAAGCCAAAGGTGTATGAATACACTCTGGATTCCTGTCCCCCGACACAATGAATTATTATTATTATTACGTGGATTTGGGTATCATGTAGGCGAGTTTTGAAGCCAATTCCTGTTGTAGGGAACAGGAAGCCTGTACTTACTGCATCGAGTTTCTCGTTAGGGTGAATTACCAACTTTCCCTAGGATGCAAACCCACACTAGCTGTCCAACTCCTGGGTACCTATTTATGGCTAGATGTTCAGAGGCATAAGGTGGAAGGAAACATGCTCAACCACTTCTGACCTGGGAATCAAATACGGCATCCCCCAGTTGTGAATCAAGAACATGAACCGCTGTACTACAAGACTCTACCTTGTGGGTTATGTGGGTTGAGAATGAATTAGTGTGACTAGTCCACACTAATCTTGAGGTCTACCACATTCAGGCTCCAATACACCCTGCATCGTGTTTTGCAAATTTTGGGGGGTTAGTTATACATAACTAAGCATCCCAAGCATTCTAGACTTCATTATGTGCTAAATTGGTGTTGCTGGAAAGTGAAGAGAGCAGTTAATGTTAAAATAAGCATTTTATTAAGAGTAGAAACAAATGGAGTGCTGAGGAAGTAAGTAAGTAATTATCAAAAGAAGGCACCAAACCTTGAAGGCTATGTAAGGAGTGCTGAGGAAGGTATTTCTGCTTTTTCTGATATGCAGTACTGAACTTTTAAGTATGATTTGTGCAGTTTTCATTTGTGCAATTTTTGCAGGAACATAGTCCCTATGGAAATTGGGGCTGCCTCTAGCAAGGCTTGATTCTCCCAGCTAATCACCAGATACAAGTGAGAAATTCATCAAGAAAAAGAAAGAGCATTTAGGAAAGCCATACCAAAGCAGCACTGAACACTATGTCAAGTAACTCAAGGATGTGTGCGCACATTACAGGAAAATGCAGTTTACTCTATAATGATTGCACTGCTGCACCAGTGTGCTGTTTACAGGAATTACACACAGTGGAAGCAATTCTTTAGTACAGGTGAGTAAAGAAATTACAGTACAAAGTCAACTTGCACCTTCTTTGGTAATTGTTTTTGCATTGTAAACCTACAATGCTCTGTATACAGCAGCAAAACACAAAAAATGACCACAATACAGTAACAAATATTGAGCATGACAAAGGTATAACCTTCCTTCCCCAAAAACGTTTTTGTCAATATATATTTAGCTCATGCCACTTATTTTGGCTATTGTATCTTCTTGTATACACTCTAAACTATAGTACTGAGCTGTATACAAAATATTGCAAATTCTCTAACTATGTGCTACAATTTACCATGCAAGTGCTTCTGCACAGTGATCACAAAACTGCAATGCATTTGTGCTAGCCGATTGTAAACTGGACGCTTAGTGTCATGTCATTATTGGTTATACAGTATTTAAAAATTTGATTTTAATTAAAATTCAGCTGTAAAATAAATAATTAATTTGATCTAATTTACTACTGTAAAGTTTCTAAGCATGGAATTTTCTGTAAATTACAGAATTATACAGAAATGTGTGCATTCACATTATACAAATAAGTTTATTTTTATAATTTTAAATTCACTTCTGGGTGAATTCTTAACCCCCGACGCCACTCTTAACACCCCCGGATCCCACTTTTGTTCAGAAATTACGGGCGGCCATGACAAGCATTCAGCCAACACCACCACGCCAACCGACAACACGTGCTACATGTGTGCCTCATGAGCTCTACACAGCTGAACGCGTGTTTGTAAGAATCGACGTTGTCCGGTGCCCTCTAGTCACCTTACAAGGGACCATTTAAAATGGTTTCTCAAACACTGAAGTTCACCATCGAATGCCAAGGCAAGCGGGAAAAACGTCTCCATCGACTGCCTAAAACCAGGACACTGTAACGCTGCCCCAGACCTTCCTCCAGAAACACATTCGCTAACGACGTCATACATTTTTTGACAGCAGTTACCAGCAGCACCAACACCTGATCCTATAACAACGGACGATCCTGTGCGACCTCTCACCCTACAACCCCAGTTAGATGACATCAACGAAGAGGAGGAAGTAACTTCGAAGGTTATGCTACGCGAGCAGGGCGTACAATTCCTCATCCCCTGGGAGGGGAAGTTATGTAGCGAGTATATTATACCAATAATATACCTGCTTCAAACTCTCATTAGCTTAATGAGATGGGTTTGTTAAGTCTACATAATCCACTAATAACAATTAATACCTCTTCCCAAATGTACAGTTAATATCTTTTCCCTAACCATTTAGAGGATGGTGAGGTGAGGTGTGGACCGATTATATAAGCAGCCGATAGCAAATACAGTACTCCACAGATCTCCAGTATCATCTATTGATACTGGTAATGGTTCAAAAGGGCCACCACTTACGGGCTATTCATGCTCGTGCCACCTCTTCGGTGGAAACTGTCTTCTGTCATCAGTATACCATCACTCCTTCCAAGGACAAGTATTCTAATCCATATAACCTGGCCAACAAAGTTGTCATTTCCTTTCCTATTCTGAAGGAAAGAGGAGGTACAACGTGGTTGATTTCTGGAAGAACTTCAATATAAAAATGCCATCTACATCAACAACACTTTAAAGTGATAAACAGACTAACAGTTCATTTGGCAAGTCACCCCAATATTTTTTGACTCTTAGAGAAAGTGCTTAAGCTGTCCTAATCTACTACCACTTAAAAAACAAAAGAGTAAGGAAGTTGGTGCTATGCCTCCTGCCTTCATGCTTGTACCAGCAATGAAGCAATTTGTGGATCAGATCAAAACTTTCTACAGAATACCGAGTGACCCAAATGGTTTGCATTCTTCTTAAATACGGTACACACTCTCACACTTGCATATGAAATTTGCATTAATTTCACAATAAAAAATTATGCTTTTAATTTGAATATTGAATATTTGTATTATGTATTATTTAAATAAACCTTACAATTTTACAGCTTCTGTAAAAATATTGTAATCTTGTTTTCTAAATGTCTTGATACTGGAATGTAAAACTATTTTTTCCATGCGATTCAGTACAGTTTAAAGCCCGCACTAGCATGAAAATGATGATCCACAACAAAATATTAAGTGGTTATGATTAAAACAGTGTCCCTTGGGAACACATCACCACCACAAACAGAGTATACACTATTAATTTATAATATTAAATATTTTATATTTAAATTTTTTAAATGAGCCTTAATTCTGTAGTTCAATGGCTAAGCAAATAAACATTATTGATGATTAACAAAAATTATTATCCAAGCACATGTTTCACATTAAGCTTGGAGACAGATTTTTCTGCAACTTTATTAATTACATTGTAGTGACTGATCTATTATACCCAAGTCATTTATCAAGACATCTGTGTTGGTAATGACACAGACAATGTACTGCTTAGCTGCCCGAAGATACCTGGAAGTGGGTAACTTATCCATGCATGGCATGGATATGTTACTCATTGTACACACACATCACAAACCAGTAATTTTTCTGTGCCATGTAAATATTACTGGTCTGAATATATTCCCTCAAACCCTTGCATCATATTTTTATTTCAGTCATGCATCACTGCAGTCGTGCATATGGTAGTAGCATGCAACAGTCTCAATACATTGTCAAGGACTAACAAGAAGTGTGGTGTTTGCTACATAGAAAAACAGAAATTCAGTACCATATACAATACAACAAAACAGTTGTATACAAGGCCACACACTAATTGGTCTTTATTAAATTCTGTATTTCTTATATTTTTAATGTTACCTGAAGTTGTAATTAAATAGCAATTTGCTAAAAATGGGAGTAGCCGCATGTTACTTCTACTGTACATAGACATATTCATTCCTCAACTAATCCAACTTGTATTATAGGAGAAACTATTAATATAACAGTAAGTAGTGCATTTTTAGACAAATTAAACCAGTTTACCAAGTCATTTATCCAGTAAGACACCCCAAGATTTACCATATCTACTTAATTTCTTGAACCCCTTCAGCACTATCAGTCATTATAATAGGTCAGTCACTGTATTTGCACAACTTTACATAATATATGGCAGATTTGAAATACAGCAAATTATACTTAACATGTCAAGTATACTGTACACAGATGTGATTAAAATGGTTAAAAATCAATAACATGTCACATTAGTCCATCTATAAAATACAGAACAGTACTGTATCATAAAAACAATTTTTAAATAATATTCAACTGATTTATGAAATGAACTGTACATCCAGTTCACACAATTTACTTAGGTTCCAACTTGGTATTCACAATTATGATGCACGAAGTTTGGCTCTTGCCCATGTGTCTCGACACAAAAATGACTAGATGTGTACACACCAGACAATAACAGACACCCAACTCTACCTGCAATAGTCTCTTAGGTTTGGATTCAACAGAATTCCTCCAGTATGTCTTCTTTCAGAGTAATACATCACCGTATTCATTAATACTGTCTTTTAAAGCCCATTACATAAAGAAAAATGTCACCTCTTAATTATTTAAAGATTATTAATTATTTAAACTCACCATTTGTCAATGATCATACCAGTGGCCTGCATTATGATGCACAACTCCCCCCCACACACACACTCATCTTGTAAGACAATTTCCTGGCTACACACTTGGCCACGATCTGTGGTTGTGCACTAGCTTAAACATTGCTTATTTTGCATTATTAACTTATTGTCTCTTAAATAGAGAGGATATCTCTTGTCAAGTTAGGTCCAACTACAACCCCTGGAATGGTTATATTTATGAATGATGTGTTTAAATGAACGTGTTAATGTATTATTTGTTGTTCACATCTTATAACATAACACCTACATCTTGAACATTTTCTCTCTCAATATTTTCATTATAAATAAATTATAAAATGCAGTTTAAAACACACATTTTCTTCAAGAATACAAACTTTCAAGTGCACACGTAGATATGTATCTTACTTTTCCTAACATTAAATTGTGAAGTAGCATTGGCTTGTTAACATGCACATAATCAGTCTGGAAACTGTATCTAATGCCCCAACATATAACAAATTTGATGCACATTTAAATGGCAAGTTCTCAAAAGATCTTCAAAGCAATTTTAAGTACAGAACGGTACAGCATTTCTTTAATTTCCAAGATTATATAGGATTAATTTTTTTAGATTCTTCTTCCAAGCAACATTCCTTAACAGTACATTGTATTACTACTTTTAATAACCTGTCATGGCATGCGGGCTATAAAAGTTAACTTACAATGGAAGTGTACAAAAATTTTTATTACCTGTGCTTTATTATAAAAAAAAGGCTTTGAGTCAATATATAAAGCACCTTTCTGAGCTACTTGGTAGCTCCCTAAGGTAAGTTTCAGTCAATAAAACATTTGATTCATGTAGTCAGGTTAGATGATTCAGGCACTGTTGCAGCATTTTACAGCACTGTTATTGTACATACTGTACTTTCAAATACTGTTTCCTAAAAAAATGTCTACTGCTCTACAGGGTCATGCATGGCAGTAGAGAAGTACAAAATGACTGTCAGAATCACATCCAAGAAAAATTCAAATCCCAACAGAATGATCATTTTGCATCACGTGACTGCCAAGTGAGATATCTTAATGTGGTCAAACTAGTAACCCACAACCAAGTGGCAATATCAATGCCTGACAATATCTGCCTGAGCCAGACAAAGTGTCTCTGAAGCAAACAGGAAATCTGTACACAGATAAGAGCGAGATAATGGATGGGACTGGGAACAAATGAATGGCTGTTTAGAAAGATGCTTTTCATATTGACTCAGCTTTACTTCTGAACTATCACATTTGGTTGAACATTAAGATGAGCACACAACATAACCAAAAATAGAAAACTAAATCGGTTAAAAACCTATAAGGGAATGGGGCTCCCTTGTGGTGCAAAGTGATGCAAAACCTCAAACATAAAAGATAACACTATCAACCTGTACAGAAAGAACTTCTCTGGCAACCCTGAAGCTTTGCATCCCTCCCCCAAAGGAGAAGAGGAGCGGGTGTTAACAGCCCAAATCACTTGCCGTATGAGCAGACCAGATTCTGGTCCTTGTTTGTGGTAGACCTACACAAGACCAGAGACCTGGTAGTGTTAGGTGGGTGTAGTACAAACTAATGCAGCCGAGCACCCTTCGCTTGATGCAATGAATGAATGACATACTATCCCAGTGCAGCCAGATCACCAAGCCTTCTGTGAGTGCCAGAAGCTCTTACAGAAGAGTTAGAGAGCTAGTATTCACTGTCAAGAATACCATGCCTGACTCCCATGACCCCTAACCATAATGCAAAGTGAGGGTTCTGTAAGGCTTTGAATCTTTATGGATACACCACCTCTGATAATCTGGGATGGACTAGGCTTTTCTCTAATGCCCCCCTAGCACCCAATCTGACAACCTTTATGCTAAAAAGATACCTGCAGAGCTGGTGACCCATTATCGTACTCTTTGACTTATGATTTCCATCTATGAAGATGGATTCTTACCTTAAGGAACAACCAAATGTGAGAGTTTAAAAATAACATAAATACATATTAAACAACCATAAAAAAGTTCAGTCTATTAAACTAAACTGATGTTAAATTTCTGCAGTTTCTTGAATGGCAGGAAACATTTACATAACATTAGATTTTACTTATTTAACATGCTTTAAAAAATTTGCCAAATTACAGGAACAGCATCATCCTTTATTATCTCAAACATCATACTGATGTACCTCACATATTTAAAGAATATCAATAATCCACATGTTAATTTTACAATTCCCCCAGACTGAGTCTTAAGGATATCAACCTACATGCCTCATTACCAATGTCAATGTAACAAATTTGTCAAAACCTGTACATACAAGTTAAGACTCTTGACGAGACCGTCCATCGCGGCGTGTTTGTGCACGTGTGCGCACATTGTTATGTTGTGACTTGACTTCTGCAGTGACTCTTTCACACTTTTTACCAGTGTGTTTCTTCTCAACCTGTAATGAGCAAAAAACCCAGCATTGAATGTAATGAAACGCCATATCCTGGGCGAGACCCGGAAGGTTTCCCGGAGCTATCTGGACTGATATGAATGTATTAGACCCAGGCATCAGTCAACATGCATGGAGTTCTAGGCCTACCGGGGACCATGAGCCAGACCCCCCTCAGAGAGGCAGGAGGAGCAATGGCCTATAGAAACCCCTGTGTGGTTGGAAGCATTCTATGTCTGCCATCGACTGGGTCAGGCACCCAGAAAGGTATACACCCCCAAAACAAACCACTATTTTGATTAAAATATTGCTAATGAAAGTTGAACTAGTGGACAGAACTCCCCAAATGAAAACGAGTAAACGAGCATGACGTCACAATGATGCTGTCTGTGCAAACCCTGCCCCTCCCTGGGAGGGGGAAAGGGGAATGGAAACCATCAACGAAGCCACCCGACGTCCCATCTGACGGGCAGCAGTAAAAGCATGGCAATAGCGAGAGTGGGCATGTTGTGGGGACCTTGTGAGGTTGTGAAAAAGGAAGTAAAGATCACAATGATCCTGTAGAGACAGGAAGCCACTTTCAGCATACAAGCTATGGGTGGGGGAAAATGAAAGGCACCAGAGCTGAAGCGTAACCCAATAAGATGCAGAGCATCAAGACGACAAATGATCGAGGGAGAGGCAGAGGAATAGCTAAGACAGCCATAATTGAAATTTGATAGCATGAAAGAGGAGTGCAAATAGAGGAATGGGTATCTATCAGTTCCCCAGGAAGTATGGGATAGAACTAAGGCAATATTGCCGGAACAACCGTGGACATCTTCAAGAGAAAACTGGACTGTTTTCTAAGAGAAGTTCCGGATCAGCCGGGCTGTGGTGGGTATGTGGCCCTGCGGGCCACTCCAAGCAACAGCCTAGTGGACCAAACTCTCACAAGTCGAGCCTGCTTGGGGAATAGAAGAACCCTCAGAACCCCATCAAGCAGGAGGGCCTTAGAGCATTCAACTCTAAGGTCAGAGACATGGGGAGACCAAGACAAATGAATGTCAAAAATCAATCTCAAGAGTTTAACATAACACTTATACTCTACGGAAAGGGATTACCATAGAGTGACAATAGCGAATGAGGAAAGACATGGCTCCAAGTTAAATTCAATAGCACAATTCCTAGTAGTAGAGAACTTGAGTCCATGATTGGTGGCCCAGGATTGTGTAGAGCTAGTGTTGGAGGAAAGAGAAGTCATCACTGCAACAGATGAGTGAGATCATAAACAAAGGACTGAGAAAATGCCAAGGAAAAGATAGACATGATTTATGGAATATATAAAAAAAAAGTAGTGCTCAAAACCCAACCCTGGGAAATTCCTTCATATTATTGGAAAGAGGCAGAGAAAGCAGTACCATGTCTCATTTTAAACAAACACTGAGAAAGTAAGATTTGAAGAAAAGTTATAGGCCATTAAGGCCAAATAATTTTAAATAACAATTCATTGTGTTTGGGGACAGGCAGCCAGTGAATATACACATGTTAGGCTTAAATCAAAGGAATGAACTTCTATGGTCCACGAGAGGCATAGCAAAGAACAGAGCAGAGGGAAGCATCTATTAAGGTATTGTGAGAAAGGAGGAGTGATGAAGAGGCAAATCAGATGTACTGGAAGAGCAGCATGAAGGGTAAAAAGACCAGTCTGCCTGATCAAACTACCAAGGGAAAAAAGAGTGGAGGACAGAAAGAAGAGATGAGAATGGGGAAATGGTCACTAAGAGAGGTCATAGAGGAGTTTCCACATCACATGTAAATGGAAGAGAAGCATAGCAATCAATACCGGAAAGAGTGCAAGTGTACGAGTCTACATATGACAAGTCACCGAAATTCGATTATAAAAAAAAAAATGGAGAGAGAGGATGAAAGGTTCTAAAAGACAGCCTTGGGCACGAGAGTAAAAGGAGCTAATAGAAAGTGCAATATGTGGGAGGGAAAGGAAGACAGACAGAACAGACGGTATACCATTTACAAAGACATGGACAGCGGTGTAATGAACTCTCATATGAAGAATAAGGGTAACGAAGGGAAAACATTTTTGAATCAGGAGAGCAGTTGAATTAGGGGTTCTGTTTACTTGAGGCGTGAGAAACCAGATACAAGCCCTGTGAACCGGCAGGAATTTTAAATTTTATGCAGTACAGTACTTTAAAGCTTCTCCAACCATGTCATACACTTTACAGATAATTAGTGAGATCATTCCCAGCCTTATCACACAGTGAAAGGGTTAGAGTAGGAATGAACAGTATTTTCAATTAACATGGTTTTTTGTATGTCTTATGTTACCTGACTTTCACATTCATAATCCCTCTATGGATAACCATGAGAGCTCATTGGCTATTGGCTAAATATCATAATCATACCAATAGAATGAACATGGGAATCATTTTGATTTGTAATATACAAACAAGAGGTAATCAGATCAACTACATAAATTCATTATACTGTTTACAGTGGAAACTTAATGACCTTACCTGTCCCTCCTGACCTGGTGCTCCATTGGCCATGTGTCGCTTTGAGCTATAACCATTAGCGATTACCCCATTGGCCTCACTCTTGTGATGCGCTCTTCCACTCTTACTCTCCTTCAGCTTTCTCTGGTACTAGAAACAATAATAATAATAATAATAATAATAATAATAATAATAATTTCACCTGGGCTCTAGGAGACTCAAACCACGGACCCCACATGTGTGAGGCAGAAGCTCTATCCACTCAGCTGAGTAGTCTTAATAAGTCTACTCGCGGCCGAGTGAATAGAGCTTGTACACGTGTGGGGTTCATGGTTTCTCTCTCCTAGAGCCTAGGTGAATTAAATGTTTATTTCCATGGAAATGTGGATGACAATTTAATAATAATAATAATGATAATATTGTATCATTATTCACTGCCAATTGTCATCACTGAAAGAAGAATGCTGATGAAGACAAAAGCAACATAGAAAATGGGAGATCGTTTTTCACCCATTGGTACAGGGAATCTTTAACTTAAAAATGAGATGCGTCGTAAAAAAGGCATTTTGTAAGTTGGAAGAGATTTTTCATAGGAACAATGCTATAAATGGGGAAAGCTTTCTCAGATCACAAAAATCTTTATAATTAAAACTATTTAAGTTTTAGGGAAAAGTATGATAATATAAATTGCACAATACTGTACAGTATTTAACTTGAGTGACCAAGTTTTCCTGATCATCAAAGTAATTTTTGAAGAGAAAATTAAGAGGTTAATTACTAGGAGGAATTTAATTACCTGCACCTTCTTTTCCAGGGTAATGGCTCACCTCTTCCTTGGTATCAGTGCACCACAAACACACTGCCTCTTTTTTTAGTATCTACAGTATTACTAGGAATATTTTCATTTATAAACAGCTAAAATAGGCTTGTGTCTACACTGACTTGGCAGGGGAGACAGCCATAATGCAGGGAAGTCAGAGCTGGTTCACATAGTAAATCAAGATGCTCAAGTGCACTAAAATGAAGACTAATGAGACCGTTTGTAAAGTTGGGAACTCCCTGTATGACATATCGAGAACAAGAGGTGAAAGATTTTAATTACAAAAACAATTAAGCATTGACTATGATGAAGAGCCTGTTTTTGGAAAGATTTTAGGTAGCCAAAAGGTAGCTTGCTTCAAGGCACAGCAGCTGGAATTGTACTGAATATAATTTGTTTTATTTATGTCTTATTGTAGTGTATCAACACCCACATGAAATGTAAATTTCAGTTAAAATTCTAATTAGACTGCATTTTCAAACTTTTATTAATTGATATGAAATTAAGAGTGTATATGGATTGTCTATTATATCCTTAAAAGAAATGTTGTATAAGGCTTCAAAAATTCTTCTACAAAACTTCAGGAACTGTTCCTTTCAGCTAAGAAAGGGGTCTAGCAATTTGGGTTCTGCACGATGTAACTTAATACATGTGAAATAGATATGATAGTTTGTAAACTCAGAATTAGCCACTATCAGCGATAGCTTGTTAGATAAAAATTTGCAATAATCCCCGTTAACAATTAGATGTTACTACAAGCAATTATTTAATTAACAACATTCAGTTTGACTTCACTGCTAAATTATACTTGCATCTATTCAACCTATATAATAAGTATGTTGAAGGGAAATTTGAAATCATTAGTTAAAAAACACAAAATTATACCTTGAGTCTGTAGGCTTGTACATAGAACTGTCCAAAGAGCACAATGAAGCTACTCATGTACACAACCAGTGCATATTGCATCCACAGTGGGAAGTCACACCCAACAACAATGGCTCGAGCTCCAAGTACTCCTGCACTAGTAAACTGAATCTGCAAAGGACAATTTTTTTCCATTATAAACTTATAATTAATTCTTTTTATCATATTAATATATTTATATAATCTTTTAATTATTAATTATAATTTTTAATAAACTCTAGAACTGAAGAGAGAGCTAGCTGAACACTAGCTAATCAATGAGACAATGGTCTCATTGAATACCTATTGAAACCAGAATATTAGTTCATAAATGTGATACTGTATGATTATACTGTACACAAGAAAAATGCGACTTTTGGTGAAGATGAAAGGCAGCTTTGACTGATGTCATTCAGTTGCCCCATAAAGCAAAATCCACCCAGTTCTCTAGGAGAGGTTTTTGATATTTGGGCCATAGACAAGTAAGGTAATTCCCATAATTCCCATAAAACATAAAAGACATTTGTGCTAAACTGCACAATTTGGATAACATGCATATACTGTGTATTATATACATATATATTATATATTATATACATATATATTATATATTATATATATATATAATTATATAAATTATATATATAATTACCTTTTGTATTGGAGGGGATCTAAACATTCCCTCTAATGCGTTATGCGTGGTTTCCTCCGAGGCTATGGGTCCCCCTTCTTCCAGCTAGAGGTGGTACTCCCTTCCTATATATTATATATATAATATATATATGTATATAATACACAGTATATGCATGCTATCCAAATTGTGCAGTTTAGCACAAATGTCTTTTATATTAAGACCATCCAAATTCTGTATCACTTAGTATTGTAAAATATATTATATATATATATATATTAATATATATTTATTTATTTGTACTTACTAATTGAATACAGGTGATATGTTTCTTCCACCACAAGTATTTCTGTATGGAAGGTCCAAATGCTGAGAGACCATAGTAGGCATACATGATCACATGTACAAAGCTGTTCATCATGGCTGCTAGGAAGGCTGTAATAAATATTGCATAAAGAAAATTACATTTAATATTTTCACATATAAAGAACGGGAAAGAAGTAGAAATATAAACTACTAGCGATTCCAGATCCGAGTATGACTAGACGTAGTCGTGCTGAATAAAGAAGGTGTATTTCACTGACCAAGCCAACCTTATTTATTCCTTGCTCCATGGTGATCACTTTCATTTAGAGAATTTAGAAAATTACCCTCAAAATTTACAGCAAATTTAAGTACAGTATTCACAATAAATGTTTGGGGTGTGATTATCCATATAGTTATAATTTGTGCTAAAATCTGAAATTAGTGTGCCTTAACCCTTAGACCGCACAATACATACATATATGATTTGTCAAAATAATTTAACACAAGTTTTTAAAGCTTGCACAAACCCCTTCCAATTTTTTTTGCATAATCAACTAGGCAAATGCTCCAACTTTGTCTAAATGATCACAGCATAACTTGAAAAACAAGAGAATCACAATTAATTTTAAAATTGAATATTGAAAACTTCAGATTTTCAATTCAAAATAATGAATACGAACTATCACCCATTGTTCATTTAATGTTATTATTCTCTCAGAATAGCATATGATCTTCATTTTCATCAAATTAGAATATAGGTTTTCAGTACAGTTTACTGTAAAAAAATCGTCAATAGGGCATTTGATATATGCAGCAAATTTAGACCAAAAAAAATTATAATTCCAAATGTATAAAGTTTATGAAAAATCCATTCTGAAGGGATTGTAGAACAGACAGCTGAGCACACAATATGTCAAAATAGTGAGAATCGGTCAAAAACTGGAATTTTAGAAGCCACTCAAAGTTGAAACTCTAATTTCAGAGATAATTGAACATGAAGTTATCAACAATGAATAAAGGTAGTTTTAATTTGTTAATTTAATTGTATGTTTTAATAAACATTGTTTGGCATTCGTACTCGAATATGTGAAAGTTGTAGGTCAATGTGTGTTGAAATGAAGTCGAGAAAAAATAACCCCAAAAAAACACAAAATAAAGGGATAATTATAATAATTATAATAATTATAATGATTTAGGGGATATATTTAGGGTATATTTTATATAAGTGAAAAAACCCTAATATGGTCCCTTATCATCAAAACAACCTAAAGAGACAAAGAAAATCGAGTTTGAAATCAGAAAAAATCTGCCCCAAAAAATTAAAAGTCCCAAGTTTTGCGAGTTGTGACTGATTTATTTGTTGACCAATTTCATTCTATCGTCACATAGTTAGGGTAACATGCATTCTCCAGGCTGTAAAGGTTACAAGAAAATCAGATAATAAACAAAGAAAAATACTAAAATCTTAAAAAAAAAAAAAATATCCCCTAAAAAATATTTTTGGGACATTGATGAAAGAAACATTTACATTGGACAATGTATTTATGATATATAACAAAGTAGAGCATATTAACAGTTATGCATTATAATTATGTGTTACAGTATTATGTGTTACTCAGCAATGATATAAAGGCAGCAACTGCATGTCCACTTTGTGGACACTTCTTACTACTATTCTTCTTTGAGCGTTGGACAGGTGATTGCATCTCTCTATTACTACATAATCCTTCAGTTCCAGTTATCGGGAACTGTTCTCCTTATCAACAAAACGTTCTTATTTTTTTTAAATTTGTCTAAAATCAATATCTGAAAATATTTTGATGAAAGTTTCACGACACTGAAGCCAACAAGTTGGAGATTTTTTAACATTTTTAAGTTATTTGTACATAATTTGAATATTTTTCACTACCAGGCCCCCAATATGCGCGGTAATATGCGCGGTCTAAGGGTTAAACACTTCTGAGAATTCTTCTCTCATTTAAACCAGCCGGAAATTTATTATTATTCTCTCTGCATTGTAGAAATAGGGCAGTGGACAATGTGAAAGATGTATTTCTGAGTGCCACCTTGGTCACTCCCAAACCTAAAGACACTGCATACAAGCCGTGCATATAACCAAACACACTTTGGCCAGTGCACAGCCATGTATCTATCTATCCACCCCCAATATCCTGGACATCCCCCTTTCCAACCTCTCGTATAACCTGACATGGATGAAAATTGTTCTAACCAACAGAAAAATGAGGGGAGGTAATCAGAAGAAATGTATCAAACTGGAGAAATGTTACTAGTAGAGTACCACAGCTACTAGTAGAGTACCACAGCTAAGTTCTGGCAACAGTAATATTACCTATATGAATAATCTACCAGAAGGAATACAGAATTACCGGAATATAAACATGTATGCTGATGATGCCAACCTACTAGGAAGATAAGAAACCTAGGCAATTTTCATGCCCAACAAGATGACTTGGCAGAATAAGTTTATGGAACAACACTTGCCTAATGGAATTTAATGTGAATAAATGCCACACATTATGGAATATGGAATAGGAGAAAAAATGGGCTTTGCACAACCTGCAAATTATGTGAGAAAACTTTCAAAGAAAGAACTAGGGGTGGTTCTGGATAAAAATCTGTCACCTGTGGTTAACGTATAGAACACTGTGAGAGTAACGTATGCTATACTTTCCAACTTTAGAACTGCTGTTAAATACATGGATGGTAAAATATTAAATAAATTATTCATGACTTATGCAAGACCAAAGTTGGAAAATACAGCAGTTGTATGGTGCCCATATCTCAAGAACATCATTAAACTAGAAAAGGTTCAAAGACATGCAATAAATGGCTTCTGGAACTGAAAAACAAGCGCTATGAGGAGAGGTTAGAGGCATTACATATTCAAAAGTCAGAAGATAGAAGAATAAGAGGTGATATGATCACTACATACAAAATAGTAACAGGCACTGACGAAGAAATGTTTTTGAAAACTGCAATGTTAAGAACAAAAAGATATAGGATTCAAACTAAGTTAACAAAGCTGTGAAAAAAACATTAGAACGTTCACTTTTGCAAACAGAGTTGTAGATGATTGGAACAAGTGTGGTGGTGAAGGTCAAAACCATCAGTACTGTACAGTATAGAAGTTTCAAAGACATGAGCATAGCTCTCATCCTGTAACTACACTTGGGTAATTACATACAGAAGGTACAGGTAATACTGTATTTATGCAAAGGGTTGGTGGTATGTGAAAGGGCATCCTCAGGTGCAAGAATAACTAGAGCCAAAAATGATAAATATGAACAAAATGAAACATTAAGCTTAATGAATCACCACTAACATTTCCATAGCTCCATAGAGCTTACTGTGCTCAAACAGCAGGGCCACCCCCCAATTATCAGGGTGTAGACTTTCATCCTAGCTCTGCCCGGAGCCAAAACAACCAAATGGTATAGTTGAGAGAGGGGCATTTCGTATTTACTCAACCTCATGTTGTTTGTAAGTGAATCTATGTTTGCTAGATATATCAAAATTTGATGACAGTGAATCAAAATTATTTGGGTTGAAATAGAGGCAGAAAAACCCAGTTGTCAAATGAAAATTGAAGCCTCCAGCTAATAAGGCTTTTCTTTCATATGATGATTGTAATTACACAATTGCTAAATACAGTACATGAATAGTATCACTCGAATATGAAAGTAGCAATACACCTACAGTACTTAAAGCATTGATAAATCAATTATTTCTTTGTCTTGTAAATTATAAACTTTTAAAAAAGCCAATACATTTTTTTATTTTATTAAGCTAACCATAATTGTTTCTCTTACAGATAGTATACTGATGAAAAACTAATATTAGTACAGCAAGAGCAAGCAATTCTGCTCATTTTAATATTCAGAAAAAATTCAGATATATATATATACATCTACTTACAAGAGCCTCCTGCTACCCATTTGACACCTATCCACCAAAGGCAGAACATGGTGGAGTGGTGATAGATGTGTAGGAAGGTGAGCTGATTAGTCTTCTTACGCAAGATGAAGAAGAGTGTGTCAGTAAACTCTACCAGCTTGGAGATGTAATACCACCACAGAGCTGCTGCTATCTGAGGATATCATTCTATCACAATCACGACAGCTTCATTAATATGAGAAGGGCAAATAATTTAATTATAGCAAGCTATGACAGAAAAATGGTGAAATGCGAATTTCGAATGGTGAATTATACAGAGGCACAAAAGTAGAGCCCCACAGACATTCTTAAGATGGTGTAAACAGACAAAAAGCCAGCGTTGAATGTATTGAAATGCCCTTTTCTGAGGGTGGCCCCGGAAGCTCCCCGAAGCTAACTGAACTGATATGTGCTTTATTAGTTTGGGGCCATCAGTCACTTGTAGTTCTTAAGCCTACCTGGAACCATGAGCCAGAACTTGGCCCCCCCTCAGATAGGCAAAGGGAGCAATGGCATATGAGCACTTTACATTTAACCCTTAAACCACACACATTGTATATACAGGTATATAATTTGAGTGTCACCAAACGGCGCACATCGTATATACAGTGGAACCTCGAGTGACGAGTGGCTCCAATTACGAGCATTTCGAGTAACAAGCAAGCCTCTCACAGAAAATGTCTTGACTGACAAGCTTTTCCCTCGATTGACGAGCATTCCTGCTGGTTCTCGGACACTTCCGATGACAGTTTTGTTGCTGTTTCGCAAGACGAGTTTTCCACATGACGAGCTCGGTGACGGAACGGATTAAACTCGTTAATCGAGGTGCCACTGTATACAATTGAGGGTGCTGCGCATGATTTAAATGTCCCGTTCTAAACGAAGTTCTCATTAGCTTCCTCAGGACTAGTAAACAGACTCCATTTACAAACAAAATCATGGGTAACATTCCACAGGTGTGGAATGTACTCAGTACTGACTGAGCAACCACAGCTGGTGCATGCAGCATGAGATAACAGCACTGCTGTTCAGCCTGTGACCACAGCATTGTCTAAAAATTTCTAAATATGTAACTGCTATTATTTAGTGATGATAGTATTACAGTCTTCTGTAATACTATCATCAGTGATGATAGTATTACAGAAGACCCCTGACTGATAAAAATGACCATGATTTTGATAATAGCAGGATTGTGGTGATAACTAGCACTGTGTAACTAGCCGTCTCCAGGAATGGATTAAATTTTTAAACCGAGGTACCCCTGTACTTATATACAACGTGTTTATATAGTGTAAAAACAGCAAAAGAAGTATGCAGGGAGGAGGAATATTGGTGAGTGGGGTGTTGGTGAGGAAGGGAAGGTGAGGAAGAGAAGGTGACGACGTTTGCTGGCTTGTGTGTGGCGGCCACTCTTGTTGTTTTGACTCACCATACCAACTTAGTGGTTCATTAAGGTGAACAAAACATACAGATACTTCTATATGAAGTGTGTATATAGTGTATCAACAGCAAAACTATTTGCTTATTGTTTTACGAACATTATAAGTGAATCACTAATATGCACACCATACTTTTGAGTATAGCAATGGTTCACACATTTTATTATATAAATATAATCACATTACACACTATTGAATAATATTACTGCAAAAAAACTAAGAAAAATCAATGAGACATTGAAATAATTAGGTAATATCATGTTTGTGGCAACTCCCGCCTGACAGCTCAGGCGGAGCTAATCGACTCCGACACTTACGCTGTCGACGCCTCAATTTTGCCAGCTTTTGCCACAGGAAAGTATAGAGCGAAAAGGCACTAATTGAGGAACTCGAGGGACCCCCCCCCTAGAAAACCTGCAGCAAATTAAGAGACCTCCTGCCACTCAAGCACAAGGGTACAACAGAAACCATGCCAAGCCCCAAAAGAGAAAAAAGTGCAGTCTGCTAGCCAGGAAGACTCTGGAACCCCACAATGCACCCAATACAGGGAAGACAACCCAAACTCAATAGATGCTGGATCCATTACAGAGGCATAAACCTTGTCTCGCAGGAGGTGAGCACCAAGGGCCTTCCATACTTCCTCCGAGGAAATCCGAGAAGGAAACCTCCGGAAAGATGAATCCAAGGATCCCAAAGACACCCCGGAAACACACCTGTGGGGGAGCCGCACCCAACTCAAACTCATACTGGGAGGGATGGGGGTACGAGAACTCCTTACCATGAAGCAACAAGCCCTGCCCAGAAGGCACAAGGGCCCAAGCAGGGTCAAAAGGAGTCCAATCACTCCAAGTGGACTCTTCTCCCCCCCAAGCCCCAGAAACCCCCATCCGGGTCCCCTAGGCAGAGCCTGCTTCCTCGCCCACCACTACTGAAGAAAAGGTGGAGTCCAGGGAAAAGGCTTCTGAGAAGGAAGGTGGCTGGGATGAACCGGAAGACTCGGCGGGAAGAACAGGCTCAACTACCTGTGCCCAAATCAGAAGAGGCAACCCCCAAAGCCACCTGAGCCTCATCTCAATCTATACCCAGCCCCGACACTGAAACCCACAGACATTTGGGAGCCAGAAGCAGGGGAAAGGAATAGAGCGAACATCACCTACCTAGGAGGGAAACGGGGGCACGGATGGAACCAAGGTCGAAGCGACCAACTCTCTCAAATCCTGGTCTCTAAATCGCAAACGAGGCAGCTTCGGACCTTCCAAATGAAAAATCATCCAGGCGCATTGCAAGGAGAAGCGAGCTTGCAATGCCATCACTGCCTGAAACCTTTCATCCACAGATGAGGAACGTGTAAACTGCAGCACAAGTGGAGAACACATCACGCAAGACTCAGGGTTAAAGGTGTCACCGACCCAGTAGGCAGCATGGCAGAGGCAGAAAGGGTGATCATCGCCCCGAGGCAGGGGCGACAAACAACCGTCAACATCGCACAAGGCGAGAGTGGACCTGACGAATCCACGTTACCGAGCCCACAAGGGTTCTCCAGGGTCCACAGGGTACGTTATCCCTACAGGAAGCCCAGGTGCTTTGGCCCACTGAGCTGGTAGACCCCCCCCTGCTTGAAAGCAGGCAAACCGATTACCAGTAGCAGTGGTAAAACCTAGGGGTGATGGAGGAGGAAAACTAAACACAATCTAGGATGGCCTAATAAGCTACTATGCAGACCACCTCTGTGAAAACTGGGCAAGCAACTGGAAAAACTAGTGACAAGCCCTGAAACCACACCTTAAGCAAACTGGCAGCCGGAGAGAAATGTTGGCCGTCGCATAGGTGTAAGCAGACTGCACAAGCCACAGTGAAGATAGTAACACTCCCTTACCCAGGGCAAGATGGAAAACCCAAGACCCCCGATGTATCCCAAGGGCAAAGACAACGTACTAGTTTGCTTGCAGAGTTGCTAGTTTCAGTTTGTTGATTTTATTGCAAGGGAGTTTCTTTGCTCTTTCAGGCTGTGGTTCTTGTTTTCCCAGCTAGTTGCTTGTTTTGATTCGCCTATCTTTCAGGGCTATTGCCCAGTTGATGGCGGAATATGACAATACTGTACTTTAACATTTTGGTTCAGTAACGACTCAGCATTGCATCGTACGTTTACTAGAGGGTAGTCCGGTAACGACGCAGCATTGTGTCGTCCGTTAAAAACTGTGCCCAGCATTCGCACTTGGCTGTGGGAGGGGCGTGCCACAGTTTTTGGACTTTATATGCCTTATATACAAAATTGAAAAGAGTATACACATTTTATTGTGCATGATTAGCGCTCATGGGGGTAACGCGATGTCACTTTCTTTGTTTGCTGTGGGTGGTACACTGGGCTTTTGGAGTTTATATGCATTTAGTCTTAGAGAATTGAATTGTGAATACATTGATACCAAAATAAAAGACCTATGACGAGAATTGAGGTGACCAAAGTGAAAAAGAGTGTACACATTTCATTGCTCATGCGCTCTCCTGGGTAACTCGCTCTCACTTTCTCTGTTTGCTGCGGGTGGTAAGCTGGGTTTTTGGAGTTTATATGCATTTAGTCCTGAAGAAAATTCTATTGCAAACACACTGATATCAAACTGAAAAACCTAGGATGAGAATTGAGGTAACAAAGTTGAAAAGAGTATACACTTTTCAGAATTACCGTGCGCTCCCACGGAATGCCTAAACCCACCCAAGGTAGTGCGGTGCAAGTGCGCCCAGAGCATCAATGTGTTAAATATAAAATACTCATATGCCATTGCTCCCTGGGCCTCAGAACCCTAGTGACTGATGACTCCAAACTAATAAAGCACACATCAGTTCGGTTAGCTTCAGGGAGCCAATGAGGCTTTGCCCAGAAAATTCTTTATCTTGTAAAGCATACGCCTCCATCTATGAAACCTATTACCATTAATAACTTTCCTATGCATAAGAAAGTACTGTACAGTATGCTTATCTGCATTATTTGGAAAACAATCATTAATCCATTGGATAGTTTATGAAGGCTAGCCTGAATGGCTTTCAGTTACTAACAACTGAAACACAGTTCTGTATCTTGATATTTCTTGCCTAATTTTTTCACTGAAACTAGAGAATAGTTAGTTTCATTCAATAAAATATAACAGAAAAGACCTTTTCTGCTTATGGCCTCATAACTTGCTTGAAATTATTTATCTATACAGTATAATGTAATGACATCAACCTGTGTGGCACCATCTCATGGTGGCCCAAGTTCATCTTGGTTTTACAGGCAAATTTCACCATCTCTGACTGGTCTAAAAACTAAAATATAGATAAACTTAACTTATATGTAAAATAAGGAGCATTAAGTTTACTGGCAGTTAACCCTCGGCACTTACTCGCATTTCTTCAGGATTCGAAGAGTAGTCAACTGGTTGACAGAACCAACTATATCTCAGTCTCACAGATACCACAGCCAGCTGTACAAAAGGTTGTTAGTAGTAATTAAAAGAAAAAACTTTTACTTATAACTACCATAAATATAATTTAGTCACTAGCAACTACCTCCGTTCTGATGATAAATTTCTTTCCTAACAATCAGCGCCAGTTGAGTGGGGTCACAGTCTGCATTAGCAGTCATTCACTATACTGGCTGTGAGAGTCCCCTGACTTTACTGGCTGCATGGGTCACCATCAAGATGTCCACTTTTGCCATTTATGGCACATAATTGCTTAATTTGTGTTTCGACAAAGTAAGTTTTAAGAATGATAGTTAATTCACAATTTTTTTATAAACTATTATTCAACAAAAATTAGAGATAAATAATCCACTTATTGCAACACTACTATACATATTAAACAACATGACAAACGGGTTATTAACCCATAACTGTTCCCATATTAACTGGTGTTGAAGACTTATTTAAATTGTAAGTATTATACCGTTTTAAAAACCTTAGGAAAAGAAGAACTTGGACAACTGTGCTTCTGATGATTGTTGTTGGTGTCAGGATCTAAAATTTACTCTCCTGACTAGTTTAGTCTTATTAGAGTAACAATAACCAGTTTAAAATCACTCTTAGACAATAATTAGGCTACAAATGTTGTTACAGATACCTCCACACCAATATAGAGATTAAGCAGCATAACAGCCAGGTTGTAAACAATAAGAGGGACTCGGAGTTGCAGTGGAGCTCTTGATGCCATTATCTTGGGCCCAAATTTGACCATTGTGAGGTAAACAGTAACAAGACCCAGCGTTGGCAGTGGAGATGACATCAGGGGCCAGTCCTTAACGCGTTCATCTAAACCAGGAAGAGGTTGGTTTTGTCAGAGAAAGCTACAGATCCATCAGAATTAAAGAGTGGAGGAAAAGAAGTGTGACAAGTTTTCAAAATAATTTATGAGTAATATGTCAGGATTCACGAAGGTGTAATTAGATACAGTATACTACAGGAAAATTTTCCACAAGTACACTGTACAGTGGACATCCACATACGGTACTGCATCTAATATACTATAAGTCACACCAATGTAAAATAAAATAGGAAGTCTCATTTTTCCTCACCAGAAATGGATAAAGTCCACTTGTAAAAGTCATGCAACTGATAAATCTTCTCTTGAATGACTTCCATTTTGGCAGTTGAATTCTGAAATGTAAGCATTTTACACCTTTATTACAACCCATCTACATTTTCCAGATCAAATATTTATCTGCACATTTACAATTACTTTTAAAACTACAGTACCCATAAACTAATTAAAATATAACAAACCTGATTTTTACCACTTGAACTATACATGATTAAATAAAGTAGAAAGAAATGTTAAAATCATAAATTTTCTAAGTGGCAATTAAACATCTTTAGTTACAGCAACTCTAGTGTACACAATTTTTATACGTACAGTACAATCAGTCAACATTAAATCTGCACTTATAGTCTTCAGGACAAAATGAAGGATGCGTGAAAATAGTTAACTTGGCAGCTACCAGGAAGTTTGGAAAGTTAATCAAACTGAGAAGATATAAGCATTATATACAGCAATACTTGATCAATTAGTAGGTAGTGTCATTACTGTACAGTACATTTATTTATCTGGTAATTCCAAGCATATGATGATATCCAATAACATTCATTCAGATCAGGTGATGTTTTCACCTTTCTATCTTCTGTGAAAATGTAAACTATCAAATGAGTCTCATTAATGAGTAGAGAGCAGTACAGAATATGAAGGGTGATCCATCATTCTGTTCCCTTCTGCCTGTTTGCTGGGGCATAGCTTTGGCAAGAACATAGGTCCTAGTCACAGAACCTGCTGCCTGGAGGATGGGGTGGTAAGTTTGCTAGACACATATCTGGCAAACAACTACTGTATCACTATTCTCATCAAATTGTCAGTGTATTTTAGTTCCCACATATACTGTCTACTAACTGTTCAGTACTTATCAATGGCTTCATTTAGCTATCCAACACCAGCCTCCACCTACCAACAAACTTCACCGAGCATTACTTTACTTGTACCTGAATTTACCTGATGGCCACCAACACTAACCTCCTCGACAAGGACAGGAAGCCAGCATCTTGTCAAAGGTCCCCACATATGCCCAGTGCTCTCCCCCCTCTTGATATTATGGAGCATGGTAGTAGGGTGTAACAGTGCTTTTTGATTGTGCTTTCATATTGTTTGGCAACTTATTCTCACTTATTATAATGTGTCTTGAAATTCAAACCAAACATCCACGTTCAGTGACTTTTTTCTCGGGAATCACCGACCATCAAGGTCAGATATTAATATGCAGGAAACCTTGGTGTGTTTGACGTGGCAGTAACATTTTTAATTGATTTGTAGACACTTTATTTTAGTGTCATGATACAAGAACTGCTGAAAGCGATTCAATTTTTTTTTTTTTTTTTTTTTTTTTTTTTTTTTTTTTTTTTAGGTGTTTATGTCCACAAGTGAGTCATCATTCAGTGATTGTAGATTTGAACCTTTAGGTTTGGGTTTGAACTTGCCCATTACTCAAATTTTCAAATCTTCCCCCAAAAATATTCATAGAATTAGAAATTTGGATACACTGTCCAATATTGAATGAAAGCAATGTTTTAATGGCATATATTAACCTGAATTTACGACTGTACCTTAGGGCCACTATCTCCAGTGGCCTCAACAAAGACAGGAAGCTGGCAGCTTGTCATGTTTTATGTTAAGGGTTAATACATACAATGGAGCAGTCTCCATAAAGCCTCAAAAAAACAATAAATATTAAACACAAAAAATTGCCAATAATGAAAGGATCCTTGTGATACAGATATGCAAGATAAGACATTTATTCAGGTAAAGCTACATACATTGAAAATTAGTTACAAACAAGGTTCAATTAATAGATAGATCTAGTACATACCCACTAATACCCAAGCCACTAATACACACAGCGTTTTGGGCAAAGTGTGGGGAAAAACTTATATTAAAACTTAATACCGAGATCAAAAGCATAAATTTAATTAAAAAAAAAAGGAAAAAAAAAGAAAAAGATAATTATAATAATTACATGACGGATAGAACAACAGAAAATGTAACAGAACAGCAGATGGAATTTTAACTTAATAAACAGATTAAAATTTTCTTCAAGATTACACATGGCAGATATCAGCAGTTAAACAAGATGGTCAATAATAAATAATATTTGAAAATAGCAAGACATAGATTGACATTTAGGAGGTAAGGTAGGTTACATGAAGTTTATTAGGTAGTAGCTTAGTTTTTCTCTTAAACTGGTTGAGAGAGGTACAGCCTTTGACATGATTGGGAAGGTCATTCCACATTCTGGGTCCTTTGATTTGTAGAGCATTTCTAGTTTGGTTAAGGCGCAATCCTGGAATATCAAATAGGTATCTGTTTCTAGTTTGGTACCCATGGGTTCTGTTACAACATTCTAGGAAGCGTTTAAGGCCAGGATTGGCATTGCGGTTCAAAGTTTTACATATACATTATAGAGTACACTTGAGAGGATGTGCGGTGACTTTATATCTAACATATTCAAAGATTTAAGTAGGGGGGCCGAGTGCTCTCTGGGGGCCAGAGTTCGTTATTGCTCTAATGGCAGATTTGTGATGGGTAATTAGAGGATGTAGATGATTTTAGGTGGTAGAACCCCAAGCACAGATACCATAATTGAGATAAGGATAGATGAGACAATAATAGAGAGTTTCAAAGGCAGGGCAAGGTACTGTACATAATATCTGATCTTAGCGCTTTGTCCTGGGTTTTGTATCCTGGCCGGGCAGGATTTACTTGGTGTCAATCCTTAACTGTAGCCTCTGTTTACCTAACGGTAAAATGGGTACCTGGTTGTTAAATGATTTGGAGGAGACGTATTCCGGGAAACATAGGATTAATGACCTGCCCGAAATGCTACGCGTGCTAGTGGGTGTACAAGAATGTAACAACTCTTGTACAGCATAAATAAATAAATAATAATAAAAAAAGAATGCCAACAGTTTAAGAAACTTTTTTTGCTATACTGCATGTTGAATGTGGCCCTGGAAATTAAGCTTGTTATCGATGAGAACACCAAGGAATTTACCATCTACTTTGTTATTAATTTATTTTGGATATTGTTCATTCTTAGATAATAAAGTTGCAGCAATAAAGTTGCTTATAGAAGTTTCATTGTGCAGCCTAAAGCTTATCTTCATTGTATCTAAAGGTGGTTTATTAATGCTGGTTAGAAGAAATGTGGGGTAATGGTCTCTGGGTCCTATCAGTGAATATCTCTGAAGTAAATGGCGAGGTTATGTTACTCCTGATGTGGTCAAAAGTAGAGGCAGTCATATCAGTAGTTCTATTAGGTTAAGTGATTAAGGGTATGAGCAAGCAGGAATTCATCCAGTTGAGGAAACTAATATTTCTAGTTTCTGGAAAATACGTATTTCAAAATTTCTATATTTCTTATAAAAAAAAAATTCTAGATACTGTATGTGGAAAAATGTATAAACATTGATGCCACATGACAATATATTATTACTGTACTATACTGTACTAAAGTTTAAAATTCACCTGGAAAAACTCCTCAGGATTAATAATGGAGGGATCTCTGAGAAGCTGCCAGCCTCCTGTTCCAATTCAGGCCACTAGAAATGGTGGCCTTCAAGTAAATTCAGGCAAATATGTAGGATCCTTGTTGGTGGTAGGAGCGCCAACTTTTAAGATCATCAAGGACCCCACATCCCTCCCCAGTCCACAATGTAACCTTCCTAGGATGCAACTCACAACAATTATCTCACCTCCAGGAACCTATATACTGCTAAGTGAACGGGTACACCAGGTGTAAGGAAATGTGTTCAAACATCTTGCCTTGCTCGAAAATTGATTCCAGGATCACATCTTTTAATTTTACTTTTGGGACTAATGCACTGTTAGGTGAGGCAAGGTTAAAACAGGTCTTTGTTAGAACCAATTAGGCTTGATAAAATAAACATTGTTTATCTAAATAGCACAGCAGTAAACAAATCATTTGGATATAAAGATTACCCTTATCCTATCTGTACATCCAAAGAACTATTTTTTTTTCTGTATCAAGCTACAGTGCAGTGCTCAAAAAGCCTGTATCCAACTGCATAACTCCCCAAAGTACTGTATGCCCACATAACCCATTGTCAATCCTTAGGCTAGATAAGTGTCCATAGCCAGATGTTTCTGAACTCCCAATATAGCCCACGTTCCAAGACTGTGCACACACTAGAACCACCTATATGCAGTTCCCATGGTCCAGTAGTAACACACACACCCCATGCTTTGCGAGCGATTTGACCCGAGTTCATATCCTAGCCAGAGAGGATTGACTAGGTGCCAATCCTTAACTGTACACCTCTGTTCTCCAGCAGTGAATAGGTACCTGGTAGTTAAAACGATTTGGCGAGTCGTAGTCCAGGGAAAGTTAAAAGATTAAGGACCTGCCCAATATGCTATGCGTGCTAGTGGCTTTAAAAAATTGTATGAACTCTTGTATAAATAAAATAAAATAAAAACAAATATGCCTCAACATTTATAACATACTACACACTTTCAAGATGGCAATGTTTAGGTTTGCCATCTTGAAAGTGTGTTTTTTTTAGGATAAAAACTTAGGATTGGCCTAGTCGCAAAAGTAGTAGTTAAGAGTTACTCATCAAAGCTTACCAGTGTAATAAGAAGAGCAAAGCGTTCCTATTATGAGAATAGATTCAAACAAGCAAAAGGCAACATGAAAAGCACATGGAAAGCAATATCTAACATCGTAGGATCTAAACAACCCTAACATAACCAGATAAAACTCTCCAAGGATGGTTATACACCTGCAACAGATTTGGAAACGGCAATTGAATTGAATAGCTTCTTTTCATCGGTTGGTGCTAACCTTGCCAGAAAAATCCCACAGACTCTGACACATGTTACCACATATCTTACAGGCAGCTATCCTAACTCTTCTCCTTTCACCAGTCAGCCCAACAGATGTTGTGTCCATCATACACTCACTAAAAACCAAAGCTAGCAACATTAATTAAATACCATCTATGGTATACAAGAGTGCCTCCCATAGCTCTGTTTTTCAACAAATCTCTAGTGTCAAACCTTCCCCGATATCCTTAAAAAAAGCCTGAGTAACGCCAATTCATAAAGGAGGCAATCCGGCAGACAAACAATTACAGACATCAAATCTACCTATACAGCATTATCAAAAAATATTTGAAAAATTATTTACAAACATCCCAAAAGAGTACCAATGATGCAATTATTAGTCTGCTTGATATAATCTACTCAGCCCTTGACAAAAATGAGTTCCCAATTGAACTTTTCCAATCTCGTCACTCCAGCAGACGCTTATTGACTGTCCCACCGCCCTTACTGTCACTCCAGGAAGGGTATAGACAGTCCCACCACCCGTCACTCCAGCAGACGCTTATTGACTGGCCCGCCGCCCTTACTGTCACTCCAGGAAGGGTATAGACAGTCCCACCACCCGTCACTCCAGCAGACGCTTATTGACTGGCCCGCCGCCCTTACTGTCACTCCAGGAAGGGTATAGACAGTCCCACCACCCGTCACTCCAGCAGACGCTTATTGACTGGCCCGCCGCCCTTACTGTCACTCCAGGAAGGGTATAGACAGTCCCACCACCCGTCACTCCAGCAGACGCTTATTGACTGTCCCACCACCCTTACTGTCACTCCAGGAAGGGTATAGACAGTCCCACCACCCGTCACTCCAGCAGACGCTTATTGACTGGCCCGCCGCCCTTACTGTCACTCCAGGAAGGGTATAGACAGTCCCACCACCCGTCACTCCAGCAGACGCTTATTGACTGGCCCGCCGCCCTTACTGTCACTCCAGGAAGGGTAGAGACAGTCCCACCACCCGTCACTCCAGCAGACACTTATTGACTGTCCCACCACCCTTACTGTCACTCCAGGAAGGGTATAGACAGTCCCACCACCCGTCACTCCAGCAGACACTTATTGACTGGCCCACCACCCTTACTGTCACTCCAGGAAGGGTATAGACAGTCCCACCACCCGTCACTCCAGCAGACGCTTATTGACTGGCCCGCCGCTCCTACTGTCACTCCAGCAGACGCCACTGACGCTCAACTACTCACTCCACGCCACGCCCTTACAGCTATGCAACAACTACGTATGAATTTGCTCAGTTCTGTATTATATCTTATTATTTTACTTTATTTATAGTTTTTTTCGTGTTAAATGTTTGTAAATGGTATTAAACGTATAATTGATTGTGTTGGTAAGGTATTTGAGCGCGTGTGACGGCTACAGAGGCGCGCGCCCTCCTCGCAGACCATATATTACAAGGGCGACATAGCACTGCCTTTCTTACACTAAATACAGCGTAGACATATACGAGGGAAGACAAAGTTTACACCAAAGCTATTCACTTAATATCTGCCTATGATTTGAATTCTTTTATTCTCAGTTATTTACTTTTGGGTATTTGTATACTTTTGAATACCTATGCACAGCCGCGACTTTAATTCAGTACTGTAATACGTTTTGCCGGGAAGAAAGGGAGGGGGGACAGGTAGCCTGCGTGTATATTTATATATACGTTGGGTTAATATCGTAGATCACCCCCCCCCCCCCCCCTCTTCCCCAGGATGTAACTCTTCTCTATTTAACTACCCGCTCCGTCTAATTACCCAAAGCTACCAAAATTTACTCAAAGCTACCCAAAGCTTCCTAGCATTACGTAAGTAATGAAGAAATATGATATTTACTCACTATATTGTTGGTATTAAATGTAGAACATGAAAAAACATATTTTTACTCTGATATAATATATTTATAACGAAATCAGACGAAACTAAGTGGCATGAGAGGCCATAGGAAGTCGACGATCCAAGCGACAATGTTATGGAGCGACTTATCCAAGATGAACAAATTATTCAAGATATATAGTTGTCTAGAAGTTATATTACGTTAGGTTTGGATAGGTTAGGTTTAGTTAAGTTATGTTTGGGTAGGTTGGTTAGGTTAGGTATGTACATTAGGCTCGTATGCCTGTAAACATTGTCGCTTGGACCGTCGACTTGCTTTGGCGCGCTTCTTATTTTCATCCAATTTCGTTATAAAATTATAATTTTTCAGAGTAAAAATATGCTTTCCATGTTTTACATTCAGCACCAACATTATAATGAATAAATGTATCATATTTATTCATTACTAACAATGCTAGGAAGCTTTGTATAACTTTTGGGTAGCTTTGGGTAATTAGACGGACCCAGGATACCTATTTACTGTACTTCCATGTGAATAGACGAATTAGGTGAAAGGAAACGTGCTTAACCATTTGTCCCCGAAATTCAACCAGATTCCCAACCGAGAGTCGAGAACGAACCCAGTTGTACTATCACAACCCGTCTTCAGGCTTGTTAAATTGGTGGCCCACTTCTCCAAACCCATTTATAACATACTGTGTAGTAAAAAATGGTTTTCTTACATATAATATTATATAATAAATTTCTATGTAGTTAGCCATTGGTTTGATTAGTTAGGCATTCAGGTTCTGTTGGGGATTACTGGAGTTGTAATTGAAGTTGATGAAGCATTTGGCAGTCTCCGTGGTGTAGTGGTAAGACACTCGCCTGGCGTTCCGCGAGCGCTATGTCATGGGTTCGTATCCTGGCCGGGGAGGATTTACTGGGCGCAATTCCTTAACTGTAGCCTCTGTTTAACGCAACAGTAAAATGTGTACTTGGATGAAAAAACGATTCTTCGCGGCAGGGGATCGTATTCCAGGGACCGTAGGATTAAGGACTTGCCCGCAACGCTACGCGTACTAGTGGCTGTACAAGAATGTAACAACTCTTGTATATATCTCAAAAAAAAAAAAAAAAAAAAAAAAAAAAAAAAAAAAAAAAAAAAAAAAAAAAATTTACAGAGTTGGAATTAGAACAGAGGTCATCAGCAAAGACCTGATTCAAGGAATGTTCAAATGACAACCTGTCCTCACACTTGGCTGTTTAAAGCAGCAGCCGTCATCCCCAGACACACTCATCAATTTCAACATGCTATACTGTGTATTCAAAATTGGTTTCTCATGTACAGTACAGTATAAAAATATTATATGTTATACTGTGTATTAAAAATTGGTTTGTTCTCATAAAAATTATTATACTTAATTATATAAATTAATAGTTTAATTTTCTAATTACTTATTATTGTTAAACAATTATCAGTTTTTGCTTCATTTTATTTGTCATCACTATTTAATAAAATTATTTTAAGTTAAAATATACAACTTGGCAAAGAAGATCAATATTTAATTATTTTTAAAGACAAACCCTTTGTTTTGTGTACCAGGAAAATTTGTCGGCGTGCCAGGTTTGGCACACATGCCAAGGGTTGCCTACCCCGGCCTTAGGCAAACTATTTTGACCTTCCCCAAAATGCAACCCAAAACATATTGTTGGCCTATTTACTTCTTGGTGGAGAATCAGGCGAAATTCAGCATTACTCAACATTTCTGCATGTCTTGCAAGGGAATCACACCTTGAACCTTTCAGCCAACAACTGCCCTGAGCACTATCAAAATACAAGTAGTTCTCAATCAAAAAATTGTTTACATTATCAACTACACCTTATAATTCAAGATCAATCTTTTAATTTACTGTACATTGTTGTACATATATAATTTACTTTAAATTTGTTAATTGCGAAATCAAAATACTGTAATAGACAATGTTATTGACTATTATGAGTACATGTAACCATAACAGGCTGCTTTGATAGTGTCGCTGGAAGCTAAAGCTAAACCTAATTTTAATCAGATCTAAACTGATCAAGTCTTTTTCAAGTTTAAATTTTGAATAAAAGAAACTATACAAGTACCTTTTCTAACAATTGGCTTCATACAGGTAAATACTGTCCATCTTTTCTCCCTTAAGCAAACTTTAATGGGTAGAAAATATAAATTCTGTTTAGTGCTGTATTATTATTGTAACTGCATTCCCACTCGAGGTATGTGCAGGCAACAGCCAACAACAAGATGCACCAGCATATATGTAAAACAGTAAAGTTACTGCACTAAAAATTACCCTTGTCCATTTACCGTAATTTCAGCTACACATCAAGTTATTTTACAACATTAAGGAAGAATATATTTAAATAAATAAACAATTCTCAAAATTTAATACAATCCATAGCTTACAAGAAATTTCTATAAATTTTATTTAATTAAATTCCTAGCCAATGAGCAGTTATGTAATAATAATACAAGTAATAACTTCAGCATATGGGACTTATCAATACACAAATGTTTTTCAGAACATAAATCTTCAAAGTAAATGTATTTAAACAATAAGTTATGACTCGACACATTTAATCCTTAAGCCTGCTAATATCGTACAGCACACAATAAGCAGCTACCATGGAAACAATTTTTAATCATCAATTGTTTATTATGGGGCTCCATCTTTTAAGCAGTTTCCGATAAAACATACTTAAGGCATTAGGAAAATCCTGGCCCTTTAAATTAAAAACAAATTCATGATTTAAAGCGTGCATTGTGTATTTGCAATTAAACATGCAGTAACGTGCCATGTGACTGCTTAGTATATACAGTATGCAGAATCTGATACCATTTAATTTCACAAACTTTCAAATTACTGTACTGTAGACATTGGATAACAAATATGCATTTAAACATGGGATGTATCGAGCTTAAAAACACTTGAAAAACGGGACTGGAAAGTGAGCACATTTGTTACATTAAAATTCTGTAATGCTGCAAGGGGATCCAAGACATCATTTTATGTTATGAATAATAGGCACTGTTGCAGACTAAAGGTGACCGAGAATTATACTAGAATAATGAGTGAAAAGGGGACTTGTGATGTAGGATGAACACTGCAGCACCATCTCTTATAAATATCAACTAGTCATAACATTCATTCATAATACCTACAACTTACCTCCTGATTTTTTAGTTACAAACAAAACAAAAAAAGAAATTCTGCTTTTCAATGATATTTCAAACAAGAAATGCCTTAATATTTAAGTAGAAAAAGCTATTACAGTATGCATATTGTCATTACAATACCTACTAATGACACCTGATATTTATTTGAAGGCTGCCTACCGGTTAGCAATGACCAACCAAAAATGTCCATTTTTTTTATTTTTCCCTCTTATTCCAAGATCTTGCTATTACACAATTGTATTGGTGAATTATAAGTATAGATTAAAGTGCTTCAAACTAATAAAATAAGGAAATCCAAAAGATGAAAAAGGATATTGCCACCTACTGAATAACTCGGCTCATCCAACTTTTCCCAGCTAACCTTTAAGTCTACTCTGGATACCTAGAGATCACCTTGCCAATTAATAATGTGACCGGTTTATGGATTAACTTTGGGTCTTTCAGCAGTCAAGGAAGTTTGCAGCCATGAGCAGCTCTAGAGCAATTTCAGGTGCGATGGGAAACTCTGGAATTTCTGTCGAGCTGTTAGTGTATCGAACCTTATAGGTGAAATACATACACACTTTCTGAAGAACATGTGATCTGCAAAATAAAATAAAATAGCTTTACAGTACAGTAGTAATTTTCAATTAAATTTATAGTAAGAAACTTGTGTATTCTTTCCATCTATACCAAAGACTGCAGTACCGTTGCTACATTCTAGATTTGCAATTGAGGATCCCAGGTTCAATCTCTGGGCGAGTCAGATATGGTAGGGCATGTTATGTTTCCTTGCACCTGATGCCTCAGTTCATCTAGTAGTAAATAGGTATCCAGGAGCTAAGCATCTGTTGTGGGGGGGTTGCATTCTGGGAAAGGTCAGTAGTTTGACCTGGAACCTTCATACAAGCCTTAAATTTATGCATTACATGCCCAGGCTTCCTGTCCTGGGCAAAAATTATTAATAAAATACTAAAATGTTTTGTCAGAGTTTAATTGAGGATCCTGGGTTCAATTTGCCAAACTGAACCAAGGATCTTCAATTGTGAATCTAGAACATAGCCACTGTACTGCAGTTATTGCTCTATGCTCTCTAATCCAAATCATATGAGGCCCATTCCTTTCAGAATTGCCCAAACATTTACTTGGCCAAATTTCTTTGAAATGGTAAAAAATGGATTAGTCAAGTGTCATGTGTGCAAATGTTTCTGCAAAGGAACTGTGATACACTTTGTGATCATGGGAGAAAATATACAATATATGTAAAAATTCATTGTTTCTGCCACAATTTATTGACATTAAATATATATAGAACTAAAGGACAAAATGATGAAACTTGCAAATATTTCACTCGCAATGTGTTGAATGTGTGTATTATGCATGACAAATAATGATACCTGGGTCAGCAATCACACTAAAAATGGTGTCAGGAGTAATGCTTCCAGACCTAGGAGATGCTTTTATACTACTGTACATACTGAGCGAGACATATATATAATTATTTATTACTTTAACATACGATCTATAGTCAAACACTTTCTTATATGCCAAAACAAAATTGTAAATACATACGGTATTTCCCTGAAGTTAACTTCATTTGTTTCATTTTCAGCAAATTGTCCTGGTCCAGAGAGCATGGCCTTGATTGTGCCAGAGGTGAGAGCATGATCCCTCTTGACAATGAATTCATGGCCATCAGAAGATATTAACTTAACGTACATGGCATCGGGACCTTCACAACCTCCGTACACACGCTCTTCATCCTTGTTTTCATCCCCCATCTTCCCGAGAAATCTGCAACAGTTTTTTTTTTATTTTAATGAAAATACCTATGATTTAAAGTATTTATCACACATAAAACACCTGAAAAATGTTCATTCTCCAGAGTACAGTAACATTTATACTGTGGGATGCTTTGTGGAAAATTTCCCACTTAAGCATTAATAAAAGACTACCATAAATGTGTACACGATTTCTAGGCGTAGCCTAAACTCAAATGATGCACTGCAACAAACTGGTAGTCATGTAGCAACAAACTAGAATGTAAAAGATGAAAAAGTGTTGGGATTGAGTACTAGAGATGTTGGAGGTAGCATGTTTGGAGCAGATGCTCTTTTTGTTTATGATCTTGTAAATAGTAATTCATGTACCTGATAATTGTTTTATTTTGCTGTTGCTGTTGGTCGAGAATAAAACCATGTGGACGAAGATTGTTTCTCTTCAGCCTTCAACCATAACAGTGGTGATGAGAATTAAACACCTCAGGCAGAGAGCCTGGGTATGAGACGAGGTGTGAGGATCAAGAGAGAGCAGGGTATGTCATGTGGGCGGGTGGAAGCTTCGCATACAACAGTCGAGTTGTACTACCACTGTGGCCATGGCTACGCTGCTCATTTCACTGGACCCATTTAACACTACCAAGATCTCATTGGACCTGTGGCTCAGACTGCTGGAAGCAAACTTTCCTTACCAGGAGATTAAGGAGGACGCCAACAAGAAAGCAGTACTCTTAGTTTCACTGGGTTCGGAAGTGTATATAGTGTTCTCGAGAATTTGTGTGCACCCGAGCTACCCCACACGAAGACCTATGTAGACCTGATTGCCCTGCTTAAACGTCATTATGTAGTGAACTTATGGTCGTACAGGGCCAGACCAAATGTAAACACTGTGAATACAATCAGAGTAGTAGCAAGTGCAAGTTTAGTGCCTATATATGCAACTTTTGTAACAAGGAGGGACACTTTTAGAGAATGTGTAGGGAATATCTGAACAGGAACAGCAAGGCCTGGGAGAAGAGACCACCAAGGAATGCAGGAAGAAGAGGTAGTGGTACTGTGGTCAAGGCAGTAGAGGAAGGTAAACCATCTGAAGAAGCTGCAGGTGAGGAAAGCAGACTATATTCGGTGAAAGAAAAGCTAATGTTCAGTGAAGTCACAAGTGGTGAATTTTGTAATTAATGGGAAGTTAGTTCCCTTGGAATGGGACACTGGTGCTGCAGTGTCAACACTGTTTAGAGATTGGGCAGATACCTTGCAATTGAATGTAAAACCAGGTAAAAAATCATTAAGTGCATGTGATAATGTTCCGATTAAGGTATATGGCAAGGTGTCGGCAAAAGTAGGTTATAATGGAAAAGAAATTGTCCAGGATTTTTATGTAGTGGCTTCACATAATCCTAGCCTGTGGTAAGGATCTCATGGAAAAAGTGGGAATTTTCTTGGCGGGCCTAGATGAATTGTCGATAGTTAATACCAATTAAAAGTGCCGAACAAATGTTAGATAAATATTCAGTGGAGGCAGATAAACCATTTAATAGCATTGTGGCAAAAATTCACCTGAAAAGTGGGGCTTCACTTAAATTTTTCAAGGCAAGAACAGTGCCATTTCATTACAAGCAATTGGTAGAATCAGTCCTGGAAAAGCATGTGGCAGAAGGCATCTTAGAGCCAATTACACACAGTGAGTGGGCAGCCCCAATTGTACCAGTTGAAAGCAGATCAGAAATCCTTGAGAATCTGTGCAGACTTCAAGGAACTAAACAACCGTATACACTGCGAGAAGCACTCTTTACCTAAGACGAGTTGCTGTCAGTTGTCTGCAAGCAGGTAATTTTTTCTAAGAGTGACCTGAAAGATGCTTACTTGCAAATTCCTGTAGAGGAGGAGAGCCAGAAATTGTTAATGATTAATACCCACAAAGGGTTAAGTATAAAAGACTTCATTTTGGACTCTCCTCGTCTCTAGCAATTTTTCAGAGACTCATGTCCCAGTTGTTAGTAAACATTGAAGGTGTGGCTAGTTTTTTAGATGACATTGTATGTGGGGAGAATGAGGAAGTGCATGATGCTAGATTAGAACAAACTTTGAATCTTTTGCAAAAGCACAATGTGAAGATTAATAAGAGTAAAACAACATTGAAGACCAAGGCCATTGAATAATTGAATACCTGGGGTACCATACTTCAGGTAAGGGCTTTACTCCTTCTCACAAAAATGTAGCTACTATAGTAGATGCCCCAGTCCCAACATCAGTTGCGGAAGTACAGTCTTTTGTTGGGATGGTTACATATTTTTGTAAGTTTGTGAAGAACTTTTCAACAAAATTAGCACCCTTTTTCTATCTGCGTGACAAAGACAAAGACTCTTGCACTGCAATGGGTGAGGTTCCTTCCTCAAAGACAGCCAACCGAACACACCACAGAAGTTAACCCTGGTGCACAGGACCCACAATGAAGGGAATGGCCGAGTAGGGTTCAAGAGCTACAAAAAGTTTGACCTGGCTATGCCATCACTGTTAAACAAACCAGAGACAAGCCGTACTGAAAGAAACCCAATCTAATAACAATCAGTGTGTTATGTAGTGTGCACAAGCTGTGTAACGTCACCATGACGTCACAGTTTTAATGTCGACGCAGGTTTCAGATGTTTCTGGGCTGGCCAGGAGCCCCGCGGCCGTCCTGGCCAGGAGCCACCTAGCAGAAAAATACGGGACAGTCAGCTTCAACCCTGGATTAATCAAATGAATGCCCAGTGGGAAGGGCCAAAGCGTAAGAGCCGCTATGTGCTACCCCGCCAATCAACGGTAGTAGAAAGAGACCCACCTGGAAGTATAGAGCGGTGAGAGTGAGGGTCCAGGAGCCTGAGGTAAGACAGCAGCAGCTACCGACCGTCCACACGGCCGCCACGCTCAGATGTAAACACTTGGGCCGGAGCTCAACACGCTCGAACCCCGCACATTATGCTTCGAACTCGTGAACCCATGTCACGGGCTTCCAGCCTCTAACACCTATCATTCATCCCCATAGTTTTTATTTTATTTATTCTATTTATTTATATAAAAGAAGGTACATTGGAGGTTAACAGAGAATATAGAAATTAAGTTGAATTTACATTCTTGTAAAGCCACTAGCACGTATAGCGTTTCGGGCAAGTCCTTAAACTAACAGAAAATTTTAGATAAATTAACAGTAAAATTTATAACAAAATTTACAGGTACTTTACAGCTTGTCTTTACAGGTACAGATAATTTTAAGTAGAATAATTACAGTAAAATTGACAAAAAATGTTTACAGGCACATTGAAGATATTTTGACACAACAGCAATTAGAATAATACACAATAATAACAATACACAATAAAGAAACAAGGATTACTAGGTACATGAGGATAACATTTCAGAGTTATACATCAGTTCACTGAAGCACAATATGAGGAGCATTTCAAGGAATAATGCAGTAGAATATGCACTCAATACAACAACCATGATATCAGATGATATCTAAGATTACAATGGTAAAGTAATACGGCTTAGGTACAAATATTGGGGGACTGAATAGCACTAGATACAGTGTGAAGATAAAGCACTTGGTAGAAAACTATGAAGATGAAATTAGGTTGTGGCTAAACCAACCCAGGCTGAACACTTCTAACCCAAGTCGCTACCTTTCTAATCCGCCAACATGTACCATATGAATGTATTATTATTTTGGGTAAAACCCACCCTTGTTTATATGTGAAATTTATGTAAGAAATTTACACCCAGTCTTTCGCACTCTTCTGAGTGCTTTATCTAGGTCTGAGTGTGATTAGGATGAGAATTACATCTCAACGTCTAATTAAGCTGCTATTGCTTTTGTTGCTTTAGATTCAACTTTCGGAACAGTAGCACGGGTTATGGTGAGCCCATAAGTGGAGGCTCTTTGAAGTCATTATCTGTATCAATAGCCGATACTAGAGATCTGGGGATGGATGGGGTCTTCATGGTGGGTTTTCATTCCAGGGGTTGCTGTACCAGTACCCACGGAGCTGGTGGGGTTAGTATAGACCTCTTGGTCTTCCGTGTTTTCTTTACCTGAGACTTTGGCTGAGCCGTGCTGTCGTTGGAGTTTGGTCATTTTGGTGAGATGGCCTTCATGAGGAGGTCTTGTACCGAGTAGGTGTCGTATTTGTGGTGCGGCGGTGGAGCTCCTACTAAGATTTCCTCGTCTGAGGAGTCCGTAACCTCTGTAGTTGGTGTTTTCGTCTTTCGCCTCGCAGCCTGAGATAGGCTCAGGTGTCGTGGATTGGTGGTAGAAGCTATTTCAGTAGCATTGGTGATGCTATTAGTATTTGTAGACAGCGCGGCGGCTGAGATGATGATGGTAGGAGTGTTGGGAGCTGGAGAGGAAAATACATCTGTGCCGCCCTGATCTTGGGTGGTTCTGGAGTCTGTGCTGAAATCGACCTCGTGGTCTTTCTGGTGATAGTTTCTGGAGTGGTAGTGGGGCAGTGAGACTTGCGCCAGGGGCTATGATGGGGTCCAGGCCATTGGTTAAGTATAATGTGTTCAGTTCACTGACAAAACGGTGGATCTCTGGTCCGGCAAGCCTGTCCGTTAGTCCAATAAGACCAGGGATAATGCCTGCACGTGATGTAGGTAGCTGCAAAGGAGCCTGTGGGGCCTTGGGTCCCCATTGTGAAGGCTGGGTTCACCTGGTGAGAGGAGCCACTCTTTGGTAAGACTGGAAAGTCTTCTGGTTGGTTGGTGGGAGCTGAGGTAGTGGGTTGAACACCTGGGGCTCTGGGGCCAGATTTACGAAGCAGTTACGCAAATACTTACGAACGTGTACATCTATCCTCAATCTTTGACGGCTTTGGTTACATTTATTAAACAGTTTACAAGCATGAAAACTTTCCAATCAACTGTTGTTATTGTTATAAACAGTCTCCTGGTGCTTCGGAGTTCATTAACTACTAATTAATTGTAAACAAAGCCGCCAAAGATTGAGAAAAGATGTACAGGTTCGTAAGTGCTTGCATAACTGCTTCGTGAATCTGGCCCCTGGTCACGGAGGTTGAAGTGTTGTTTCTCGTGGCTTCAACTGGGCATTAATGTCTTCCTGTCTGCGGGGGCAGCAGTAGGAAATTGCGGGGTGATTGCCATCACAGAGCAAGCAGCGATGGGTTGTTGCCTTGCATATGGAGTAGTGATAGTCCAGTGCGCACAGGCTGCACTTCTGGACGGGGTGCTGAAACTTGTTAGTGGGGTCGGAGAGCTCGTAACACTTGAAGCACTGCTGGATCTTATGGTATCGTTCCTTTTTTACTTGATAAGGTTGTATTTGTAAGTCGAAGCAGTAGAAACCTTGTGTGGCAGCCTGGGTGGCTGCAGCTATGGTGGTGAAAGTAATCTTCATTGCCTATTCATTTTTGGGTGCAAAGAAAAGGAGATAACATCTAGGTCAGAAAGAGCCGTAGAAGAAGCGAATGTAGAAGAAAAAATTGTTGGGCTAGTGGAAGTTCTTACAACCAAAGAGAATGTCTATGCATTACACAGAACTTAGAAATTTCTTTAAGGAATTTGACTGGAAAGACTTGCTATTAGGCAAGGATGTGAATGAGATGTATATCAAGTTTGTGAAATATATGATAAAGGCACACAAAAATTTATACCAAAGCAGAGATGTAGAACTAGGAAACAGGATTGGTTCAACAGAAATTGCGAGAGGGCCAGAGTCCAAAAAAAACACAAAAGTAGAATCAATATAGGAGGAGGCCAAACTCCCCCCCAAACATACCAGAGATACAAAGATGCGAGAAACAACTGCACAAATCTATACATGGCAGTGAGGAGAGGGGCAGAAATAAATTTTGAGAAGGTATAGCGGACAAACGTAAAGGAATCAGGCCGATTCATCAGAACACAAATTGCAGGTAAAGGATAATATTCAGAGGTTGAAAATGGGAAACAGATTAAGAAAGAGATCTAGGGGTAGTTCTAGATAGTTTTCTATCACCTGAGGACCACATAAAGAACATGCGAGGAGCCTATGCTACACTTTCTGACTAAAGAATTGCTTTTAAATACATGGATGACGAAATATTAAAGAAATTGTTCACGACTTTTGTTAGACCAAAGCTGGAATATGCAGCGGTTGTATGGTGCCCATATCTTAAAAAGCACATCAATAAACTGGAAAGAGGGCTAAGACATGCCACTAAGTGGCCCCCAGAACTGAAGGACAAGAGCTACGAAGAGAGATTAGAGGCATTAAATATGCCAAAACTAGAAGATAGAAGAAAAAGAGGCGATATGATCACTACGTACAAAATAGTAATGGGAATCGATAAAATTGATAGGGAAGAATTCCAGAGACCTGGAACTTCAAGAACAAGAGGTCATAGATTTAAACTAACTAAACTAAGCTGCCGAAGAGGTATAAGAAAAGTATCACACCTTCCCTGATATCCTCAAAAAAGCAAGAGTAACGCCAGTCTATAAAGGAGGCAATCCGGCGGACATAAACAATTATAGACCAATATCAAATTTACCCATTCTATCAAAAATATTTGAAAAAATTATTTACAAACAGCTCTATTCCTACCTTGTAAAATTCGACATACTCAGCCCCTGCCAGTTTGGCTTCCGGTCCCAAAAGAGTACCAATGATGCAATCATTAGTCTCCTTGACATTATATACTCAGCCCTTGACAAAAATGAGTTTCCGATTGGACTCTTCATTGACCTAAGAAAAGCCTTTGATACTGTTAATCACAACTACCTCTTACTTAAACTCCAGCATTATGGAATCCGAGGCCTTGCCCTTGACTACATCCGATCCTATCTTAGTGACAGACACCAATATGTAACCATCAATGATACAACTTCTTCCACTCTACCAATTACCGTTGGAGTGCCACAGGGCAGCATCTTAGGACCTCTTCTATTTCTTATATATATAAACGATCTGCCTAATGTCTCTAATATTCTCAAACCTATATTGTTTGCTGACGATACTACCCTTATCTACTCAAACCTCAACCCACATACACTAAATAATGTTGTGAATAATGAATTAAAAAAAGTCCACTTATGGATGTCAACGAACAAACTAACATTAAACATCGAAAAGACTTACTACATCTTATTTGGAAGCAAATCATCAAATGCAATTCAGCTACAGATAGACAACATTAACATCAGTAATAAAAATGATGGCAAGTTTCTTGGCCTATTCCTAGACAAGAGACTCAACTTCAGCACCCACATTCAACACATAACTAAGAAAGTCTCTAAGACAGTTGGTATACTCTCCAAAATCAGATATTATGTTCCTAACTCTGCTCTCCTCTCACTATATTATGCACTAATCTACCCCTATCTTAATTATGGTATCTGTGCATGGGGGTCTACCACTGCAAACCACCTTAAGCCCATCATCACACAGCAAAAATCTGCTATCAGAATAATAACTAACTCTGCTGTCAGACAACACTCAGCTCCCTTGTTTAAATCCCTAAACTTGCTAAATATTAACTCCCTCCACACATTCTCTTGTGTCAACTACATTTACAAAACCCTGTTCTTAAATGCAAACCATGCTCTGAAACTCTCCCTGGACAGATGTAATAGGACCCATTATCACCACACCAGAAATAAATATCTCTTTGATATCCCCAGGGTCAAACTTAATCTGTGTAAACACTCTATGCAAATTAAGGGACCTAGTCTATGGAACTCACTCCCTAGTGAATTGAAAAACTGTAAAACTTTTGCCTTATTTAAAAGCAAAACCAAAAGTACCTAACTTCATCTATTTAGTTTCCTACACTGAGCTTTAAATTTGCTCTGTACCTAGTGTTACCCAATCTCCTAATTTTTATGTAATATCAAACAACCTTATCATTGTGTTCATTGCTGTCTTCTTTTATGTGCTAGCCATATGCTGTATTGTGACTACCAATTTTTGTCAACTACCATTCAAGCTGTCATTGCAATCAATCTTATATTGTTTCTGCTGTATTGTGCCTACCAATTTGTTGTCAACTACCATTTTAAGCTGTCATTGCAATCAATCATAGCTACCTATGTGCTTTAATATACTGTACCTATAATTTTCTCTCATCTTTTTTTTTTTCATTCCATGTAATCTGTTATAATTTTTTGTCTATAAATTTTGCAAGTATTTACCTCCTTAAAATTTTCTTAGATTAAGGACCTGCCCGAAACGCTGCGCGTGCTAGTGGCTTTACAAGACTGTAATTACCATATTTGTATCCTCACATTCCTTATGTACATTCTTGTATATGCATAAATAAAATAAAATAAATAATAAATAAATAAAATTCCCTTTCGCAAACAGAGTGGTAGACGGTTGGAACAAATTGAGTGAGTGAGCCAAAACCGTCAGTAATTTCAAAGCGTTATATGACAAAGTTAATGATAATGTTTATTCAGGTAAAAGTGCATACATTCAAAACGAGTTACAAACAAAATGTCAAAACGAGTTACAAACAGAATGTTGGACTTCTAGATAGAGCTTGTATATACTATGCCTAAAGCCAAATGTAACATGCAACATAATTCTTGTCCAAAATGCTGTGCGTATTAGTGGCATTAGGCATTTTATGTACTACCTATATCTAGTGTGACGATAATCTCTTTCAAGAGAGATTGAGCCTGCTCTTCCCTCCAAAGTACGTCCCATTAACAAATAATATAGAAGATATATCCAACAAGTACAACAACAAGTTTTGCCCAGAGAGCAAAACGTATCCAGCACCGGCGCACCTGCTCGCCTCCGCCACCGTTAACCGGCAAACTGCTTGTCCATTGCCTGCCTGTCGCTGATTGGCTGGTGCCCGTCGCACCTGCCCCACCACCCGCCACCACGAGCTGATGTCTGAGCTACAGCGACCTAGGGAAGGCAGAATATCCTAGTGCTCCACACAGTTGACACGTCTCATTGGTAGACTAAGCCTTGGCTTACGTGTACTAAGGGAGGTGGCAGCTTGAAGCCAATATTCCTGCATCATCATTATTTACTTTGCTATTATTCACTTGTCTTAACGTAACTTTTCATTTGCCAGTGATTATTCTTATTATTTTGTTTGTTGATTTGCCTGTTACATTTTTATGCACAATTTTATTCATGTTTTGCTTTTCTAACGTAATTAAAATTTCATTGTTAAATTTACTTGTGTTTTGTGTGTCTTCCCATTACCTTACAACAGACGAAAGTTCCAGCTTTTCTCTTTTTTTTTCTTTATGTGACGATCGAGGCCATACCCCTAGCTTTTGAAACAGCCGAACACCAACGCGTTACCGTCACACTAGAAACCCAACATTTTGTTTGTAACTCATCTTGTATGTATGTATGCAATTTTACTTGAATAAGTTAGTTTAGTTCATTTATTATGCACCCCATACCCATCTTGTGGGCGGGAGTGAAAAGGGTTACAGACGCACAGGGCTCGGGTGAACCCTACATTTAATTTAGTTAAGCAAGTTACAATCTTGATGAGCTAGTTACAAAATTCAGTATAAGTCGTCACATTATCAATGGGTTCGAGATCGAACATTGATTATTTATTATTATTTTAGTATTTGAGTGCTGGGAAGACGGGACACCACGAGCATAGCTCTCATCCTGTAACTACACTTAGGTAATTACCTAGGTAATTACATGAGCACTTAGAGCCCAGTAGGCTCCAGAATCTGTACACCAGTTGAGAGGCGGGACTAAAGAGCCAAAGCTTAACCCCCACAATCACAACTATTTTAACAGAATTTGTACAAATTTGTGCGTAGAGGGTATATTTTCGCCTTGTACAAAATAATAGAATTCCTGTAATATGTATGTAAACTCTGTAACAATATGAATTGTATACTTGTAATAAATACAAATTATTATTATTGTTTTTATTGGAGAACCATCGAGCAAGTTGTGAGTTTAAAGCTAACGCGGGAGTCGAGCTTCGCCTGTCGTCCCGCCTGCTGCGTCGACCTGTTCTCCTCACGTGCCTGCACCACACTGCCGCCCACGGCCGCCCACCACCCTACACTCAACCCTGAGGTGAAACCTGAGTAACTAATAATGAGTTGGAAGACAGGATTTGTTTTGGCCTCTTGACTGCTGAAGGTTGATGTTCGGTTCACTGTGATGTGAGGCTCTGCTGGTTGATGTTAGGTTCACTGTAATGTGAGGCTCTGCTGGTTGATGTTAGGTCCACTGTGATGTGAGGCTCTGCTGGTTGATGTTAGGTTCACTGTGATGTGAGGCTCTGCTGGTTGATGTTAGGCTCACTGTGATGTGAGGCTCTGCTGGTTGATGTTAGGCTCACTGTGATGTGAGGCTCTGCTGGTTGATGTTAGGTCCACTGTGATGTGAGGCTCTGCTGGTTGATGTTAGGTCCACTGTGATGTGAGGCTCTGCTGGTTGATGTTAGGTTCACTGTGATGTGAGGCTCTGCTGGTTGATGTTAGGTTCACTGTGATGTGAGGCTCTGCTGGTTGATGTTAGGCTCACTGTGATGCGAGGCTCTGCTGGTTGATGTTAGGTTCACTGTGATGTGAGGCTCTGCTGGTTGATGTTAGGTTCACTGTGATGCGAGGCTCTGCTGGTTGATGTTAGGTTCACTGTAATGTGAGGCTCTGCTGGTTGATGTTAGGTTCACTGTGATGTGAGGCTCTGCTGGTTGATGTTAGGTTCACTGTGATGCGAGGCTCTGCTGGTTGATGTTAGGTTCACTGTAATGTGAGGCTCTGCTGGTTGATGTTAGGTTCACTGTGATGTGAGGCTCTGCTGGTTGATGTTAGGTTCACTGTAATGTGAGGCTCTGCTGGTTGATGTTAGGTTCACTGTGATGTGAGGCTCTGCTGGTTGATGTTAGGCTCACTGTGATGTGAGGCTCTGCTGGTTGATGTTAGGCTCACTGTGATGTGAGGCTCTGCTGGTTGATGTTAGGTCCACTGTGATGTGAGGCTCTGCTGGTTGATGTTAGGTCCACTGTGATGTGAGGCTCTGCTGGTTGATGTTAGGTCCACTGTGATGTGAGGCTCTGCTGGTTGATGTTAGGTCCACTGTGATGTGAGGCTCTGCTGGTTGATGTTAGGTTCACTGTGATGTGAGGCTCTGCTGGTTGATGTTAGGTTCACTGTGATGTGAGGCTCTGCTGGTTGATGTTAGGCTCACTGTGATGTGAGGCTCTGCTGGTTGATGTTAGGCTCACTGTGATGTGAGGCTCTGCTGGTTGATGTTAGGCTCACTGTGATATGTGATATCATTATGTAAGTGCAATAAGTGTAGATACAAGGTGAGAGCTATTTTTGTGGTGTCTTGTCTGCATATAATGTGGTACTGTAATATAACGCTTTGAAACTACTGACGGTTTGGCCTCCACCTCGCTTGACTTGCTCCAACTGTCTACCACTCTGTTTTCAAAAGTTAACACTGCCAAACAAATGTTTGGCAGCTTTGTTTCCTTCCCTTGAATCTATGACCTCTTGTTCTTGAAGTTGTAGTTTTAAAAAAATAGTAAATTGTGTTGATACCTATTTTTATTTTTTGTAATAATCATACCACATCTTCTATCTTCTACGTTTTGTACATTTAACACCTCTAGCCTCTCCTTGTAGCTCTTACTATTGTTACTGAAGTCATTTAGTCGCACGTCCTTGCACCTTTTCTAGCTTGATGCACTTCTTGATGTGCAGATGATATAAAAATTGGGTTGTTAATATACTGTACTGTATTAAGAATCAAAATAACTACTAGACAATTTATAAAAAAAAATCAAAATGCACAAAAGATTGGCAGATGCAGTTAAATTAATACTAACATGTAAAGTTCTAAACCTAGTAATAAGACTGCAAAATATTTGGGTCCTAGGTAGATAGTGTTGACATTTCCTAATCTAGATGCAAAAAAATATCGGAGTAAATATTGTATAGCTATAATGCTTATTTGAATGTTATGGAATTAACCTAGACTTGTGAAAAAATTCTATTATTTTTGATTGCTTACTGTGTGGTAAGATTACCATGTACCAAACTACTACTCGTGCACCACTGCTGTCAGTTCCCACACCTCATGCAAACCGTTATTAAGTAAATACTGCCTGGCACTTGACAAATTTCATTGTTAAATCTGCATTTGTGTAGTGGATTTTGTGATTTCTCAAATTGCATACAGTAGGGGTATGGAAGACGTGTGGTGTACTATTTGCTTGTCCCTATTGTCTTGGAACTGTTAGCACTAATTGTTTCTAGTTAGAGCCATTATTTACTTTTAAAATTGTTTACAATTTTGCACTAACTGGCAGAAAAAAAATATGAAAGAAAGCTTCATTAACAAATTTAAATTAAAATGCTCAACCTAAAAAAAAAGTGAGGGATATTTGACTTTAATTTCTTTAGACCCTGAAGGATGATTTTTTTTGTTTTTTCAGACTTTGCAGTACAGCCCCATTTAAATGTCTCCAATGATTCCTGATTGCGGGGTCTTGACATCTCCACGCAATGTTCCTTCACTCAAGTTGCTTGAAGAGGGTGTGAAAGCCACAGCTCTAGCTAGCTTAGCCCAGAAATCGCCTCGCTCTACTGATTTCTCATTTTGCACTCCGTCAAGATCTTCAGAAATATCAGGAGTGACCCTTAGTTCAGGTAAATGGTTGTGTTACAAGTGAAGTGCTGTAATTTGGTACATATTATAAGGATACTGTGTTTGGTATTAGTGTATTTTCTTCTAGAATTTGCATGTTCCATGGGATGTCAAAAAAATGTCTGCATATTAGCTTGGATCAATTGACGCCCGTACCTCTAGCTGATGATGCATGGAAGTCACTATTGTTACTTAGACACATTTTTACTAGGCCCTGACTATTATTGTCACACTCACTTTTTGCATGTGTGTGTACTTTGCAGATTTCCTGTACAGTACATTTTCATGCCTTTAAGTTCATTATACTGTACAGTACTTGCCTTGTGTGTTACAGTACTTATACTGTACTCTTCTTTTTTCAAGTACCCTATGGTCACTTATAGTTCAGATATCCTTCTCCCTGTTTTCTAATTCTTTATTGCCTCTGGCAGCAGTATTATCTCAATCTTCATCCCTCCTATTTCTGCCTCCCTCCTTTTGCAAGACAAGGGGGCTTGTGTTTGGTGTTTTAAAGGGTTTTTAATGTTAGTTTCATTCTGGTGGATGCTGAAAAAGTGTCTGAATAGCAGATGCATGAAAGGTGGATATCTGTATGTGGGCAAGTGTTAAGGGTGGTGGTTCCATATACAGTAGAGCTCTCATTGTTGTGCAGCTTGGCCAGGCAGCTTGAGTGCATCATAAATTATAGCTCGTTAATTATGACCAACCAGCAGGATTTCATAAAAGGTATGAGGATAGTGGTAGGAGAGTAAGAACTAAAGAGGTGCTACAAGAAGACCTTGATCAATTTCAGGGGTTGGCAGATAACTGGCTGCTGGAATTCAATCCAAATACTCTAAGTGTAAAGTAATGAAAATGGGTAAGGGAGATAGGAGACCTGTATATAACTACACCATAAGGAGGAATGCAATTACAAGAAACAATGAGAAAAAGGCCTGGGAGTAGCCATAATCCCAACACTAATACCAGAAGCTTATGTGAACAGGATAACAGCAGCATATAGGAAGTTACCAAACATAATGTCATTTAAGAATCTGAGGAAGGCACATTGCCTATGTTCGACCATTTCTTGAGTATGCAGCTCAAGCATGGAACCCAAATCTTGTGAAGCATAAACAGAAACTTGGGAAAGTCAGAGGTATGCAACCACTTTTAAGTACTGTACAGTGTACTGCTTCTTGCTCTTGTGCTTTAAGCATTTTAATTGCTCCAGTGCCTTCAGCACCCATCATGAATTAATTAAATTCTGATGGGCCTGAGAAAAGGTCTTTTCAGTGCTTCATTTGCATTAAAGGGGTTCAAGCAACCAAGCGAGTCTGAATCTAGTGAATATCAGTCTGAGGACCACCATCCACAAAAGAATTCCCATTGACCAGTGTACCCAGGTGTTGTACCCATTAGTCATAGCTGCTGGATTGTGATAGCTTTTGTTGAGCTGTCCTCTGTATGCAAATTGGTAATGTTGCACAAAACTGCAGCCAGGTGGTGGTAGTAGTATCCCACAACAATATTAGCTTATGGATGAGAGGAATGGGTTGCCTACTAACATTATTGAAACCGAGTTTAATAGGTTGTATAGGAGAGAGGGTGGATTTTGACTGGATGTGCCTAGTATTGACCAACAGCTCTACTGTGGTGCTCCCTAATTCTCATTTATATCTTCAATAAAAATTTTGTTAGCACACTCTTTGCACCAGTTTCTCACCATATTTGTCCTAGTATATGCATAAATCTATTATTATTATTATTTTTGTTAATGTCATTATAAAACTTTCTTCTGTTTTTGCAGGATTTAGCTTTGGGTTTTATACTTCACCAAAGAACACTTTCAGTTCCTGTCGTAGGGTTGAGCCTCTACCCAGCTATAAAGCCATGAAGCGACCCAGAGACGGTATCAATAAAGGTGTTGGCCACAAGATAAAAAAACCAAAGCTGAAAGCAAAGGAAAAGATAAAGGTGAAAAGAAATTAAACTTAAAAATTTAAAATTAATACAGTACATTGTAGAGAAATCCCTTAATTTGGCAAAGGCTTTCATATTCTTACAGTCTCAACCAACCACCCATTCACTGGTAACTGTTCATTATTGTAAACTATACAGTACTTTGGTGTCTTTTTTTTCTTTTAATTTGTTTACCCAAGATTTGTTTACTGCAATACCTAAGATTCATTGTTGTCAAATTCTTGCCAGGTTCAGCTTTGCGAGAGAGTGTTACATATCCTACAGCTGGCTAGTCTCTGGTGTATGCAAATCTAATATAACTTATGATTTAGTATAATTTTGAGGACACTTCATAGATTTTGTCATGTTTATTTTTTCTTCCTAAAGGTTTCTGTTCAATTTCCTGAGAATGCTTCATTGTACTTGCTTAACACTTTTAAAAAATAAGTTTGAACCTCAACACATTTGGAGGATGGTGAAATGCTATATCTACAATGTTCATCATAAAAAACTAAATGTTGTGAACCTGCAGACTGTAGGCAGGCAAGAGTAAACATTCTTGCCATAATGTATATTAGTGTTGAGTTTGGGCAGTATGAGCCACCGACTCCAGCTAAATTGTCCAGGAGGCCCAGCCTTGTGATGGTTCTGGGAATAATGTCCCTGATTGGCAGTATGATCAGCAAGTCTGTTAGTCACTTCTGCTTGCAGTTTGACGTACGAATCACAAGATGTGTCAATTTGGTATTCTTTGGAAGTATTTATCAAATTCTCTTAGGAGCACCTTGAGAGTTCAGTTAGTTATGCTTCTGTATATAGGGATAATGTTAAAACGCCTTGACTTATTGTTGATAGAATAGTCTCTTAGAATGCCTGTTGCACCTCTGCTTTTCATTTTTTCACATTGTACTTCTTGTCATGCCTCCTGGTCTCAAATGGGGAAGACAAAGTTTTCATTAAATTCTACCAATTAACCTGAATTCTTCTAATGGACATTTTTCTTAAGGTCTACTTTCTTGTGCCAGCAGGGAAGAAGCAGTGTCAAGACTGTGGTCAAGCGATTGAAGGAAGGAAAATACACACCACATCTACCCTCCAATCGTAGCCCAGTGAAGTTTACATCATCCGGAGAGAGAGTACGTAACTATAAAACTTGGTGTTCTATTTTCCCTACTGATGGGGAAAATATTCTGCTATATTTTTAACCACTGTGCTGCGCCAACCGAGAAATCTCGTTCTGAGAGTTTACTATTTTTTTTTTAATTTGGCTATATTTTAATGTTTTTTAATGTTTTCATCACTCTTTGTGTTTTAAAATGAAAATGGTTGAGTTTGGAAACATTTTGACATTAACTTTACCTGAATTTTTATAAAAACAACAAAAATATGTCCTTAACAATTGCACCAAGAAGTTTTTGTCAAAAATGGGTGCGTAATGCAGGGGTTAAGCCTGCCAGCATAGTTGCACCAAAAGTTTTACACATGCCCTGATGTTAATTAAGTGTATATAGCTGAGTTTATGCCTTGTAATTTCACTAATGATTTACTTGAATGTTGACACATTATAATCACTTATAATTAAATTAAAATTCCAGAAGAAACGCCATGTGCTGTCATCTCCAGGCATATCATTATTAGATATCCCGGTAAGTAGATGCATTTTATTTCATCTTGGTGTATTGCCAGGAGCATGGGTGATGATTCATAGTTAGCTTAATGATTTGACAAAATTTATGTGGATATCCCAAAAATATTGTAGTTGTATAGCAAGATTTGGATTGCATTTATTCTTGAGCAATTTATTGTGTAATTTTCAGGAGCCAGATGACAGTTTCCTGACACCATCGAGGAATGGACGGTTCTTCACGAGTCGGTCTCGTGCTGCTGCTACTGTTCAAATAGGCAAGAGTATAGTGTAAGTTTCAATATGACCCATTTTATTTTAGTAATTAAAACGTAGATCAGAGGTCAGGGTTCCTGTGTCTAGTATTATAGAAAAGCGATAGCAGTCAGATCACTAAAGCGTGCATAGGTTAAAGTTTCCAATTAAATGTATTGTTCAACCAGATCCTCTGACCTATAAAAGAAGCCTCTGAGCCTTGTAAGTGCAACCAGCAGTTGATTCTAGAATGAAATAATCCCTGTATTGCCCCATGCAGCAGTCCAATTTTTTTTTTTCCCCCAATTTAATGTTATATGTTGCGCACAAGATATATACAGAATTATTTAAACCCACTGAAGTCAATTTATAATCTTGGAAGGAGCTTTTCTTTTGTATGTAAATGTGTTCATCTTGTTAATGACTCCATTTAATGTTCCTTAACCACTGCACTGCACACCTGGTTTCGGCTAAAACTTCTTAGTGCAATTGTCAAGGACATATTTTTGTTGTTTTTATAAATATTCAGGTAAAGTTAATGTCATAATATTTTCCAAACTCAACTATTTCCATTTCAAAACACAGAGTAATGTAAACATTAAAATATAGCCTAATTAAAAAAAAAAAGCACAACTCTCAGAGCCCCTAAAGGTGCTTTGTGCAGTGCAGTGGTTAATGGTGAAGACTAAACCACACACCACAATTGTGTTGGGTTACCATCTTCCTTTATGGGTTACTGGAAACTATTCATACTTCATATTCTTAATAGGTAATGTCATGTAATGCTTTGAAACCACTGACAGTTTTGGCCTCCACCACCACCTCACCTAACTTGTTCCAAACGTCTACCACTCTTTGCAAAAGTGAATTTTCTTATATTTCCTCAGCAGCTTTGTTTAGTTAGTTTAAATCTATGACCTCCTGTTCTTTGAGTTCTAGGTCGTAGGAATTCTTACTTACCAATTTTGTCGAATCTTGTTACTATTTTGTACGTAGTGATCATATCGCCTCTTTTTCTTTTATCTTCTAGTTTTGGCATATTTAATGCCTCTAACCTCTCCTCATAGCTCATGTCTTCTAGTTCTGGGAGCTATTTAGTTGCATGTCTTTGTCATGTGCAGTCCTAGAAATACTTTTCGGGCACTTCTGCATCTAAATGTGCAGCATCTTCTATCAATGCTATCCCTTTTTTTTTTTTAGGCTGGCTGCTAGGTATGGAGACGTGTCTTTGAAACAACGTGCAGGAACATTTGTGAAGAAAAATGTTGGTCGCCAGGTAGAACAACAACTGCATCAGTATCTGGAATGGTCCAGTAAATCTGAAAGGTTAGTTTTCAATGTTTTGTGTGAAAATAGTCATGAGTTAGGCCAGTGCTTAAAGTGAAAGGAAATTTGTAAGTAAAATATATATTGTATCATAACTTTGTGAAGGATGGGTCTTTGAGTATAAACTGTTATGTATTGGAATAGTACATATAGTATTTATACGAGTCATACTATATGCATCTGGAATCTTTGTGAATAGTAAAGAATCATTTGGGCACTTGAGGTACAGTATTATGATTACTACTACTTGAGGTTCAAGTCTTAATTTTGGAACAAAGAACTGTCCCACAGGCTGTGATAATACTGAATGTGGAAATATTTGTAAAAGTTTACTTTCTTTAAAATATGGTTTAGTCTCAAATAGATTGATGAGTATGTACATACATTATCCTTACTCTAGAGTGTGAACATCCAACCACAGTTGACCATCAATTGTCACCTTATGAATTATCAAACTGTTGTTTACCTTAGTCATATTCCTGGTATCTAGATTTGGTTACTGTACCAGTTCATCTTTGAACTACAGTATGTGCAGTGTGTCTTTTTATTCTGTAATAACACTTCAGTTCTTGGTTTAATTAATTTTAATCCTTATAGGTCGGTTATAATGTTGCCTAGGCCATTGCCAGTTTTTATCATTATCTGGTATTTTATACAAATGTAAATATGGTTACAATGCATCTATTTGGATGTAATTAAGTTAACTTGGACACACACAATTCTGTAGGGCACCTAACATGTCACAGGGTTCGTGATCAAATGTGTATATTGCAGTAGTGCTCTAGTTTCTTGCATCATCTGAATTACACTTTGGGGCCTGATGGCTGAGTGGACAACGCTCTGGGTTTGTAGCCCTAAGGGTCTGGGTTCAGTCTCCCGGCGGAGGTAGAAACAAATGGGCAGAGTTTCTTTAACCCTGATGTACCTGTTCACCTAACAGTAAATAGGTATCTGAGAGTTAGGTGGCTGCTTCTTGGGGATTGTGTGTGTGTGTGTGTGTGTGTGTGTAAGTGTAAAAATTAGAATTAAGGACTTGAGCAAAATGCTATGCGTGATGTGGCTGTACAAGAATGTAAGAACTCTTGTATACTGTATATAAATACAGTAAATACAAAAAAAAGGAAAAATAAAGATAAGGTACCCATACTGAGGAAACATTAGACTGACTTGTCTCCATGATTACCTTCCAGATTTTTTGTTTTATTTGGTATATCTGTGCGCTATTTTATTCAGTGCCAGGTATATTATTTACCAATTGTATCCACAACTTAACTAAAGCCATATGGTCACCTCCACCTCCCCCCCCCCTCCCCCCAATACCCATCCTCTTTACCCAAACTTCACCATCCCACAACACTGTTGTGTTATTGTGGAATATACTGGGCACAGGAATGGAATACCTTGTTCTGTCGGCTCTGATAAATATCTAATTGAGATTAGAGAAAGATGGAAGCAGTAAAGGTATTTCATTACGCAAGTATACATGTTCAAGACAAATTCAAAAATTCCTGTGGGAAGTAATGGACCAACTGCATTATAATTGATATGTGGGCTGCTCCAAGAAAAAGCCTTACTGATCATGTTATCACAAAAACAACTGTGAATCAACTATAAATACAGTATTTTATAGACGAATGCTAATGCTTTACTGTACCTAAAAAACTATTTGTTCATTTGCAATGATGATATGGATATGGCTCTCAATTGGCTTGAGAGCCAAATTTTGTGGCACATTTCAATGCTGTATAAATCTTAAAATTTCAGTTACGTAGCCTTCCCGGCTTGGTGCCTTCTTTTGATAATTACTTGCTTCACATTTCAGGATGAATGAGGTCCTGTCCTTACCTTCAGTGCAGGCAAATCCTCGACCATTTCCAACCCGTGTGCCATCTAGTCCCTCTCCTACAAAACGTCCCACTCGACGAAAAATATCAAGAACACCCTCGCCTCAGAAATCTAACAAAGTTAATTTGGACAAGAAAATGAATGTTGCTATTGACTCGGTTGGAGAAGAACTACAAGATCTGGAATCTGTTTTCAAGGAAATGGATAAGATGGACAAACTACCTACTGAAAATAGAGCTTCAGTAACTAATCAGATATTGGTATGTATTTTCATTTTGCATTGAACATTATTGGGTTTCTTAGGGATAATTTGTTTACAAATGTTTCCTTTTATTTTTTATCTATCCTCGCTTGGTTTCTCCCTAAGGCAAGATCCTACTCAACTCTGGTTAGTATCTGGCATTATCAGGACAGGTAAACATGCTGCACTGGCACACCAGAAAACTTTTACAATATGTTCTTAGCCAGTTCCTGCTGATGCTGGAGAATATTCAGTCCAGGCCAAGCCAGGTGTTTAATATTGAGAAATGTACACTTGATGTTCAGCCATTTAAAATACATTATGTACAGTATATGCTGTATAAAGATTCTGGTACAGCATACAGTAATGGCATTAAAATTAATTCCCATTTTTTAGGATGATGTGCCACTACGCAGGTCTCCAAGAAAGTTAGGTCATACAGCATCTCATGGTGGATCACCCTATAAATTGAAACAAACAGAATCTCCAAGAAAATCTCCAAGGAAAATGGAAAATAAAACTTCACAAAAGAATCTTAAAGGGGAAAGTACTAGCACATCTACTCCAATAAGACCTTCAACGCGACCCCAAGGACAGTCTAGTTCATCAATAAAGAAGTCCCCAAGAAAAATAAAAGATACATCATCATCGGCAAAAAATGAAATGAATGAAAGGGTTGTATCATCTTCAAAGAAGTCTCTCTCTCTAAATAGTACTAAAGAATCTAAGTTTTATTCCATTTTTGATCCAAAAAGAAGACAAGCAGACCAGAACATCTCCATCAACAAATCTAATAAGTAAGTTACTGTATTTGTGTGTGTTGCTAATCTGTATTTGTTGAAGATCCTTAGTAAAATGGTTAACCAGTGTATACTTCATATTTATACAGTACAGTGTATATATATTGACTCGTGCTAAAGTGGTTTATTTATTTTAGCTACTGTATATTCAAAATGTTAAAATTGACAGATTCCTTGTTCTCATTTACTGGTTGTGCATGAGCACTGCTTTCACATCTTCCTAATTAGGTAGTCCGAGTAATGGGGTTGCATTATAGGTTTTACCAGGGATGCCCAAGACTTTTCAACACTTTGAATATGATGCTAAAAATAGTTATTTTGTATTTGGGCTGTGTAAACCCGTGTTGGTTGATTTAAGAACCAATTTATGATTTTGTTGGGTGGACATACCAGCGAGTCGTATCTTGCAAGGAACATGGTTTTATTAAAATTTCTACACTGCCTATACATGGCAAAATTATGCATTAATGACACTTCATTTATAAAATCCCTGACTATCGTAGCCTGACCGCTCTTGACATTAAATGGAGTGAAAATCGATTTCGAAATTTATGTTGGAATAGTGTTAAAGATCGTGTTTCCTTCCTGGACATTTGTGAACCCCGTTGGGATAACAGCTTCATAACCATTATTTACTTAAGCCCAATACCGTGGTAAATGTTTGTCAACAAGTACCCCAATTGCTATAAACAAAATAACTGAAATGCAAATGTCTGCTGCATCCTGAGAACTTGCTGCATGTAGGAATTTTTTCAATCACAAAGTAAATGGGGTCTTTCAAATTTTTATTAGGGGGGGTTATTGTATCTGAACAACAGATACCATCAAACTGTCCATCATATATAAACTGCAAGTCCAAACATTTAAGAACAATAGGTAACGTGTTGACCATGACTTTAACTAGCAGCCAACCCAAGTGAAAATGTGTGATGAATTTTAAGTATAAAGTACAGCTTATAAAAACAAATTGAATTGGGCATCTGTAGGAGAGTGTAGTGCTAAATTTAAAGTGAGCAAAGCTACTTTGAAAGCTAAAAATGAGTCTATACCTGTTACAATAAAAATAAATGATAGAGCAATGTGGAAGAAAACCGAATAGAGGGTAATGTTAAGTGATGTTTGCCCTGCATTGGGAAGCATTAGCAAGAGAGAAATTGTACTTTTTGGTGCCAATGCAACTGGCACTCATAAAGGAAAATGGCTTGTATTGTGAAGTAAAGAAGTATGAATGGCAAATTTTTGGCAATACTGATATGGTACTCTGATTTCGATACTTAATATTGTCTTTAGATGTTAGGATTTACATCAACAGTGCTTTTTGTAGGTTTGTGGTTTTCAAATGATGGCAGTAAATTAGTAAAATATAATAAACCTATGTTAAATGCTTTCCATGGTATTGGCCCTGCATACTCTTCTGCTTCTCCTTCTACTCTTCGCTGTCTTGATCCTTTGCACTATACTGGGTTGCGCCTCAGCTCTGGTGCTTTTCGTTCAACTCCTACCCTCAGCTTGCACGCTGACACTGGCTTTGTCTCTCCAGGACCGCCGTGATTGCTACAGTCTTCGCTATCTTGCATGATCCTTACAGCATCCTCACTTTCTCCTCTATCGTGCTTTGACTTTTACCCCTCCTGTAGTTCCTGTTCCTCTTCACCACCTTCCTCTTTCTATCCGTTTGTCTCGCTTACAAGATTCTCTTTCGGTTCGTATTACCAATGTTTCTCCTCGTATTGTTCCATCCTTGCCCCCGTGGAGGGTCCCCCTTCCCAAACTTTGTACTTTTCTGACCCACATCACTAAAGCTTTTACCCCTCCTACAGTTCTGAAATGCCTCTTCCTTGAGCACTTTTCTTCTCACTCCCACTCTGTTCCCATCTTCACCGATGGGTCTAAGTCTGCTGACGGTGTGGGGTACTCTGTTGTTTCTCCTGACCACACTTATATGTGTCGCCTTCCTCCAGAGGCTAGCATCTTCACAGCAGAACTTTATGCTATTCTCTATGCTCTTCGTCTCCAGCTTTCCCGGTGTCAATCCTCCTTCGTGGTGGTAGTTGACTCGTAGTGCCCTCATGGCTTTAGGGTCCTTTAATCCGGTCCACCCGGTGGTCATCGAGGTTCAACATTGGCTGTTTCTTATCTTCAGTAAATTTAAGTCGGTTGCATTTTGCTGGGTTCCCAGCCATGTTGGTGTCTTTAAATGAGCGTGCGGATGCTGCCGCAAAGGAAGCTATCTGCACTTGTCCCATCTCCCGGAAAGGTATTCCTTTTTCCAACTTTTACCCAGTTATTCATGCCTCCATCCTTGCCCGCTGGCAGAGTTGTTGGTCTTCTGTTATTGGTAACAAATTGCATATTCTTAAGAGTCGTGTGTCCCAGTGGCCTTCCTCCTGCCACCGTAACCGGCGGTGGAAAACAGCTCTGGCTAGGTTACGTATTGGCCATACCTGTTTAACTCACGGTCACTTGATGGGGCGCCGCCCTGCTCCTTATTGTCCAAATTGCATTGTCCCTCTTACGGTCATGCATATCCTTGTTGAATGTCCTGACTTCCAGGACGAGCGTGTGTCTTGTTTTCTGACCGTCCCCCGCGGTCGCTTATTTCTCGATGGCATTCTTGGCGACTCGAATACTTTTGATATTATTTGCCTTATGCATTTCTGTTCTCGTATTGGCATCCTTGGTGATATTTAGCGCCCACTGATTATCCCGCACATTTGATGGTGCTACATAGCCTTCCCGGTTTGGTGCCTTCTATTGATAATTACTTACTTACAATTTCCATGGTATTGATCATTGACTAGTAGCTGTAAATCTATTTTGCATAGCTTTTCCCTTGAGGGTTTTACCTTTTTGCAGGGGGGGGGGTCTCGTATACCCCATACTTGTCTAGTGGGTGATAGTGGAATAGTTAAAGTACATAATAGGAACTGAAGCCCGTGCAGTGTGGATGAAATGGTGATTTTTGTTTTCCCTTCCTGGTTAACACTTTCTTCAAGGATGATGGTTCCCCCATATTAAAGTGAGAGGCAGGGTATTGGTGACAAGTAAAATTATATTTTATATTTAAAATGTATTCATGTACATTGTGTATCATTTGTGATAAGATATTCATAGTTAGCTATAATTAATGAAAAGCTTTAATCACCCTGAAACAGATTTTTCAAGACTTTTACAGTTCTACCCTTAGGACATTTAAATACCAGGAAAGATAAAAATATGGATGTAAAAAAAAGGAAGGATACAGGTGTTGGCTGGCAGAAATTAATAATTAGCGCACTTTATCAGTGTTTACAGGTTTGAGAATGAAAACAATGCCTTCATGAAACACTTTATTATTTACAGATGCACTAGGCATTCATTCGTGGATAAAGAGTCTTCACAGATGATGATTGATGCAGGACAAAAGAAGTTTGGTGCTGAGCAGTGCTCTCTGTGTGGCACTGTGTATGAGGTGGGAAACCCAGTAGATGAAGCCTCTCACAATCTTCACCATGATAACTTTGTTAACTCTGTCAAGTTTTCTGTAAGTATCTTCTCATATTAATGGTGTTTAAACTCAAAGTTTACATAAAAGAATGAGACATGGTAAAGTGAAGATTAAGCCCCTCAAAAATAAAAAGATTTAAATAAGGCAATTATGATACTGAATTCATATTTAAAGTGGTAATAATGACATAATGCTATTTTTCAGCCCTTATTAAGGGTCCTGAAGCTTCAAAATTGGCAAAAGATATTGAACAACTTTACATAGTGAAACATTAAAATGTACTAGAGGAATGTGGCAACACTGGTAAAAACCATGTCTCTTTATGAAGAACATATAGAATATTATACCCTTTTGTCTATAGCTATTGGGCCAGCCATAGGGCCTGGCTGTTGTGGGCAGCCCATGAGGATAGCATGCCCTCAACACATTTTATGTTTATATAAATTATTTACGTACTGGCACGTGAAATTTATTTTATTTCGTTGATGCTTGCTGGCAACTGTCAGCACATCCGAGGTAAGGAGTGTCTGTGACTCGTGCGTCGTTGGATAGATCAGAGTTGCACTACGGGTTCTTTTTTTTTTTTTTTTTTTTCTCCATAATATACCAGATTTAGTGATAGTGCTAACCAACACTTGTCCAACATGTAGCAAGAACATCACCTGCACCCCACATACTCCTACAATATAATGAGAAAATGTTTTGTCTTTGTAATTCATCATTATACTGGAGAATATCCCTTGGCCAGTATGATACTGTAATGTATATGCATTTTATCACATCTAGCTCAGTAATGTATTTACACAAATTATTATTTTACAGGGTTGGAAAAGGGAGAGGCTAGTACGTGACTTGGATCATCTGGGTGGTAGAGTTGTAATGGTATCCTCTGAAGATCCTCCGCACTACTGGCGCAAAGTGGAGGAGATGTGCGAAATAGTTGATGCTGAGCTTGGCTTTTCTGGTAAAAAACCTAAAAGTGGGGAAGATATTAAGGCATTCCTCTATATCTTGGAGCGCAGAATTGTTGGTTGCCTTATTGCCGAGAGAATTAGCAATGCTTATAAAATTATTCCGCATGCGTTACTAAAGCCAGGGCTATCACATCCAGCTTGTTGTTCAGAAACTCCATCAAAAGTGTGGGCTGGTGTCAGTCGTTTGTGGGTTTTGCAATCGCAGCGAGGAAAAGGTATTGCTTCTACACTAGTAAATTCAATGAGAGACAATATGATTACAAATTATTTCTTGAAAGTTGATGAAATTGCATTCTCTGATCCTACTGAAAATGGTTTAGCATTTGCAGAAAAGTATACGGGTAAAGCAGATTTTCTTGTCTATCGTCGAGAATGCCTTGAAGTCACAAAGTAAAAAATACAATCTGAGCTTTTAAATTAAAAAAAAAAAATGCACAATTAAATTTAGGTTGAGTTGTTGGACTTTGTGAAAATTAGATATATTTTCCATAATTTTGCAGTTTGTTTAGTTCCTTTGTCTTTCATCATAATTTTCAGAATTCTTAAATTAATTAGCAAGTAGCAAGCATGATTCAAAGTATACTTTTTATTTAATGTGGAATGAGTTTTCATAAAACCTTATGCAGTTAAAAGCAAATGTTATAAAGGAACTATTAATTACTATAGTCAGCCAAACATGTGGCGCTCTGGTAATCGCAGAGTTTGTGTACAACTCCATGAAGTATTCTTACACCTGCACAAACCTTGTGGATTATATGGAAAGATAAAAGTTGGAATCAAAGACATTTGCAGGTGTTTTAATAGCTTCAAATTATAGAGGAAGAGTTTTTTGAATAAATAAAATTTAAATACAGATTGTTTCACTTTGTATTGTGATGTGCTATTAACTTTGCAATGTGAAACTCTTTATATTTCGCAATACAGTATATCTTGTTTTTTTTCTTATAAATATTCCATATTTTGTTTAAAATAAAAGAATTATTTTATTGTACCTTTACTCTATTCCTAATATTATTGCATTTTAAATTGAATATCCATACATTTATGAAAATATAACAACCAATCTGCCTACAACTAATACTATACCTTTATTAACAATCTAAATAAGAATTGGTGCCTTAAGTAGAAATTTATTAAAGCTATTTTTTTTTATTTTATTACAAGGGTAAATTAACTTTTGTAAATCTGGTAAGTTGTGTGAGGTATTCATGAATAGTGCTAAGAATCCAATTCTATCCTCATTAAATTTCATCCAGCAAATTATCTACATAATTAAATAAATGGAACTACAGTTGTTACTTTGAGGCCAAATAAGTGACATATACAGGAAATGTTGAGAATACCATTAACAAAGCAGGATAATGGCAATTATTGATTGAAAACTGCTTCAGAATACTAATTACTTTATTTAAAAATTCACATGAAGTATGTCTATCGGTGAATATGGGGGAAGTGAGATTAGCCCTTTGTCTTTTCCATACCGTGTGCTATTTATATATCTTAATTGAAATTTCATATTTTTGTGGAAAGTGGCTTTCTTTCAATGTATTCCACTTTAACCACCCATACACGATATGAGAATTGCACTTTCTGTATCTAGTTTTCACTTATTTTCTCTTGCCCAACCACTCCCACCAGTTTAAATAAGCTGTCCTTGTATATTTACCTTGGTGTCTTATGCTGTACTAGTATCCTATTTCATCTCTTCTAAGGTTGTGAGATTGACTTCTACCTACCAAGTAGTTGTTGGTACTAGATACTAACCCACACTTTCTCAAGTTTTGTTTTCTCATAAGATTGAGATGTGGGTAAATAATAGGCTGTGTATGGACTTTAAAAAAATAATAATTTTTAATTAAATACTGTACAGTACTACCAAAATGTTTGCCTGTTTCAAATGTGTAGTTGTCATCTTGTTCATGTGAGCTTTTATTGTTAGTTTTGGGATTATATCCACTCTCAAGTCATTTGTTTCTTGCAGGTTTCCTATCATTACCTTGCACTTCCTTAGATTTAATTCTAATAACCATTTATCTAACCACTCCCAAAATTTGTCATGGTTTTCCTGTAACATTAGTCACTATTATCTTTGCATTTGCAAACATGTATGAGCTTCTTTCCTCTGGTAGGTTACTAGCAGTTTAAAAAAAAAATTAATCTAGGATAGATGCAAGGGATTCGAGCCTTGACATATTCTCTATGACTCTTTGTTGGGTAATCCATTGAACCGTCTTTTCTGTTCTTTGCTTGTCTTCATCTTGTGCATTAGTTGTTTGTCAAGAACTTAATTGCAGTTTACCCATCTTTTGTTCATTTGGCTTTTGCTTAAGCACCTTGATTTAGAGTTCAATCAAGTTTGCCAGGCATGATTTTATCCCTCAGAATGCATGTTATCCTGCTGTAAGTATTCCCTTATTCCTTTCTTAGTTCTCCCATGGGTGTGGGTGGCTTCTACCTCCCTCTCCTACGTGCTGGAGCAGCATTTAACAAAAGGTGCCCACTGGAACATATCCTCAGTTGATTGGGGGGGTCTGCACCCTTGTAAGCAAATCACTAGTGCATGAGACGAGATAAATTAGGATATTAGACAAAATCCTAAACTGTGCGAAGACAAATGTCAGGAAGCAAAAAGTGAGCCGAGTAGAAAATGAAGAAGGGAGGGGGGAGAGGGTCCCACAAGTCCTTAGGTTGTCTACTCTTTAAATGTCCAGAGGGATTAATCTTGTACATGTTAGTGTGATGATGCTAGGTGAAAATGAGAACTGTAGTGTGCTACAGGAAGACCTTGACAAATTTCATGAGTTATGTGCCAACAGTCCTTTATTTGGGGCTTATCTTCCCCACCCTTTCTGGCCCATTGGCGTCGTGAGGGGGTTTGGTGGGCAGCTGCCGGAGTATGATGCTCCATGGGTCAGTCCTCTGTCCTTTTGAAGCCTTATGGCCTGTTGTTGTCTTTACCAATTTTGCCAGAACTTCTTTTTTTTTCCTTTTCCTTGTTTCATTTTTCTTCCCCTTTCTAATTGTCATTTCCTGCCGACCTTTTGCCAGTCTTGATTATTCTTTCGGACTACTACTGTTTTGATGCCCGGGTGTTTGGGGAGGTATACACTCTCACCCGTAGAACTGTAGTACCCAACGTCTTGAGTGAGGGGACCCTTTAATTGTTAATCCTTCTCGACGGACTGACGGTTCTTAAGGTGGCATTTGTGGGGCGTATACTCACAACGCACCCATGGAGGGCCCTGGCAACATGTCTCTTGTTGAGTGTCCTATCCTCTAATTGTGGCTCCGTGGTGGGTACGGGGGCACATTCGTGAATGAAAGTAGTACCTCTCATTTTCATGTCTCTGAATACTGTTCCTCTTATGACTTCTCAGGCTCGTGGGGTGGACGACCAAGCCCCCCCCCCCCCCGAGTCGGACTGTGTTGGAAGACCGGACTCTGTAGCCCCCGCTACATTGGGCCCAGACCTAGCTCCTCCTTTGACCCTCCTGACTGCTTCCGTCTCCCCTCCTTCCTCTGTGGTTGGGTCGAGCCATACGCCCCCAGCAGCGACCACCTCGTCCCCTGGCGTGGCTCGGCCTCTCATTGGGACTACTGCACCTTTCAACCCCTCTCTCTCTCTCTCTCTCTCTCTCTCTGAGTTCTCAACGCCGTCCCTGCCACGGCTGCACTCGCATGATCCCTTCCCATACTAATACGAACCAGGCCTTGTTTGGTCCTGCTTCATGGGCTAAATACTTTGATCTCCCTCTGGATTCTACACCACCTGACGATGTCTCGCTCCATAAACACTGTTGATTCGGTGGATGCCTCTGTTACTTTTAACCCCACCCGTTTAGGTACATGTATCGTCGCTGCTCCTTCACCGGATGCAGCTGCCCGCTTAGCTGCAGTGCCCTGCATTGGGGAGACCCCTGTACGGGTCTCCAAAAACACTCGGTTAAATGCCAGTGTTGGCACTGTTCTCCTCCCACACCATGTTGCAACTGGTGTTTGGGGCCTAAAAGACTGACATGATATTAAACATATCCTCGAAGCCCAAGGCCAACCTGTCCTCCAGGTGGACACATTCACTCGCCCCCCTCGTGGTCGCCACCGTCAGCCCCTTGTACTGTAGTTATGAAAATCATCTTCGATAGTAGGTAGGATGGTGCTACATAGCCTTCCTGGCTTGGTGCCTTCTTTGATAATTACTTACATGGGGCTTATCCTGTAGTAACCTCATGACTAGTGTTTTAACCCTTTCCATCCTGTGGTGGTCAAAATCTAATAACGGTTGTTTTCTCATCTTTGGCAGACTTAAGACTGTCAAATTTGTCTAGGTACTCAGCCATGTTAACTTTACCTAGAATGAGCCTGAGGATGCCACTGCTAAGAAGGCCCTTCATGCTAGTCCTCATTCTTGTGATAACTCATTTTGATTTCAACCCAGTTATTTATAACGAAATCCATGATAGATGGTCTGGAAATATGGATAAAAATTGTGTTTTCTTAAATGTGAACCATCCCCATGGCAATCCTCCTACCACCATATTAAGTGTGAAATAGCTCTGGCTAGGCTACGTGGGCACTTACACTGTAGACAGCAAAGTGATTGTCAGTGTCAGCACCCTGATGTCGATAGTGTAACACTTACTTATAGTAACACACTGTTGTCTACAGTATCTCACTGTTGCTTGCAGGTTGTGTAACATCACGTCTACATTTTGCTACAGATAAAACAATTTCATAAATCTACTGCTGGTATAGTATTTAGGTAATCAGAAATAGAAACAGTATATTTGTATAATTTTTAAAAAAATAATCCCGCTGCCATAGCAGCAAATGCTTCACTTGTATAATAAAAGAAACTGCCATTAGAGACCTTCGACATGTTTTTAACTGTCGCATACTTATTGCCATAAAAAAATATGAATTCAGTCTGTGATAAAATGTTGAGGGAATATTTTACATATAACCCCCACTGTCAAAATATAATATTTTTATCATACAACAAAGAATAGTAGTTCATTGATGTCCCTTTAAAATTGCACACCATTCATAAAATATATTTCTTCGTACCATACATTACACTATAAATAAGGCCTATCCTATCTACTTCTATACTGAACTCTGATGCTTTGAATTAGTGTAAATAAAGATAACATCTTCATCAGTACCATAGCTTTGTCTAGCCTCGTCTAATTTACTAAAAGTTATAGAACAAATACGATTTTTAAAAGATGGATTTCTGTAATATACGTGATTCTTTTTCATATCAAAACCAATTAGAAGGATATAATGCCCCTGATATGGCGGTGAACAGGGTAGACAAGATCGAAGATGTGGCATAGCCTTAGTACACCTGATGCATGTTAATAGATGAGCATTAGTGAGCAAGATGACAGGTCCCTCCTCACGGAGATGGGATAAAATGCTGTGAAGTGTGGCAGCTCCTTGGTCCACAACCACGCCTTGATTGCTAGCTTCTCGAAAGCGATCCAGGACTCTCTGTGCATCCTGTCATTAAAACAGCAGCTTTGTAAGACTGACCTTGACATTCTGGTTACTACAATCAATAATGTAAATATAATTTGACTGACTACATTTGGCTCCTCACAGAAAACATGTTACAATAACACATCCTCTCTGCCACATGCCCAGCTTCACGAAACTCAGCATTTTAATGCCTAAAAGCTCTTTAGTATTTTGTACAAATATTTGTTAAAACTCATTGGGCAAGATATTATATGAAAAGCAAATAACTGAATTTTGTTTTATCTTCTTTTTGAGCCTACAATATTGTAAAAAAAATATCTAAGCCTACAATACGGTATGTAGATTCCTAGGTCTGCACCAGGAAATTTGCAGGCCATCCTCCCGTTTAGATAGTACTTACAGTAATGATGTGGACCATTATACATATACGGTACTGTATTGACGTAATGGACAATTAGAATGTAGAATTTGGTACAATTGAATTTGGACAAACCTGAAAAGGTTTCGTAGTTATGTTGCTACTAAAACTAAGCTAACCTAACCATAGCATTCTAGTCCTAATACACACTGAGGCCTAATATAGTACATATATGTACTGTACTAGGCCCAGAATGCTTATGCTTGGCTTTTAGCTTTATTTTTCTGAACTCTATAAAGTGAATAGTACCAAATTCTACTATCTAATTGTCAATATATGTACGATGGTCCACATAGTTACAAGCAGTACTATCTGAACATTAGGATGGGTTGGAAATTTAACATAGTTTGCATTTCAGAGACCGAGCTTGTTGACTTAATATGAGCAACAATCAGCATTACAAGAGTTTACATGTTAATACAAGTCATTAGTACAGTACAAATGTTTTGAAAATGAATTGCTTAAAAATTACAAATATGAACTGTATTTAACTTCATAAAACATTTTAACAAAACTATATACAAGTACACTACTAGTACTGTACTATGTACCATCTGCATTTTGTTTTGCCAATGTTAAATTGCACTCATAACACAATGAGAATTCGAAATTTCGGACTTACATAATCTACTAGAAGTAAAGTATGCACTCTATTGTGTAAAAATACAATAAATCTTAATCATTTACAGCACTGCCCTTTACATTACAGTACACAAATACACTCTCCCTATCACAGGCCTCACATTGGTAACAAGTCACAAACACTACCTGGAGTAGGGTTGACTCAAGAAGGGACTCATAAACCTCAGAGAAATTAATAACTAGTAGTTAATGAGGTTTGCTAACATGGCCAAGAAAGAGCTCTCTAAAATGAGAAATGCAGGGCGCATGCAAGGTGGTTGACAAACACGCTCTTGAAATGTACTGCAGATTCCTAATGCAGAACAAAGTCCTAAGGAGAGTCAATCCACATATCTGTAAAAGGAATTTCTGCTCCCAAACAGGAACCACTACTGGGCTCCAAATGGTACTTGGCGAGATACTGAGAAAGGTGACTGGTTGGGACCCTGCATGTTTTGGCCTGCCAACTGGTGGCAACAGAGCAAGTTGGAGCAGGAGCAGTTTGCCTGTTCCATCTATCAGTTGAAACAGGCAAACTGTTCCTGCTATTTGACTGTCATATTCTTTTCTCACACACATTGATTTTTTTTTCATAATGCCCTTCGACTTTTTCAGTGGTGGGTTGATCTTACATCCCTATGTGCTTCCCTCGCTTCTTTGAGGGGGGGGGGGCCCAGATATTGGTCCTGGTTCCTGGTATGTCAAGAAAGTCTCGGGAGCTTGTAAGCTCCAGAGAGCCCCAGACAACAATAAAATATTTAAAGACATACTTTTTCCCAGGCAATTTATCGTTTCAAAATGTGACCAGATATGTTTAATTATTTGCAATAATGGAAACAATAATATTTGGTATAAAATAGTAAAACATTAAAAAGTTCAGATGCAGCAGAAATTAGTTACATCAGGAGGGGCACAGTACAAATGTAAATATCAGAGTGAACATCTACTGTACTGACACAGTACTGTACATAGCAAACAACGCTTTAAAGCACTGACAAAAACCAGCAAAAACACAACACTGGAAAAATTTAGCATGAGAAAACCTCATTCACACACACACACACACACACACTTAAAAATGATAATTCAGAAAATTTAACGGAAGATAATAACACTTAAGCTTTACTAGCAACTGAAGGAATACAGAAAAAAGGAAGCTTACTTTGCTAAGCACTTTGTCATAGAAACTCTCAGTGGAGAATCCTGGGTCAACACCCAGAGTTACTGTCATGTACCGATGCTTGACAGCAAATCTCTGGAGCAAGTATGCCAAGTCAATGCTCCATGTGCTGTAAGAAGGAAACCAAAACTAAAAATTGCTGGACATAAGTTAATTTAAAGGTTTAACAGGTGAAGGACAATAATATTAAGAGAATCATAGTGCACTTCATGTGGTATAATAATAATAATAACAATGATGATGATCATGTCACTGTGCCCAGTTCCAACTGCACAAGTAACTGTGTCAGCACGAGCCAAGTCTCGGAAAAAGAGCACCTAAAAGCTATTGCGAGATAAAATGCACAGAATCAAATTTATGGCTAGCACACACAACACATGACTGGAAGCTCAATCAATCAGTACCCGAATAAGGCCAGAATTGAGAACCTCATGAGTATCCTTAGCATCACATGGAGCCCAAATGAAGTCCCTAAAAGAAACTGTTAAGCCCGACTTGAAACCCTAGCCAATCCATGAACCAAGGAGATGAAAACATACCAGTAGGGGGTACCACAAGATCAGAGAAACAAATGAAGAATGAACAGCAGCAACATTGGCTGTTTCTTATCTCCAGTAGATTTGAAATAGTCGAGTTTTGCTAGGTTTCCAGCCATACTGGTGTCTCTTTAAATGAGTATGCGGACGCTGCCGCTAAGGAAGCTATCCCCACTTGTCCCATCTCCTGTTAAGGTATTCCTTATTCCAACTTTCACCCAGTTATTCATTCCTCCATCCTTGCCTGTTGGCAGGGTTGTCGGTCTTCTGTTAATGGTAACAAATTGTGTACTCTTAAAGAGTAGTGTGTCCCTGTAGCCTTCCTCCTACCACTGTAGCCAGTGGTGGGAAACGGCTCTGGCAAGGTTGTGTATTAGCCATACGCGCTTAACTCACGGACACTTAATAGAGCACCGCCCTGCTCCTTATTGTCCTAATTGTATTGTCCATCTTATAGTTGTGCATATCCTTGTTGAATGTCCTGACTTCCAGGACGAGTGTGTGTCTTCCTTTCCGACCGTCCCCCACGGTCACTTGTCCCTCGATAGAATTCTTGGTGAATCGGATACTTTTGATATCGTTTGCCTTATGCGTTTCTGTTCTCATATTTGGCATCCTCAGTGATATTTAGCGCCCTCTGATTGTTCCGCACATTTGATGGTGCTACATAGCCTTCCCGGCTTGGTGCCTTCTTTGATAATTACTTATTTTGGGCTTCTGTATTTTTTATGGTTTTGCCTCTGGGATACTTTCCTGCCTTCAAGCATTATGTAGTTGTTCTCAAGTGGTGTATGTTGAGACTGTTTGTTTCCAGGTCAGAGGACTAGCTCCAGGCTGTGGAGGGTTTTTTATTCTTCCTGGTACAAAGGACAAGAAAATAGCCTCTACTATAAGACCAAACTTACTAGCCTGGAAACAGGGCCACGCAAAAAAGAACAATGGACAATCACGGTCGCTTGTCAAATACGAAACCCAACACCTGTCCTTGTCACTCATGAGGAAGGACCAGAAAAGTCCTTCTCCATCAGGGTTCAAAATCCAGGAGGGAGGAAGGGAAGGAGTGCCAGGAACTGAGGCCTCTGACCTTCTCAATGCAGAGTACCCAGAATTATTTAAAAAAATCAAGCACCGACAAAATGAAATAGTGTACCATTTTCTAGTGGGCCCACAGTAGCTTAGCAAGCTTAACTCTAGTACCACTGAACATTAGCCCAACCACAAGCTTCTCTCGGACTCATTTGTCACCAACTAGGACCCAGAACCCAAATCTGGCTATCAGGTGATGGAAGCAGGGGATCAGAAATCAACTACAAAACTTGAAAAACCCACCAGAAAGTATAGATGCAACAAAAGAAGCAACCACTTGAAAGAAACTAGGCACTCTCAGGTATACACAGTACATGATCATTGCTGTAGTGCAACCCTTACTGTGATGCACTTGACTGTCACCAGATGGCATCCCAGGGCACCTAAAGTCTTATCCAAAATACAAAAAAGCCAGACTGGACTGATCTTTGTGAGAAGAATAGCAAGAAAGTTCAAGGGCAAAGAAAAGGAGCTTTGTACCAAATGCCCAACTTCAGGTGATGGAAGCAAGGGGATCACTGAAGTGATCCCCCTGCAAAGGCACTGAAGTTATTCTTTTGTTCCAGAAAATTATTTTGTGAAGCTTCAATCCCATTCCTCATTCTTAATGCAGAACAAATTGTTGGCCTTCTATTTGGGGCCTAAAATGATGCAGATTTGGATTGTGTTATGACTGGGGTGCATCATAATATGTGACTGTCTTCTTCAATCCTCAATCCATGCTCCTTGTATCAAGGTTTGGTTGTCCCAGACTATTTGCCGAATTGTCTGCCATATCCACAACCAATATCAGGACCCAGAGTTTTCCGAGACAAAACCGAGCGTTAGTAGCTTGTTACCTCCCAGTCCTCCCTCGAAACTAGTTGATAGTGCATTGTCTCGGTAACTTGAATGATTTCTGAGGTTTGGTGCCCCCCTCAAGCTGGGTCATGTCTTCTGGGATTTGTCTGTTTCAGGTTAATTTCCACACTTGATTTTCTGTTTTCCTTGTCTATTCCTTTGCCTTGTAAAATCTGAAATAAAATTTGTCCTACTTCTCTTAAACACTACAGTAAATTGAGGGAATTACTGATGGGGTGGCCTAGAAATAAAGCACCAAGTGAACGAATCCATAAGGGCCTTGATGAGCGTTCGAACCTTCGTCCGGGATGATCCCAGATGCGCCTTAGTCGATTGTGCCACAACATGGTCAAAAGAATTGCAACCGGAAGTGCTACTGCCCTCACACGGATCCCGCAGCCTCTCTGGGATTCTCTCTTGTGGATTTGTTCATTTGATGTATCATGCTAATATGATTTGTGTGTGTGAAAGCACCAAGTGTAATAAAACAGCACTTTCTGGACAATACTTCGGTAGCTTCAACTTCATGTCGTTTCTGCCCTTTTTCCTCATGTCAAATGCGTTTTGTTTAAGCTCAAGAGTAGTGGTGTCATCTGAACAGAGCCCAAGCAAATTGAACCTCCCCACACAGCAGTAAGGTGATATTGTTTGGCCATCCATCCATTATACTTTTTATTGATAGCTCAGTAATCTTCAAAGATTTTTTTGAGGAGAAATTGAGTGTTTTGTATACCGTACAGTACAGTACTTTCTTATGAATTTTAGAAAGTGATTAACCTCAATAGTGAATTTATCTATGACCTGCCCTGTGTAGGCAGCAAGATGATATAACACATTGCTAGTCCCTAGAGGGGTGAGTGTCACATGCACCTGGAGTATCTGAAGGGGCAGCTCAGAAAGTTGCATTTCATTACAGTCAATACAGTACTATTTTTCTATCCACAATAGTGGAGAGACTGGACCAACCTGATCTACAAGATGCAGAATCAAGAGGATAGCAAATAGAAATGGATATAAAACAGATTAGATTGAGAAAATGCAAAATATGCACAGTAAAGTGATACCTCTACTGTACTGCTTTAAACAATTTGATAATGAGAGTACAGTACACAAAACCAAAATTATATTGTCTGTACCTTTTCTCAAACCCTTCTTCCTGACATATTTGATAAAGTCTGGCTGAGAATCTATTGCGATTTTGAGGAGTCAATATCATCATGATACATGCCAGACCACAGTCCCAAGTGTGCTTCTGCTGCACATGGTCGATGTTCAACAGAACCTGGTCTGTGTTCCTCGCACCACCCATCTTCCCCCACCAACCTGCAACTAAGACTTATTAAATAAAAAATAATTATTCTTACTATTTGAATAGCATGATTATATAATAAAATAGCACTTCATTATTTATTGATAATTTATAAATGTTTAAATATAGTAAATAATACAGTATAGTACAGTACTTATGATTGTATAAATCAGCAATGATTCAGTGTATGAAGAGTGCATGCTGAGCAGCCTTGCATGTGTGTGTATTCTGTAACTATTAATACATGTTGTTCTTTTTGAATTAATCTTTTCGATAATCCTAACTTTTTAGGCTTTCCTTTTTTTGGGTTTTCATGAAAAAGCATAATGCATGAATTTCATTATTTTCATGCATTGATATATGCCATCCAAACCCACTACACAAAGCCAATGAGATAATTACAAAATGGGCTCAGGTCTCTAGCAATAATAAATTACCAACTAGCTTTAGGGAGAAATTGCATGGGAAGTCCAGCAACAGAATGCTCTCATAAATGTTGTTGAACATGTAACATGATGAATGTGATGATCCATATACCAGTTATGAAATGGATTACTCCCTTGCCAGGAGTTACAGCACTGCTCCTGGTGAAGATTGTATCACCAGTGATAGACTATTACATCATGTACCCAGTATTCCACTACGACCAATGAATAATACGAGTTTATGACACTGGGCAGCTGCTTGTCTCATGGACCAGCACTATCGCTGTTACAATACCTAAACCTAGCCAACTTGGTGCTTCTTGTCCCATCTCACTGACCAGCTACATGTGTAAAATCTTTAAGAGAATGATGCTCAATGGAACACTGCATAGAATTAGAGAGCAAATGTCATGAGATATAAAAGATTTCATGCAAGGTAAATGTGTTCACAAATGTATCACAACCTTTTACACTGTTCATGGAGAAATGCCTTTGATATTGCTAACATGACAGTTATTCTGCATGAATTAGCTAGAATGGATATAGGTGGTCAATTGCTATAAAAAATACAAGGTTATCTTACCAACCATTAATCCCCTGCACTATTTCAAGGCTACAAAAGTGTAACTAAACTATGCAACTAGGCACTCAAGGTAGAGTCTTAAGCCCCACCTTGTTCAATGCCTTACTAAAACCAATCCCAACAACTCCTAAACACATTTCTTTTAGCTATGAAGATATCATTTGTACATACAAAAACTCAGTGAAATGCAACCAGTCCTACATTGCATACATACAGCTTGTGAAAGCTGTGGCCTTGTAGTCAACACAGAAAACTAAGATGTTTCACAGACAAGGTGGTACAGTAATTGCAAAAGTTGACCACAAAAACTAAGACATAACTACCAATAAACTTTTTTTTTACACAGGTGGGTACAGGAACAGACAACTACTGACTCCTGTTAACAGGCTGAGAGCTGTCCCTTCCCATAGCTCATGATAAGCCTTACCCACTAATTTCCCTGGAATACGACCCGCCAATTTTTTAGCAAGGTACCCATCACTGCTTGATTGCGTATCTTTATGCCTTTGGGTGAACAGTTATGGTCATAGTCACTTGTATGTCATTGCCATAGGTCATAGTCATTGACGCATAGTCAATCCTCCCCAGGCAGGATACAAACGTAGGCCAAATCGCTAACGAATTGCAGAGCAAGAGCTTTACTACTGTGCCACTGGGGACTGTTATGTCTCCTCCTACAAGTTCCCTGGGTTTTCCATCCATGTACCCTAGATGCAGGTAACAAATTACATCAACAATGTAAATTCATTGTGATTCATTATACTGGGGAACAGGCAATCAGTGAACAGTATATATACATGTTACACTTCTATAAAAGGTTCTCCTCCCCCCTAGGTTAAACTACTGACCCTCCCCAGGATGCAATCCAACATGTTGACTAACTCCTGGGTACCTATTTATTGCTAGGTGATAGGAAATGCACTCAACCATTTCTGCCCTGAACAGGATTTGAACCTGGAATTATCGACTGTGAGTTGAGAATGAATTCAACTGTACTTCCGGGACTTAAGGCTCTTAGAACTGCTGCAGTGTACAACCCACAATACAGTGTAAATGTTAGAAGAGCTAAAAAATGTACTCAGCTTATATAAGATCTCTGATAGACTTTCATTCATCAGCCTTAGTTTTAAATCACAGCAAAAGTAATGATATACATAAAAAATTGAAAAATGAAGCTTTCAGAATTATCCTTGGCTGTCCAATATCTAGCAAAGGTGTTAATTTGAGGACAAATTAGATACACCTAGTATTCAAGATATATTTGAAATTGATCTTATGAAAACTAAAGCATGTATGTGGTAATGATATTGATATCAGCATTGTATCAACTGAACTTTTAGAACATGTATGCTGTGGAACTAGTGATTCTGAATGTATTCAAAGAACAGCTACTCATATTTAGATGTTTAGATTGCACAAAGTATGTAAAGATGAAAAAGCACAGAACTTCCTGCGACTTTGGTAGATAATATCTTTTGACTTAACATCTATATAACCCACCATGAAACTAATAACACACAACTCTCATGCTTGGCTTGATGCTAAATTAAGTACCCATGAACACACAATTTACAAACTGAAAGCAATGCCACACAGATTATATACACTAACAGATCTCTCAATTTAACTACAATGAGGGGTGGAAGGGCTGTCACTGATCATCAGCACATATGGCAACACAACTGAATGGAATGTAAGAGTCAGTAATTGGGTATCCACCTTGCAAGTTGAGTTGTTGGTTATTCTTGTAGCACTCAAAGTTATTGAAAACACTGCAGTAGACAACTTACCGTAATTATTTCCAACCCTCTTATCCTCATTACTAGCATTAAATTACTTGCAGTCAAATTGTAATGGTCTTATCTCTGAAGCCAGGTGTTAATATATGTGCATACTTAATAAGGGGAGTCGAAGTCAAGTTGTTGTGAATCTCCTCTCACATTGGGTTACAAGAACACGGTAATGTTGACCCTCTTGCTAAGCTTACAGTAAATAATGACAATGTTGAACATTATAATCTTGGATTCTCAAACAGAACTTTAAAATGTGCAATTAAAACATGAACTCTTATATGAATTTGAAAAAAGTGGGAGTACAAACAAGAATTAGTTGATAATAATAATAGTAATAACAATAATAATAATAATAATAATAATAATAATAATGAAAAAATCCACTGGGGCTGTGAGGTGATGCCTCATAGTGAAAAGTAAACTTAGAAAAAGTCACACAACCAGATGTCTACTGAAATCACAGGAAGTCTGGAGACCCCTCCTGAAGCCAGTCCAAGTTTTTTGTATGATGACCCTCAAGCACTCGGGTGACGGGCAAAGTAGTTCAACAGCATATGCCCCCAACTTCAGTAGGGGCCTCCAGACTCCCTGTGATTTCAGTAGACATCTGGTTGTATGACATTCACAGAGTTACAGTGGTACAGTGGTAGAGTATGATGCTGCCAACGCCTTGGTCATGAGTTCGCGTCGCCTCACAGCCCTAATGGATTTTCTCATTGATGTATATCATTTTAGTGTGATTTTTCTGTGCATATAATAATAATAATAATAATAATAATAATTTAATTAAGAAATATACAGAAGAACATGATACATTGATGGAACACCATGCATATGGCTCTCATCCTGTCACTACACTTAAGCCATTTACCTGAATTTACCTGTGGGCCACTATCTCTCTAGGGGCCCTAATGGGAACTGGAAGCCGGCAGCTTGTCAAAGGTCTTTCCATTGTTCCTGAGGATTTTTCCAACTGGATTTTAAACTGGAGAAACATGGCATTTACAGCTTCAGCAGGTAGGAAGTTCCACAGGTTTATAACTGTATGGGTGAAAAAGCATCTCCTGTTTTCTGCCTTACAGAACTAAAGGACAACTCCCAAAAATAAGAATCGTTTGAGAGATGCAAATTGCCAGACATGATCAAATGACCAACATCCGACAATATGGCAGAAATCACATACTAGTGATGCCTATAACCTGACCAGTGAATCATATGGTCATAGACAAATGTAACTGTTTCAGTGTGGTCACAAGCAATTTTTGCAGTCAAGTAGTAGAATTCACAACACTGTGATGGATGTACAATATTCTCCATGACAAGAGTAGAACCTTATTATGGTGTATCCTTCACAATACACGCCTCCTTACACTAGCAAGCTTCCTCACCCTGGCAAGCCCCCCCTCACCCTAGCAAGCCTCATCCTACCAAGCCTCCTCACCACAGTGTCTCCACACCCTAGCAAGCTTCCTCATCACAATGAGCATCCTTACACTAGCAAGCTTCCTCACCACAGTAAGCCTCCTCAACCTAGCAAGCTTCCTCACCACAGTGAGCCTCCTCACCACAGTGAGACTCCTCACCCTAGCAAGCTTCCTTGCCAGTGAGCCTCCTCAACCTAGTAAGCCTCCTCACCCTAGCAAGCTTCCTTGCCACAGTGAGCCTCCTCACTCTAGTGAGCCTCCTCATCCTAACAAGCTTCCTTGCCAGTGAGCCTCCTCACCCTAGTAAGCTTCCTTGCCACAGTGAACTTCCTCATCTTAACAAGCTTCCTTGCTAGTGAGCCTCCTCACCCTAGCAAGCTTCCTTGCCACAGTGAGCCTCCTTGCCCTAGTAAGCCTCCTTGCCACAGTGAGCCTCCTCACCCTAGTTTGCCTCCTCACCCCTAGCATGCTTCCTCACTAGTGGGCCTCCTCACCCTAGTTTGCCTCCTCACCCTTAGCATGCTTCCTCACCAGTGGGCCTCCTCACCCTAGCAAGTTTCCTTGCCACAGTATGCCGCCTCCTCACCAGTGGGCCTCCTCACCCTAGCAAGCTTCATCATCACAGTGAGCTTCCTCACCCTAGGAAAATGTATTTTGACAAGCCTCCACATCTTGGAACCTTTTCATCCTAGCAATAAGCCTACTTACCTTATCAATTAGCCTTCTCACCCTAGCAATTAGCCTTCTCATCCTAGCAATTAGCCTTCTCACTGTAGCAATACAAATACAAAAATACAACTCACCCTAGCAATTAGCCTTCTCACCCTAGCAATAAGCCTTCTCACTTTAGCAATAAGCATTCTCACCCTAGCAATAAGCCTTCTCACCTTAGCAATTAGCCTTCTCACCCTGGCAATAAGCCTTTTCACCATAACAATAAGCATTCTCACCCTAGCAATGAGCATTCTCACCCTAGCAATTAGCCTTCGCACCCTAGCAATAAGCCTTCTCACCTTAGCAATAAGCCTTTTCACCTTAGCAATAAGCCTTTTCACCTTAGCAATTAACCTTCTCACCTTAGCAATTTGCCTCCTCACCCTAGCAATTAGCTTCATCACCCTAGCAATCTCACCTGGGCAGACCTCTCACTTTCCCTCTCCTCACCCTAGACAGAGCGGTCGGTTGTGCTCCGCCTCTCACAACTCAGCGCCTCATCAACCTCAACTCACAACTCAGGACTACAAATTAGACGTTGGCAAACATTGCATACTAAATATTATTTGCAAGTGGGGAAATGTTTGCCTTTTAAACACTAGTTTATTCTCTCGCAAACTATAGATAAGTTTTTATTATCAAATGGAGTGTATAAATTTATATCGCAATGTTTACACTATCTGATGACGTCACTTATTGCAATTCAAATCAAATCAATCAAATAAAATCAAATGTTTATTCAGGTAAAAGTACATGCATAGATGAGTTACAAACATAATGTTGGATATATAGATAGAGCTTGTACATACAATACCTAAAGCCACTAATATGCACAGCGTTTCAGGCAAGGTGTAGGGGGGGGGGGACTTAAACTTAATAATAATTGAGATTAAAGTATAACTTGTATTGAGAAGTAAACAAAAAAATAAGGGGGGGAACATGGCAGAAATCAGCAATTATACAAGTTGGTCAACAAGCAGTATTGTTTGAAAATAGCAAGACATGGGTAGACATTTAGGGGGTAGGTTGCATGGAGTTTATTTGGTAGTGCTTAGTTTTTCTCTTAAACTGGTTGAGAGAGGTACAGTCTTTGACATGATTGGGAAGGTCATTCCACATTCTGGGTCCTTGTATAATCCTTTTAATTACTTTTGCCTAGGATGGACAAGGGGAACACATTGAACTATCCCTCATGGCATGAGTATGGGGGACCATTATAAACTACACTCACTAACCTGCTCACATTCTTGGAAACGGTAGCCAAGGTAATCGGCCAAAGGACTAACAGTAGACGTAGTATACATAGATTTCTCTAAAGCTTTCGAAATTTTTATTTAGTTCGTTTATTATGTGCCCCATACCATCCTGTGGGCGGTAGTGAAAAGGGTTACACACATGAAAGACTGGCGAAAAAATTACAAGCACATGAAATCATTATTAGAGTACTAGACTGTAAAACAATGACTGAAACATTGAAATGGAAAAGAATTTAGGTCCATCTTGGAGCCAACCCTATTTTGTCATAGGGGTCAATGACCTAGAAGAGAATATTACAACCCACATCATCATATTGACAGATAACACTGAGGTCTTTGGCAAAGTAAAAAGTGAAGACGATACAGAGGTCTGGCAAAGGGATCTACATGAACTCCACAAATGGTCAGAAGATTAACAAATGCATGTTAATATTTAAACGGCACTCAGAACTATGCTAAATTCTATCTTCAGGCAACACATAGCTCCTCATGGCTGTTCTATCCGTCTCTCCTGGCTGTTGTTACTGTCGCTCCTGGCTATTGTTACTGTCGCTCCTGGCTATTGTTACTGTCGCTCCTGGCTGTTGTTACTGTCGCTCCTGGTTGTTGTTACTGTCGCTCCTGGCTGTTGTTACTGTCGCTCCTGGCTGTCGTTACTGTCGCTCCTGGCTGTTGTTACTGTCGCTCCTGGCTGTTGTTACTGTCGCTCCTGGCTGTTGTTACTGTCGCTCCTGGCTGTTGTTACTGTCGCTCCTGGCTGTTGTTACTGTCGCTCCTGGCTGTCGTTACTGTCGCTCCTGGCTGTTGTTACTGTCGCTCCTGGCTGTTGTTACTGTCGCTCCTGGCTGTCGTTACTGTCGCTCCTGGCTGTTGTTACTGTCGCTCCTGGCTGTTGTTACTGTCGCTCCTGGCTGTTGTTACTGTCGCTCCTGGCTGTTGTTACTGTTGCTCCTGGTTGTTGTTACTGTCGCTCCTGGTTGTTGTTACTGTTGCTCCTGGCTGTTGCTACTGTTGCTCCTGGCTGTTGTTACTGTCGCTCCTGGCTGTTGTTACTGTTGCTCCTGGCTGTTGTTACTGTTGCTCCTGGCTGTTGTTACTGTCGCTCCTGGCTGTTGTTACTGTCGCTCCTGGCTGTTGTTACTGTTGCTCCTGGCTGTTGTTACTGTCGCTCCTGGTTGTTGTTACTGTTGCTCCTGGCTGTTGTTACTGTTGCTCCTGGCTGTTGTTACTGTTGCTCCTGGCTGTTGTTACTGTTGCTCCTGGCTGTTGGTACTGTCGCTCCTGGCTGTTGTTACTGTTGCTCCTGGCTGTTGTTACTGTTGCTCCTGGCTGTTGTTACTGTCGCTCCTGGTTGTTGTTACTGTTGCTCCTGGCTGTTGTTACTGTTGCTCCTGGCTGTTGTTACTGTTGCTCCTGGCTGTTGTTACTGTTGCTCCTGGCTGTTGGTACTGTCGCTCCTGGCTGTTGTTACTGTTGCTCCTGGCTGTTGTTACTGTTGCTCCTGGCTGTTGTTGCTGTCGCTCCTGGCTGTTGTTACTGTCGCTCCTGGCTGTTGTTACTGTTGCTCCTGGCTGTTGTTACTGTCGCTCCTGGTTGTTGTTACTGTTGCTCCTGGCTGTTGCTACCACCACCACCACTCCTACTAATAATAATATTACAGTAATATTATTATTATTTGTACAAAAATAAATGCATATTATTCATATGAAGGTAAGATCATCATATTGTCTCCTGATTCCATATATGACTACGTATCCTATGAGATGGTGATACGTATTAGATGAAATTATAGATAGTATTTTTATGTACACTTAGTAAGCTTTCATGTAGCCGCAGCAACAGCAGCAGCAGCATCCCAGCAGCAGTCTCCCAGGCCTCAGCAGCAGCATCCCTGCAGCAGAGTCCCAGGTCTCAGCAGCAGCATCCCTGCAGCAGAGTCCCAGGCCTCAGCAGCAGCATCCCAGGCCTCAACAGCAGCAGCAGCAGCATCCCATCAGCAGAGTCCCAGGCCTCAACAGCAGCATCCCAGGCCTCAACAGCAGCAGCAGCAGCATCCCATCAGCAGAGTCCCAGGTCTCAGCAGCAGCATCCCAGGCCTCAACAGCAGCAGCAGCAGCATCCCATCAGCAGAGTCCCAGGTCTCAGCAGCAGCATCCCAGGCCTCAACAGCAGCAGCAGCAGCATCCCATCAGCAGAGTCCCAGGTCTCAGCAGCAGCATCCCAGGCCTCAACAGCAGCAGCATCCCATCAGCAGAGTCCCAGGCCTCAGCAGCAGCAGCAGCAGCAGCAGCAGCAGCAGCAGCAGCAGCAGCAGCAGCAGCAGCAGCAGCAGCAGCAGCAGCAGCAGCAGCAGCAGCACTAGTTACTCCGTCGCCCAAGAGATGGCTCTCGCGTCGCTCTCAAAAGGAAAACAAAAATGGCGACGCTGAGCTCCCTCCAAGACAGACTGCAGGGGTTGGGGACGAGGCTGAAGGCTGAGAACGAGGCTGGGACCCGGGAGAGGATGAACACCAACCTCACCCTAGACTTCACCAGGGATAGACCAGGCTCGGAGAGGAGACCCAGACCCCGTAAGTCCCCATCTAGCCCGCGTCTTGACACCCATCACCAACCTCATATTTTGCTCCTATTTGAGGCGTGTGTGGCAGGTTTGGGGCGTGGGGGAGGTGCAGCCGCGCCCCAAACGTGAGGTGTGAGGTGGGGGTATGAGGGGGAGTTATTGTATGGGGGGAAGTTGTGTCTGGAAATATCAGTGGTGGTTACTGTCAACATTGGACAGTGGTCACATGAGTCGCTCAGGGACAAGTGTATGTGTGTGTAGGGGGGGGGGGGGGCAGGTGTGTGGTACATCATATGTTTAGTACCTAGTGTGTTTGGAGCCAGGTGTATGTGGGACCTAATGTTTGTGGGGGTAATGATTGTGGGGAGCCAGGTGTATGTGGGACCTAATGTTTGTGGGGGTAATGATTGTGGGGAGCCAGGTGTATGTGGGGACCTAATGTTTGTGGGGAGCCAGGTGTATGTGGGGACCTAATGTTTGTGGGGAGCCAGGTGTATGTGGGGACCTAATGTTTGTGGGGGATGTAATGTTTGTGGGGAGCCAGGTGTATGTGGGGACCTAATGTTTGTGGGGGTAATGATTGTGGGGAGCCAGGTGTATGTGGGGACCTAATGTTTGCGGGGAGCCAGGTGTATGTGGGGACCTAATGTTTGCAGGGAGCCAGGTGTATGTGGGGACCTAATGTTTGTGGGGGATGTAATGTTTGTGGAGAGCCAGGTGTATGTGGGGACCTAATGTTTGTGGGGAGCCAGGTGTATGTGGGGACCTAATGTTTGTAGGGGATGTAATGTTTGTGGGGAGCCAGGTGTATGTGGGGACCTAATGTTTGTGGGGAGCCAGGTGTATGTGGGGACCTAATGTTTGTGGGGAGCCAGGTGTATGTGGGGACCTAATGTTTGTGGGGAGCCAGGTGTATGTGGGGACCTAATGTTTGCGGGGAGCCAGGTGTATGTGGGGACCTAATGTTTGTGGGGGATGTAATGTTTGTGGGGAGCCAGGTATATGTGGGGACCTAATGTTTGTGGGGAGCCAGGTGTATGTGGGGCCCTAATGTTTGTGGGGAGCCAGGTGTATGTGGGGACGTAATGTTTGTGGGGAGCCAGGTGTATGTGGGGACCTAATGTTTGTGGGGAGCCAGGTGTATGTGGGGACCTAATGTTTGTGGGGAGCCAGGTGTATGTGGGGACGTAATGTTTGTGGGGGATGTAATGTTTGTGGGGAGCCAGGTGTATGTGGGGACCTAATGTTTGTGGGGAGCCAGGTGTATGTGGGGACGTAATGTTTGTGGGGAGCCAGGTGTATGTGGGGACGTAATGTTTGTGGGGAGCCAGGTGTATGTGGGGACGTAATGTTTGTGGGGAGCCAGGTGTATGTGGGGACGTAATGTTTGTGGGGAGCCAGGTGTATGTGGGGACGTAATGTTTGTGGGGAGCCAGGTGTATGTGGGGACCTAATGTTTGTGTGGAGCCAGGTGTATGTGGGGACCTAATGTTTGTGGGGAGCCAGGTGTATGTGGGGACCTAATGTTTGTGGGGAGCCAGGTGTATGTGGGGACCTAATATTTGTGGGGAGCCAGGTGTATGTGGGGACCTAATGTTTGTGGGGAGCCAGGTGTATGTAGGGACCTAATGTTTGTGGGGAGCCAGGTGTATGTGGGGACCTAATGTTTGTGGGGAGCCAGGTGTATGGGGGGGACCTAATGTTTGTGGGGAGCCAGGTGTATGGGGGGGACCTAATGTTTGTGGGGAGCCAGGTGTATGTGGGGACCTAATGTTTGTGGGGGGCCAGGTGTATGTGGGGACCTAATGTTTGTGGGGAGCCAGGTGTATGTGGGGACCTAATGTTTGTGGGGAGCCAGGTGTATGTGGGGACCTAATGTTTGTGGTAAGCCAGGTGTATGTGGTACCTAGTGTATGTGGTACCTTTTGTGTGTGGGGAGCCAGGTGTATGTGGTACCTAGTGTGTGTGGGGAGCCAGGTGTATGTGGTACCTGGTGTGTGTGGGGGCCAGGTGTATGTGGTACCTAGTGTGTGTGGGGCCAGGTGTATGTGGTACCTAGTGTGTGTGGGACCAGGTGTATGTGGTACCTATGTGTGTGTGGGGCCAGGTGTATGTGGTACCTATGTGTGTGTGGGGGCCAGGTGTATGTGCTACCTTGCTTCTATACATGCCTTATTAAACCATGGATTCTTCGTTTGCTTCTCGGATTTTTCCTTTTGGGCCGGGATAAACCTGTTTACTGCCTCCTGTCACTTTTGGGTGACATAGTCCATCATGTCTTGTACAGACTTAGCTTTGAGGTCTTTTAGGTGCCGGTCGGCCGAGCGGACAGCACGCTGGACTTGTGATCCTGTGGTCCTGGGTTCGATCCCAGGCACCGGCGAGAAACAATGGGCAGAGTTTCTTTCACCCTATGCCCCTGTTACCTAGCAGTAAAATAGGTACCTGGGTGTTAGTCAGCTGTCACGGGCTGCTTCCTGGGGGTGGAGGCCTGGTCGAGGACCGGGCCGCGGGGACACTAAAAAGCCCCGAAATCATCTCAAGATAACTCAAGATAACTCAAGGTCTGTGTCCCATGGTATATTCCTTAGGAAACTTTTCATCTCCTCATAATTTCCCTTTTGGTATGCCAGCCTTTTGTTTCCGAGTTTTTTTTGGGGGGGGATAAATCCTAGCTCCACCAAGTACTCAAAGATCAATACTCTGTGATCATTCATTTCCAAGGGTGCTTCCAACTTAACTTTCCTTATATCCCACTCATTTAGGGTAAATATCAGGTCAAGCATAGCTGGTTCATCCTCTCCTCTCATTCTTGTTGGTCCCTTGATGTGTTGTCTTAGAAAGCTTCTTGTTGCCGGGTCCAGCAGCTTAGCTCTCCATGTATCTGGTCCTCCATGTGGGGGTCTATTCTCCCAATCTATCTTCCCAATCTAGTGTGTGTGGGGTCCAGGTCTCCAGGTCTCGCTCAGAAAATGGCGTTTCATTACATTCAATGCTGTTTTTTTTTTTTTTTTTTTTTTTTTTTTCTGTCCCTCTTCTCACTTCCATGTAGTGGTTTCATGTCTGTAGTGCTGGTATGTTTGACAGCTTGGCCTTTTGTATATTGATTCCATTCGTTTGTCTTTTGCTCTCTGCCCCTCTCACAATTTCTATTAAATCAATCCTGTTTTTTGAATATTCATCTCTGTTTCAGAATAAGTAAGTCTTTGTTGAGAACATCTCAACAAAATTTGACATATATCTCATTATTTCCTTGCATAACAACAAACCATTCCAATCAACTAAAATAAAGACCTTTCTAAAATTTCTGTAGCATCTACTGTTGAAGTTGAGTTTCTCTGATGCCTCATTTTGTCCCATTTTCTTTTGTTATAATGCAAAAAGTATTTTCTTTCAAGGAGTAAACGGCACCTTATATAGTGGAGGCAAGTAGTGGAAGTCAAAGTTCTCTCCCACTTTCCTGATAAATATTAGGTCCAGTGCTGATACGAGAATACCTCCAGGAAAAGGTTCATGAATCGGCCAAATTCATAAGTCTTATGTCTTTATATCATAAGCCTTGCGATCTACTATTTTCAAATTAAGTCCCCATGCACCATCAATCATGATTTTTCCTCTCAGGTTTTGTTAATGTCTCACTCATAATCATTAAAAGACCCTCTTGCTTGTTGTCTTTCTTATTTTGTCCATGTGGATTGTAGTTAATTAATGTAAGTTTTCAGGTAATTTGTAAGGTATTGTTGTACATTTCAGTTCCAATAGGAGAATCCAGATTACCAGAACGGCCGAACACCATCTCAGGAGGACGGCAGAAAGAGCGACGCAAAATAGAGTTGCCTTTATTTTTTGAACCCCGCCAACAACCTGACCTTCCAGAATTAGATGCACATGTAAAGGAAATCACTAGAAAAAATGGTAATCTAATTATAGAGAGCAAGGTATGATATCAGGTAAACATTTGCTGCTTTATAGTTGCACTGTGTAAGCCCTCCTTGTCATGCCAGGAGAGCTGCATTGTGTAAGCTTTCCTTGTCATACTAGGAGAGCTGCACTGTGTAAGCCTTCCTTGTCATGCCAGGAGAGCTGCATTGCATAAGCCTTCCTTGTCATGCCAGGAGAGTTGCACTGTGTAAGCCCTCCTTGTCATGCCAGGAGAGGTGCACTGTGTAATCCTTCCTTGTCATGCCAGGAGAGTTGCATTGTGTAAGCCTTTCTTGTCATGCCAGGAGAGTTGCACTGTGTAATCCTTCCTTGTCATGCCAGGAGAGTTGCATTGTGTAAGCCTTTCTTGTCATGCCAGGAGAGTTGCACTGTGTAAGCCTTCCTTGTCATGCCAGGAGAGTTCCACTGTGTAAGCCTTCCTTGTCATGCCAGGAGAGTTGTATTGTGTAAGCCTTCCTTGTCATGCCAGGAGAGCTGCACTTTGTAAGCCTTCCTTGTCATGCCAGGAGAGCTGCACTTTGTAAGCCTTCCTTGTCATGCCAGGAGAGCTGCACTGTGTAAGCCTTCCTTGTCATGCCAGGAGAGCTGCGTAAGCTGTCCTTGACATGCCAGGGCAGCTGCACTGCACTGGCCTTCTGTGTTTATTTATCATCATTCACCATTTAGTGTCACATGAACGCTAATGCATGCTATTGAAAGAATGGAGACAGGCGCTTGAGATTGGTTATATGGTATGATTGTTCACTGTTCCTTCACATCATCTAGATACGTAAGGAGTGGCAAAAGTGATTGTGCTTACACTTCTTTACTCACTTCTGTGAGTGAACCAGTTGTCAGTTGTGCAATAGTTTACCCCTATCCTTTTTCCTTGACAAATGATCAATAATAATTGTTATTAGACTATTAGAATAATATAATTAATCTGTATAACAATAGAAACAAAATTATTTTAAACTTTTGTATAAAATTCACAATTTTACTCTCAGCAATATACATGAAATTGATCCTTTGACGATGAAAAGCTTGTAGAGTATTGATCAGCTAATAGGGCACAAAATGCCACCTGCATGTGTTCATCACCAAACATGTGCCGTGTCTTAACTGTCTACTTCTTGAACTCGTCAGCCGTCATTGAAAACAAAATTATATTAGCCTGTGATAATTACACCAGCCTTGGCTCGTTACACCAGCCTTGGTTCTGATCTTAATAGCACACAGTAATTTCTGCACCCTCTGCCATCACAACATGGAGTGTTTATTTGTATGAACAGTATGAACTATGAGCAATTTTGTGGTTGCTTGCTGTTTTCTCATAACATTATGTATGGTTTAATTGGGTGTTTTTTGGCCATCACAAAAAATGTTAATAATTTATTTGTTTAATTTCAGAAATATAAAAGTTCCATAGAAGATATGGAATACATATCAGAATTAGGCAATGGTACTTCTGGCAATGTTGTCAAAATGCTTCACAAATCTTCCAAAAAAGTTATTGCAGTTAAGGTTAGTGTCTTGAATGTGTGTTATTAATTACTGTATAGACATTATGAATGACCTTTATTGTATTTCCATCAGTATGCCCTCTATCCTGTTTAGTTTCTTATTTAATATTTTAAGGTTTTAATTGTTATATCTTAATTTCCATGGTCATTAGGCAGTTTAGCTTTTCAGGTTAAGTTATGAGTATGAGGCATGAGGGGTGAACATTAAGTTTTTGTATTGTGAAAGCTGTAGAAGGGAGCGCAGTTGTTGACTCCTGCATCAGCATCAGCAGATTGCTTTTAATCTCGCAATTTCACACGCCTCATACCATGAGTAACCTTAAAGCCCCTTAGCCACCCATCACTGTATGCAGAGTTATCACGAAGCTTCATTTCTTGGTGAAAAAGCCAAGCATTTTCCTTAATTAATAAGCCATCCTGGCATTTCTTTGATTCGTCATGTGTGTGCCTGTACCATTCCCTCACAGCCTCGTCAACACTTTTAATACCTGCACTACTAACAATTTTTCTATTATTCATTGTTACATCACTCTCACTTTTAGCATAACTTGGAAAAATCCTATATTTAGCCTTCAATATATCACATAGTGGTTTTACTAACTTTGTATTGTACTTGGTGCACACAACACTTCTAGGAATTCTAGTTTCAGCTTCTTTTGGCTCTACCTCTTGTTGATGCCCTGAACAACAGATTTCTTGCATTTCCTGATGCCGTAGTACCAGGATACAAAAAATGTGCACGGATATAAAATGATAAGAGGGGAAAAGTCTTTGTATGCTGCAGGCAGCCACAAAAACAATACTGGGTCATTGAGCAGGTGCAGAGGTCGCGACGTGGTGGTCGGTTGTAAAACTAAATAGGACTCTCATGAGTTGAGGCACCACTTGGGACCGGACAGCAAACGAATAGGTGGAATAAACGAAAGATTGAGGTCTGGCAGTTAGGTCGGGGGAGTGTACTCTTAATTGTTAGGTATGTATGATTATATGTTTGCATAATAATAACTTAAACTTAAGAGAATAAAAGGTGATCTTAATATGAAATGATGCTGACTAACATATAATTTTTCTCTCTAAACAGCAAATGAGACGCTCGGGGAACATGGAGGAGACAAAACGCGTTTTCTTTGACCTGGAGGTTGTATTAAAATCCCACGATTGTCCATATATCGTACAGTGTTTAGGCTGCTTCATCACAGACTCTGATGTGTGGATCTGTATGGAGCTCATGGCCACTTGCCTTGACAAACTCACCAAACGATACAAACAGCCGATACCTGAACCTATCCTGGGAAAAATTTCTGTGGCCGTAAGTTTTGTTTTCAGAATTATCTGTATGTTATTCTTGTGTATCTGATTATATTTAACACATTTTCTTCTGTAGTAGAGTTCAGACCTGCCAGGGACCAGCGCCAGAACCTGGCCCCTTCAGAGAGGTTTCAGGGAGCAATGGCCCTGGAAAACCCCCTTGTGGTTGGGGTTTTCCTTATCTGCCATTGACTGGGGTTAGGCACCCAGAAAGGTAGGCATAACAAAATAAACCCCACATGGTAAAAAACTAAAACAAACAACCGAACAGAGAGGTAGAAACTCCCTACAATCCCAAGGAAACAAGCAAACAAGCAAACATCACACTTTACTGCCGCGCCGATCATCCGCGCGGTCCTCCCCGCCCTGAGAGGGGGAGGGGGGAGCCCTGGACCTTACCACGCCGGCTGCCTAACATCAGTTTGGAAGCTAAGCTTCAACCAATGCGAAAAAAACGCCGACCGGTGGGAGGGAGGGTTGCCAGGGAGCCTCCGGGGCTCACCCAGAAAATGGCGTTTCATTACATTCAACGCTGGTTTTCTGTGGGGAGCCCCTACGGCTGCCTGGAGATTCATACCCAAAGAGAAGGAAAAGAAAGGGCTGACCCGGGAGGCGGATGCCACAAACTCCGCAACGCGAAGCCAAGACAACAGGCTGCAACCTGCAACCCAAGGCAACAAGAACGCTCAGGAGCAGACGCACACATAAAGAACGGGTGGCCAGGAACCTGTGCGACCCTCAAATCCTTGCGCCCGAAATGAGCCCTAGACGTCACCAACACAGCAGCGAAAGCTGCAGAAATGTCCGAACAGCATGGGCGCAAGGATAGACCGCAGGCTGGAGGACTTAAAAACTCTGCGGACGACCTGGGGGTCCGCAGAGTCGTCCGTCAGGGTCATCCACAGGTGTGGGGTTCAGTGCCGGTGCTGCCTGTGCCTGGTCGGCACGTTGTTCGTTCTGCGCCCAGGTCGGGTTCTCGTAAGGGGCAGAGGCCCTTTCGCGGTTCTCCCCATTGACAGGGTGGTGGGGGGAGGCTTCCTTTGTTCGCTCACGCATGGTCTCACGATTTGTGGGCTTTTTGGGTCGTTTCTCTCGGCCTGTGATGGCGTTGGGTGGCTCCTCCTCCTTTGGAGGGTTCGGGGTTGACGGGGCAGGCTTCCTCTCCTGCGCTCTGTCGGGTCACCTTGGAGTGGGTGTGCTTGGGTGTGGTTGAAACGATGACGTCTCTCGGGTGGGTTTTCCACCTGTTCCCAGTTTCGAAACGGGACTGTACGGACCTGCGGGTTCATTCTGGACTTGTCCAGTCTGAAACCTTGGGTTTCTTGCCCCTCATTTCGGATGACCACTCTGTCTCGGGTCCGGGTTCTGTTGGAGCCGGGCGCTTGGATGGTGTCCCTGGACCTCAAGGACGCGTATTGGCACGTCTCTATTCATCTGAGGTAGCGGGACTGGCTCGTTTTTCTTGTGGGGCGTCAGAGTTACCGCTTTCGTTGTCTTCCTTTCAGGTTGAATCTGGCACCTCGCGTGTTCACACGCCTTACCTGGGACGTGGTGGCCCGTCTGTGTCTGTTAGGTGTTCGGGTGTTGGCTTTCCTCGATGACTGGCTGGTTTGAGCTCCCAGTCGGTCCGCGTGTCTGCTCACCAGGGATTTGGTGCTTTGCCAGCTTGCCGGGTTTGGGTTCCTGGTGAACTGGAGGAAGTCCCATCTGGTTTCCTCCCAGGCTGGGTGTTGTGTGAGACTCTCGCACCACTTCCTTGTCTCTTCCTCTGGCGTCTCTCCTTTGGCTGCGGTCCCGCCTGTGCTTGTTTCTGAGGGGCTTCTGCGTCACCTGACGGTTGCTCGAGGGTCTGTACGGGAGCCTGAACTTTGTGATGTTGGTCTACCCATCAGGTTAAATTTGGCTTCGTTGGCTGTTCTGCTTCCTTCAGGGATGTCCCGTCCATCTCTGTCACGATCGCTGGGTTCATCCCCTGGGGGCCTTGTGTCGGCTGCTGCGTCGCCAGCTTCCTCTTCTGTTTTTTTGGGATCTGTCCCTGGGCGCCTACCCGAGCCCTCGCTCGATGTGTTCATGGTCTCTTGACTGGGGCTTTGTGACCAGTGCTCACCAGGCCGGCCAGAGGCGGTGGGGTCCGTCCTTCCGTCGGGTCCACAGCACGGTGCGGGAGTTTGCGGCGGTGTGGTTTGCTCTTCGGAGGGTTTGGGTCACTCGCGGATTGACGATCCGGCTCCATTCGTACTGCTCCCAGTGGTTCATTGCCTGAACCGAGGGGGTTCGATGCGGGCCTTGGTTCTTTGGGGTTGGTCACTTGGGGTGACTCATCTGCTGAGTTCTCGGGGTTTGGCTCTCCTCGCAGTTCACGTCCAGGGATGGGGGTATCCAATGTCCTGGTGGACATCTTCAGGATAAAAACCCACACATGTGAATTTGTGAAATTTATGTTAGAAATTGACACCAAGTCTCTCTCACTCTCCTGAGTGCTTTGTCAAGGTCTGAGTGTGTGATTAGGACCAGACTTGCATCTCAACGTCTAATCATTAGACGTTGAGATGTAAGTCTCATCTTAATCACACACTCAGACCTTGGCAAAGCACTCAGGAGAGTGTGAGAGACTTGTGTAAATTTCTTACATAAATTTCACAAATTCACAAGTGTGGGTTTTTATCCTATGTTATTATGTCTGTGAGAAAACATTACCATTACTAAAATAAGTTAGAAGTAAAATGCTCATATGAAGTGAAGCTGTATCATGACCCACCTTAGTAAGGTCTGATCGAAGGTGTTGTACTACATGGTAAAACCTCACCACCATAAATAATCGTCTAGAAAGCCATAGGTGCACATCTTGTTACCTGTTGTTAAAATAGTGACTTCTCTTTCTGGCTTGCAGGATGGGTATGGGATGTGTAATGTATGAACCAAGTTAATTTTCTGGAGTGCCTTCTTATTTAAATTGTATGTCAATATAGGTAGGCTGACCTTCATGCTGCTATTAACACTTTTGCGCTCTCGGCGCTCAAAAAAAAACAATACCCCAGATGCTTTCGGCACTTCGCGCGCCTACGCGGTAAGACCGAAAAAGTGTACACTCTTTTGACTGTCCTGACAATAATTGAAGGCGCACGTATTTAAATTTGGTATCACTGTGTTCGCAATGAAATTGTCTATAAGAGCATACCTATAAAATGCCGCCCAAGCATAAGGAGTATCAACACCAAATAAAAAACTATGCAGATCACTCACCGAGAGCGCCAAACAGCAACAAAATGTTTCCACTCTCTTAATGGTTGCGAAGCCTACAGTTGTCCTACATCGCTAATTTTGGTATCATTGGAATCGCAATAAAATTCTCTACACGGACATATGCATATGAATGTTTAATATAGGTAATTGCCCACCCGCAAGAGTGTGTGAAGTGGAGAGTAGTTAGCCACGAGCGCACTGGCGAAAACACAGGGGGGAAATCATGCTTGGAAAGTTTATACGTTTCCTGACCCTACTTTTCTATGTACGTATTTCTTTTTTATACCAATGTGTTCGCAATAAAATTTTCTATAAGATGAACTGTATAACATTTGTACAAAGCATGTGTAAGAGAAGCGCCAAATATAGAACCACGTCGCTCAGTATGCGTTCGCGGCAGAAACGAATGCATTGTTTTCGTTCGTTTGATGTTTGTCATGTTTATACTTGTTGAAACATTTTATAATTTGTATGACAGTGATCGCAGTAAAATTCCCTACACAGACATATACATAACACATACAAATATTTCCCACGTGTTGGATATATCAACGGCTAAAGGGAACCCACTGCCACACGCTCGCCACACCCCCAAACATACTTTGTGTATTTTTTTTTTTACTCATAGAAGTTTATGTGATATAATATTCATTCTGGTACCAAAAAATTCACAAATAAATTCTCTACAAAACAAAAGTATCCCCATCCATTTCGGTTAAAAAATGGAATTTATAGAAATATTTTTTCGATGGACGAGAAAAGTAGGCTGTTATGCGGAATCGTAAGAAAAAACGGCGACGAGTTATCTCTAATCTAAAGCGCGAAAGTGTTAATTCATCAATGAAGACCCTAGCCAAAAAAGCTAGATTTCACTCCTTGTAGATGCAAACAATGATAGGCAAACAATCTCTCCAATTACCACCTCTCGCCTGTTTTTAAGAATATTCATGGTACTGTTTGTCTTGTGAGATATGCCTGGCGAGTAGACGGCGTGTAAAATAAAAGTTTCCTTTTATTTATCTCTTCAGTATGCTTTAATCTATGCACCTTTCTAAGGACTATCCTGCTTATTTTTCTTTTTATCTTTAAATTTGCTAAATTTGCTAACACTGTTAATATTATAGTACAGTAGTTGTAAATGCTGATGTTTATTAGTAACAAAGATACCTTGTGTTTCAGACGTTAAAAGCCCTTCATTACCTAAAAGAGTCACACGGTGTGATTCACCGTGATGTGAAACCTTCCAACATTCTTCTCGATGAACGTGGAAACATTAAACTTTGTGACTTTGGGATCTCAGGGAGACTAGTCGATTCTAAGGCCAAGACTCGGAGTGCCGGCTGTGCTGCGTATATGGCGGTAAGTTGTTTGCTTATTATGCATGTAAGTTTTAATGGTTATTTGCATGGTTTCTAATTGGGTTAAGGTTTGTTCAAATTGGTAGGGTTTGTCATATTACTCTGAATGTTGAGGTTGTATTTATTGCAGACATTGTTTGTGTTTGAAGAATGGTGGCCCATAGTGCCAAGTATAAGCTGATCCTTGTCTCTGTATTGATGACCTGTAGTGCCAAGTGTAAGCTGATCATTCTCTAAATGGTGACATGTAGTACCAAGTAAGCTGGTCATTCCCCTCATAATGGTGACCATTATGTGCCAATGTGTATTTGACTTCACTTCATAAATGTTGTCCTGTAGGGCCAAGCCTATAATACAGTGGTTGCTTGGTAATATGGGCCTGATTAACTGATCTCTGAGTAATCAGGCTGTAACCTGATCTGGTCTTATGTACAGTGTAATACAGTGTGACTTGGATCAAAAGGTTTCTGCTTTTCCAGGGCTCTAGGTACAGGGCATATGGGCCATCTGATAGAGAACTCAGTACAGTGGTAGAAAATATAAATAAAAGTTCTGGCCAAACTGGATTGTGTTCGACTGTTCAAAATCATGTTGAGAATATGATGCTGAAAACGTTATGTCTCAAGAAAATACTTTTAAGATTTACTTTTTCCAGGTTATTTTGCTATCAAAGTATACATTCTTTATAATCATGTTTTGTTATTTGCACTAATAAAAACATGTTGATTGTAGCCACAAAGTAACTTATGATTTTATTTGTTGACAAAAATTTGTTTATGAAAACTGCTCAGTACCCTCAGTACCTGAGGGTACAAAGCAGAAAGTAACGCCTGAGGGTACAAAGCAGAAAGTAAAGCCTGAGGGTACTGAGCAGAAAGTAACGCCTGAGGGTACTGAGCAGAAAGTAATGCCTGAGGGTACTGAGCAGAAAGTAACGCCTGAAGGTACTGAGCAGAAAGTAACGCCTGAAGGTACTGAGCAGAAAGTAACGCCTGAGGGTACTGAGCCGAAAGTAACACCTGAGGGTACTGAGCAGAAAGTAATGCCTGAGGGTACTGAGCAGAAAGTAATGCCTGAGGGGTACTGAGCAGAAAGTAATGCCTGAGGGTACTGAGCAGAAAGTAACACCTGAGGGTACTGAGCAGAAAGTAACGCCTGAGGGTACTGAGCAGAAAGTAATGCCTGAGGGGTACTGAGCAGAAAGTAACACCTGAGGGTACTGAGCAGAAAGTAACACCAGGATTGGTCTGACATATGTGGTATACAAAGTTCTGAAAGATTCCTTACGCAAGTTTTTATAGGCCGTTCTTATGTTAGCCAACCTGGCATATGCCGCTGATGTTATCCTTTTGATATGAGCTTCAGGGAACAGGTCTGGCATGATATCAACCCCCTGGTGTTTCTCTCTCTCTGACTCTTGAAGTATTTCATCTCCCAAATGATACCTTATATCTGGTCTCCCTACACCTATCTTCATTACATTGCATTTGCTTGGGTTAAACTCTAACAACCATTTGTTCAACCATTTCTGCAGCTTGTCCAGGTCTTCTTGAAGCCTCAAGCAGTCCTCCTCTGTCTTATTCCTTCTCATAATTTTCTTTGGAAAGAAAATGGATTGTGGGGGGACACTTGTGGAGAGACAGATGGGGAAGGGTGGTCTGTAATTTAAATTAGTATAATTAACATATGAATGAGTAATCATTAAATATAATATACACAGCTGTGTTTGGGCTGTGCTGGGCAATGGTCCAAAGGCTAGCCAGCAGGAGACCAAAAAGTTACCATGTTAAGTAGGCCAGCAGCTATTATTAGGGATTCCCAAAAATGATCATTTATAGGTTTCACTTATTTTTCTAATCGGTCGTCCTTTGGGTTGCTTGTTCAGGTAAGGATCCACTGTGTCGTATGACCAGGATTAAGTACAGTCAGGCAGAATGACAATAAAGGACATTTCAGATATTCCTGAAGGGTCATTAAAGGTGCTAGAGACATTGGAGGTAATTACTAAACCCACCACAGAACTAACCTACAATGGGTGCATTCATGATAAATCCAAAGCTTTCAAAAGCTATTTTATTTTTTTGACCTTCTTAGGAACTAACACTATCACCACCAGATGAAAGCACCATACTGACCATAAGGATCACAACTCCATACAACCTCCATATTCTTCCTGTAAATGTCTGATGTGTAAGTTTTGATGATTGCATCTCTGGCAGTCATTTTAGGTTGGATTGAGTTTTTCTCCACTGATTTCCAGGCTCCCAAGCACCCTCACCAAAATATAGTATTTGCACACCTTGTAAGCAATGATTCCCGAGATAATAGAGTTAAGTCATAAAATGCTTAATGTTCCTGTAGTAGCCAAAACACTGCCTGAGCTATACAAGGTGAAAGATATCATATTTCCTAAGCTGATTGATTGCCAAGAGTCGCACTCACATCCCATGCAGGAGATGGCTCAATAATATGGTTTTGTGTATAGCAAACATTCTCTTCATGCTTCCCTCCAGTATGCTGGCTAAAGTTATGTTACTATACTGATCAAGGTTTTAGCTAGCAGCATAGTGAAGAAAGAAATGTATTTTTTGACAGTTATAAAGAGAATAAATAAGTTGAAAGTAGCATCTCTGGTTTTTGTTTTCATTGGTTTCTGGAATTGCCTCTTTATTTTTTGTAATTTAAAAAATATTACAAATTAAATGGTTAAAAAAATACTTGCAAATAATTAATGTTAAGAGTTGATATTTTGTTGTGGCTGTGACCAGACCCCTGTCTAAAAGGCTGTATTTTCCCCTTTGCTCAGGGTGGTGCAATCTCTTTATCATAATGGTAAGTGTTAATACCACTTGGGTTTATTGCTTTCACATTAACAATCTCTGTATTTCTTCTTTGACTTTATTTAATGAAAATAGCCTGCACGGGTTTATAGATTCAAAATATTTAAAGCCAAGAACGAGCTGGCTTGGCTAGCTTCTCTCCTGCTCTTTCTCATTATGCATAAAGGATTCATTGTACTGTATATACAACACCAGTAGGTGCATAGAAGCTGGCAATCCCACAGCTTTTTCTGGGGGGAGCCCCTTCAGCTCTCCTGAGCTTACTAGGATGATATGCTAATATCAGACTTTGGCATCAGTCATGTGTATGGAGTTCTATGGGCCTACCAGGGACCAAGACTCAGAACCTGAGCCCCTCAGAGGTATCGGGAGCAATGGCCCAGTGTGGTTGGAAGTATTCTATGTCTGCCATCGACCGGGTCAGGCACCAAGAAAGGTAAGCATCCCAAAACAAACCCCTAATCTGGTGAAAATATTACTACCAAAAGTCGAACAAGTGGATAGAACTCCCCTAAAAGAAACGAGCATGACGTCACACGTTGCCGTGCCGCTGTCTGCGCAACTCCCCCCCCTCCCTGGGAGGGGAAAGGGGGGAGCCCCAGACCCCCCACGCTGGCTATCCACCCTTCAGTTCTAAGGCTGATGCAAGAGGTGGAGGTTGTGTGCTTGGCTCCAGTGATTCCGGCACTGTGCATAGAGTGTAGTGGCTGTTTTCCAGGGGTACGAGAGCCAGGAGTCATTGTACAGTACTCGGGCTGCATGCGCCTAGGGTTATAGTCCCTAGGTGCCCTGTAAGTACTGCTTGGAGCCACCTTCCACAAGTTCCTCGGGGCCTGCCTCTGCCAGGCCGTATTACTGCTTGGTTTTTCGGCTGCCCTTTGGGTGCTTGGGGGTTTTGTCTTCCTTGTTTACCTTAGGGTAAGAGGCAGTATTGCACTGGTGCGGGGCGCAGGGTACTGCACAGCATGTTTTCACCATTCACAGTGGCTGCCTCTGTTCCTTGGGGTATGTTGTCCTCTTGCAGAGTTTTGTTTTTCTTTGTGTTTTTGCCTTGTGGGGGGATCTGCCTTGTTCCCCTATTTGTGCTTGACCTGTGCACGGTTCTCTTGTGGTGGTGCCCCCTGCTAGGTCCCTGTGAGTGTACACGTCCCTGGGGTTCATCTGTAGAAAGTTGCTCGGTATTTGTGGGCGCCGGTTAGCAGTACCCTGCCTGGGATTACCTGGGGTGGTGTTGTCCTTTCTCTCTTGGTTGCTCCAGGACCGTCATCTTATGCCTAACATTGTTACCTTGTATTGTACGGCGCTGGCAGAGCCGCTTCAGCTTGCTTTTGGTATTGATGTTACATCTGCACCGTTTTGCAAGCTGTCTCGTGCGTTGTTTCACTTCTGGCCTGCTCATGTGCTGCCTGAGCCATCCTGGTCTTTGGACAGAATGCTCTCTTTTCTATCTTCTCGGTTTGTTGTGGCTCATTTGGTTCAAGATTGTTTCTCCAAAGCTCTTTTTCTGTTGGCATTGGCCTTTGGGGGTCGGGTTGGGGAGCTTCATGCTTTCCTCCGGTGTAGGGGTTTCTGCTCTTTCGGTCTTCGTGATGGTTTTGTCCGACTGCAGCCGTCTCCTTCTTTTCTGGTGAAGAATGAGACTGCTGCTTTCCGGATGGGTCCCTGGGTTGTTGATGCTTGGTTGGTTAGGCCGGGGATGCTTCATGTTTTGTGTATGGTTGCGGCTCTTCACTGATATTTGCTCACCACGGTTTCTGTGTCAGGGGACGCGCTTTGGGTTGATCCTGTTTCCTTTCTTCCCTGTTCATGGGTGCGGGTCTCCCAGGTTGTCCACAGAATTATTAAGGCTAGCCAGCCTGCGGTTTATTCCTGTGTCCATGACGTTCATAAGTTTGCTGCTTTTGCTACTGTCTTTGGCAACATGTCCTGGGCTGACATTCGGGCGTGGGGATTTTGGCGATCGAACAGGGTCCTGGCTGCTCGTTATCTCTTTGAACGGTCTGGGGCCCATTCGGGCCTGTGTCGCTTTGGGTCGGTGGTTGCAGCCGGTTGTCTCGACTTCGCGTTGAGGAGTGAGCAGTGACCGCCTCCCGGGTAAGTCCTTATACATATTTTCCTCTGTGGGTAGTTAGCTCCGGGGAGCCGAAGGGGCTCCCCCTAG